TGGAAGTGTTGACTTAAAATCAAATTCATCATGGTTGAGATGCTAACAAATTGAATCAATTAGATTTATTTAATGATCTTTTAATGGAAACATATATGTACAGGTTGTAGCAGTCTATTTGTAAAAGATATATCCACTTCTAAATGTTTGTAAAACAGGACTAGCTTTTTGGGGGTCTGAATCATGATTACTGCACTCACTATGAACATAACTGACAAAGAAAGCGGACAAAATATACAGTTCCTCAGGTAGACAAAGGAACATCCCTTCACTGCTATATGTAAACATGTGTAGAACAGGTGTCACATGCATATTCACCTTTTTATATAATAGCAGTGAAGGGATGTTCCTTTGTCTACCTGAGGAACTGTATATTTTGTCCGCTCTCTTTGTCTGTCATGTTCATAGTGACTATTTCAGGAATGAATTGTGCAGTAAATGTATTTTTTGTATGAATACATGTACATGTAATCTGATTATCGTGCAACTTAAAATAAATCAGTCAAGTTTTTTTTTCCCCATCTAATTATACATTGTTTATTAATGTGATCAGTGGAAATCATACATTTTGTGATCTGTGTTCTTTATCGCCTTAAATTTATATTTCAGGGATAATTGGCAAAAATAGATTTTTCTTCATATAAGTTCACAACATGGAAAAATAGATTGTTGATTTTAATTGTACAGTCATTGTTTTTAGTTTGTGTGGCATATATGAAGAAACAAAAAAGTAATATCTAAAGCCACTTAGACTAACAGTTGAAATGATAGAACTTTTGGAAATAAGTTGCTGCCAGATTTTGCCAAGGAATTTTTACAAACGATATTACTCCAAATGTACATATCGGTATTTTAGATTCTTTCAGGTATAGGCGTGATATTGCATTTATACTTCTTTACTAATTTTTGATATAATAAGTATATTACTTTGTTTTTTATGATGCAACTGTTATCACACATTTAGATTAGTTTGCAACTTTGCAGTCTGTAATTTACCTTAGATGTGTACGAAAAAAATTCTACAAGTATTCCATATTTGGCATAAATTCATATATACGTATATATAGCAAGATTGTAATGATTGCATAATTTGTGTACCATGATGAAAGATTATGTGTTATTGTATTACAATTAAACTGCTTGTTCCTGAACATGAATTAGTTTGGTTTGAATTTGTCATCGGAATCATATTGTTCTTATAAAAGTGTTTTATCTGCTTAGAACCATACAAATGTTAACTTGTATAATATAATAATATACATAGAGTATTTGTAATGCTTTTTGGCTCTTACTTTAGAGTGTTACATAAAGATTCCTTGCTGCTTTGTGTGTGCACCCTTTCCATACAGCATCAGGGAAACTATAGGGCTTGTTTTGATTAACTTCTTACATTCATGCACACTGGTCAATAATGGCTTCAAAAGGTTGCTTTTAGCTTGACTATTTCTCAAGCTCAAACCATACTTAATCAAGACTCGAGATGATGAATTTGTGAAGTGTGTTGTGTGAATTTGTCTCTGAAAGTTTGCAAAATGTTAAGATACATGTGGTTTACAGTTTACAACAAAATATTCATACCCTTACCAAGTTTTTGTAATTTTTCAAAGACTGTATGTGAAAAATTGGTTTGTTCAGATTGACGTTTCTTGAGAATGTGACATATTATAGCTTATAAGCTCTAAAATATTTAACAAAAGCCCTAATTCACCAGTCTACCTTTCATTCTTGAGTTACTTTTTAAACATCAAATTTAGGAGGGATATATGAATAATTAATTTGTTAACTGTATATACATGTATCTTAAGGAAAATAAAGTTTGAATCATTCACAGTGACAGGTTGAACACTTCATTCACTTCTGTACAGTAACTACCTGCAATTTTACGCTATTTTGTATCGTGTGCATGCTTCACTGTTCCTCTAGTATTTATCAAATCAGTTTTATGTAGATCGTATTATTCTACTTATTCACTCAGCTGTTTTAATATCAGTCATGCATGATAATTATTTGCATGTATTTTTCACATTCCTACGTGGGCTAATGCTGACAATTGCTATTAATCTCAGAAATATTACTAACATGTTGAATATGACTTTAATTTGGAACCAAAAGTGTGTTTGCACAGATCATAGCTCAAGATATCTTGGCCGGCGATGGTGACATGAATCTTTAAAGTACTGGTATCCCAAGTCATGCAGTAATCGAATTGCAGTAAAAAAACAAATTTAAAAAAAGTACATATATTTTATTTTTGGGGTCTTTATATTTGACAGGTACAGTGAGTGATTCATGTTAGTGATGAAAAATGCTCAAGTGTGCTGTGAATTAGAATTTCTTTTAGGTTTCTGCTCATAAATTCTATTCTAAAATTGTAAGCATTTTCTTTGTGTGTGTGTGTTTGGAGCCAAAAAGGTTTACCTTATTCAAGGCAGCATACATTTATTGTTCACGTATTTCACGTCTACAGTGCAAATAGTATACAGGTGGCCACTTCTCTAAAAACCAAATGCTTGAGTGGAGAGTGCCGTATAATAATGGCTTTTAGAAAATGATCTGTTTTTCTCTACTCTTAAGATGTAGCACTTTCTCTTCCCTGTAGTTTGTGATTGGTTTTCAAAGCATTTTCTTGGTTTAGTTGGAAGGAAAGTGTTGGATGCTTGGGTTATACAGAGATTGATTGTTGCGTACGTGTGGAATGTTATTGATCAGAGTGGTTGTATTATGGCAGTAGTGTTGGTCAATTGTTATTGTTTATTATTATCCTTGATCTTTTCACTAACTTGTCTTTTCATTTTCTTTTCGATATCTTTATGGACACATGATATATATCCATTCTTTTCTCCCCATTCAAGTAAATTAATATCTATGTGCTTTTTCTCCCTTAGTCATGAAGTTTTCTTCCCATTTTGAGGGTGGTTTTGGAAATGAGGTGAAGAAATGAATATGGGATAATGACAATGAATCACATGCAGAGTATTGTCTGCTGAGCCAGAACAATGTTTACTTTAAAGAATTAACACACTCCTGGGGGTTGAACTTATCTCCAAGTTGGATTAAACTATTATGAAAAGCTGTTACCATCTATCAAAATATTTTGTAAAAGTTATTTTAAAGGCATAAAATGTTGATTTAAATCATTCATATTTTCTATTGTCAAGGAGATTTCATGTTCTTTTTGTGGAATTTATGAAAAGTCTAAAATACTTGATTTTTCGCTTTTGAATATATTTTATTTTAAGGCTACAAATGGCTCCCATAATTTTTAAGCCCTACTTAGAGTTAAGTTCAACTTAAGATCTTTGTGAAACACCCCCCCCCCCCCCCCCCCCCCCTGGTTCTCAACATATCATATTGGTATACATATCATTCTTTCCTCGTCTATGATCTAATGTTGCCTAATTGTGAGCTGATTGCATGCTTTGTTGATATTATTTTTTACATGATTACAGGTACTTCTTAATCCGCTTTTCTGACACACCCTCTTTATTATATCCCATTCTGATTGTTTCCTCCATGACTTTGAAGTTTACCTTTCAGTATTTTAGTCTTTGCCCACTCTCAAATCCAGTGGGCTCATGTAAATACTTCTGCTAAGGTGCAACCAAAGTCATTAATGCTAAATAACTTCTAGTTTCTAAGTTTTATCGTTTTTATTCCTACATGTATATTGTCTATTATCTGTATAATGAATTCCTAATCATACATTTCATCATTATCCTCGATTGTATATCAACTCATAAGAAAACAGGCTGTTGATTATGACACTGTTGACAAGACTGATTTTCTCATAATGCTTTATTGCAAGGATGAGAAAAAATGCTCACAAAATGTTCCAAGACTTTGATTTTCTGTTGTAATTCGCTCACAGTAACACTCTTGTTTTAGTTGCATTTATTTTATTTTGCTTTTGTTTTTGTTTGTTTTTTTACGCCATGTTTGTGTTGCGTTTCATATATTATAGCCATACATACTTGCTTCAAATCCTTACAAACATGGAATGTACATTACACCTATCTTTACAATGTATAATACATTTATTTTACATTCTTCTTAAAATGCAAGCTTTTGAAACACTTTAGGGAAGCTTTTAATGCTTTAAATATCACTCTGACATTCATCAATCATCATATTCAAGTAGGTCATTCATGTGTGTATAAATGTTTGCATGTCAATGCCATTATTTTGTTACAAAATCATCATTGTCAGCATCTCTACTTGTATATGTGGTAAGTTGAATAAGTTTACATAAATGAGATTTTTTTAAAAATAAATGAAAACATTTTAGTCTGTACTATAAAATGAAGATGATGATAGTAACTGTCATATATGCATTGTGCTCAATATTAAAGTGTTTTATGTAATTTTGTAATTATTATTTTCATTCTCAAGCATCAACTAGACATGAATCCAGATCCAGATTTCATAAAGCAAAAAGAAGAATAAAAAAAAAGGAGGGGGGGGGGGGGTTACAATTTTGAACATTTTGACAAGCGTATTAAAAAAGGTTATCACATTTAGGTGCTATTTCACCCCAAAATTATTTGGCAAGCAAGTAAAAAAGAAAACCAAAAAAAAAAAAGGGGGGGGGGGGAATCTGCTCGACCCTTAGGACTCCTACACATCTGTGTATGATTGATTCATTTAAAGTACAATGAATGTTATACATCTACCCGTTCACTATGCACGTTTATTAAGTGTAGAATTACATACAAACTTACCTAAATGCTTCTGGGAATGATTTTCAAGGTTCATTCACATATGCTGCGGTAAATACTGTGGTTTGCCATGGTATACACACAGGTTTATGTGAACAGAGCATGAATAGGGAAGTATAATACATGTACACTAAAGCAAAGTGATTTGAATATTAGGCCCATTTGAATCATGCCAAATACCACTTAAGAGATGCCATCTCTACTGTATGTGCCATAATTATCTTGATGTTCCATAATGTTCACGCTGTCTTTCTCTTCCACCATTCATTCCATTTCTCTCTCTAGGATTTCATGTTCTTTGAAGAGTCTGACAAGAAGGACAAGAAGAAATCTGGATTCAGTGCCGTTTAATCATCATCATCATCATCATCATCTAGATCATACTCATCACAATGTATAAGGTGCAGTATATGCATGCACATAACTTGTTTGTATGTGGACCGCGCCCAACCCTGCCCAACCCCGCCCAAATCCCGCCCTTCCCCCTTTCCCGAAGGACCTTGAGATGAATCACTGCTGTACTACAGGGTGCAGTATTGACATTACTTTGGACCATACATCCCTAACCCTGTACCACCCTCCGCCCTTCCGCCAAATTCTTGTGTCAACCTCACCCCAAATCCCTTCCCAACCCTGCCCCTAAAAAGTTGAGATCAGTAAATTTCCTCTGTAGTAGGTGCAATATTTGGCATTGCAAGTATGCATGTAAATACACCCCTGGAACCCCACCCCCTGCCTTCCCTGCCCTCCCCCCACCCCCAGTTCCCTTGAGGTTTATCCCCACTAGGGTCAGTATTTGTATTCCTTGTTCCTTGCATGAACCACACTCCCCCACTACAAACAGAATAGTCTAAAGCACTGGCTCTTTTGGGATTTTGCAGGAAAAGAACCACCCCACCTGAAAATGTAATAACAAAAGTCAAAATCTGCTCTTATTTTTTCATTTATAGTAAAGTCTTTGGGGAGTTGAATGAAAAATTATGGTTGCCTTAGGAATTTTCTTTTTAGAGTGCTGAATAGATTTATGTTTTTGTTTTGTTGAATAGCCTGTCAGAGCTTATTGCTCTCTGCTCTCTTTTATTCTATTTTCCTTTTTTTTTTAACTAATGGCATTTTCAAAGAAGACATTTCCCAGAGAGCTGATATTTCAGTAGATTCTTCTTCCTCTTGAATTATTTTATCCTGTATCAGTCCATCCAGATTGATTGTGACATATCAACTTCCATAACTGAATTGTCATTACCCAGGGGCAGATCCAGGATTCTTTAAATTAAAAAAGGGGGTTGGGGGCAAAAAACAATAACGACAACAAAATTACCATTTTATTTGTTCAGTGCAAATTTGGTTATGTTTATAGGTACTTGCTTTGTCAGGTTGCTTTGTGAGTTTCAGAAATGTGTGTGTGTGTTTGGGGGGGGGGGGGGAGGTACATGGGGTCAGTTGTGCTGCACCCCTTTAGATCTGCCTTTGTCCGTATATGTCAATTTGATCATGTAGAATATCTGGTGCAAAGGATATGATAAATATATTAATATCCTCTGTGTACCTCTGTATAAATGACATTAGCTGACGAAGAAAGCCCCACCCCCCTCCTGCAGTTTAATTGATTAATGTGTATGTTATGAAGTGTAACTACATGTAAGCCTCTGTTCAATGTATTGCACCACCCCAAATTCTGTTTAACTGTACCCCTCACCCCCCCCCCCCCCCCCAACCCCCACATATGAATACATTTACATGTACAACTAGAATATCATTTCTCGTCATATATCGTCATATAAATCATAAAGATATTTGTGCATTCATACATTGTACCATATTTCTTATGTGAGTTCAGAACTGATATAGCTTGAACATTCACTTAACCACTGTTCATACACTCACATGATTGCAGTAAGGTTTATGTTTTCATGAAGCATGATATCCAATATACCCCATATCAAGCAGTTAGTTGATGTTTTTAGCTAGGATTTACTTTCTAGGATTTAGAAAATATAAATTACATCAAATTTTCAAGTTATGAATTTGTGTGCTGAGAGCCAGAAGGTTGCTAGCTCTGTTTTCAGTGTTTTGAGTCGTTGCCATTTTGGCTCTCAGTAAATAATATTTTTTCCTTTGGTCTCAATACACTTTTTTGTTTATTTTCTTCCCATTTGTATGCTCTTCCTACACATGCACTCCTTTCTTTCCGTCTTCTTTCATTCCTCTTCTTATAAACTTGTCCTTTCTTTCCTTCTCACTCCTCTTCTCCTTGAACAATCCCCCATTCTCTTTCCTTCAACGTGTGTACTCTTCCTTTCCCCCTCCCTCTTTATCTCTCTTTCCCCTTCCTCTATTTCATAATCTCTCTCACTCTTTTCCCCTCAATTTCCATGCTGTGTCTGCCGTCTTTCGATTCCCCTTTCTCCCTCCTGTCTTTCTCCCTCCCCATCTTCCTCTGTTTTGTCCACTGCCTGTTCCACGTTCTCTTCATCTCTTTCATCCGTCCATGCCATCTTTCCTTCTACAGGACTTCATGTTCTTTGAAGAGTCTGGGAATAAGAACGATCAGAACAACGCTGGCTTCGTCAGAAACTAGAAGAACATCACATCAAGGAGGGGACACTCACTGCGAGAGCGTTGCTCATCACTATTGAAAAATTACCCTTCATTTGGCAACACTGAACTGGTGATCTTGAATTATGCATTGCAGTTTGAGAGGTTTAAAAGAGGAAAAGTTTGATAACTATAATCAAAGTAATGATTTGGCAAGTGACTTAAATTTCTGTACATTTATGAAATAGTTACATCACAGTGGAAAACAATTTTTTTTTAATTGTATAGTATTGTAAAGTTTCTCTCTTTTGTATGGCTTCATTTAATTTAATATGATCATTTCACTATTAACAAATTTGTAGTGTGATATAACCAATATTTTCAAAGAATATTTTTTTTCTCTTGTGCATCTCTCTTTCAGAGTCAATTTTAATAGTGTTCAATTCGTAGGCTCAATCTTTACATTATGTTATTTTGCATTTGGCATTAGTGGGTTCAAAAGTTATATCATGAACTGGTACAGGTTGAACAAAATAATTTGTGAGCTGTCTCATTACTTTATTTACACATAGATGATCATGATAATTAATCATTGGATGCATTTCATGAAATTCCTTTCATATTTCAAATATGAGTAGAAATATTCATAGCCTGGGACCAAAAAGTTATGTCACCTGTTTATGCAGTCCCATATACCGGTATTCACAAATTTGTGTTTTTTAATATTCAGTATTAAGATTGAGTGATTTGGCTATGATTAATGCTTCCAAAACCTTCATGAATATTGATTTTTACACCATAATCAACATAACAAGATTACAATGAAGTTTTATTTTCCAACGCAACTCCATGACCGTATGCTCAACATTGCCTTTTAAAGATGGATGCTCATTTTTTGTTTTAATCATTCTGAAAATAAGATTAGTAAATAGCCTTAGTGTTCATTTAAATCAAAATATTGTTTGAGACAGCTTAATACTAAGAGGAAATAAACCAAGGATGCAACAAACTGTTCACAGTTCCTGTACATAGTACACATATATTGTTTGTTCTTAAGTCATTTTTGTTTACAATTGTGTACATGTCCCTACATGTAGTGGAGTATAGATTATGTGGTAGTAATACAAATTGTAATATAGAATCATGTTAAATGTTATTAATACTAGCATGTAATCATGTTGCTTGTGCATTTATATTATTGATTAATATCTATGTATGTTATGGCTGTATTGTGTCATATTTCAATTGTTTTTATTTACATACAATAACATGAATGGGCATTCTTCATCATCAATCGGCTATGACGTAAAAAAAAAATCAAATCTATTGAAATAAAAGAGAACATTCTTCTGTCACAATGTTTCATGCTTGCTAATTCTATGATCGAAAGAGACTGTATTTTGTTATTGAGCTAGTTTCCAGAGGCTGCTAGTAAACAAGTCTTTTTTTTCTACTGAAAGGTGATAATTAACTTGCAATGGCATAATGGTACAAGTAACATTGTGTGCGGGTAAGTCTGAATCCAATGACCTGGGTAATGATATATATATATATATATATATCTGTAAAGCACTTTGACAGGGCCTGCGTTCCTGAAAAGCGCTATATAATAACCAACTATTTTTTTTGTTTGGTGAGAGAAAAGAATTTATTTGAATTGCTTCCATGGAATTGTGTAGAATCAATTCATACCTACCCTGTATACCCATTTAAAAGATTAAAAGGGGGACAAAAGAAGAATTTGTATTAAATTGCTAAAAATAGGAGTTGTCTTACAATTCTGAAATTTCAGCCATTTGTTGTAGTTTTTGCAATTTCATGAAGTCAAATTATTTCTTAGGGCAGTATATGATAGAAAAACCATGAACTATAATTCATGTAATGTAGTCTAACAAATACATGTAGTTTTTAGAAGAAGAAAAAAGGCTTTAGAATATTTTAATTGACAGATAGTGTATTATTTTATTTATATTCGTAGATATTGTATATGTTCAGCATTATACTTGTATGTATGTGTCTTTCATATTCATTTTAACATAAAATATACTATGGGAATAAATGTAAACTGCCTGCAATATTATTTTGTAAATTTGAATTTTATTTTTGTCAGTCCAAGATATCAGGTGTTTGTTTTAAGAAGAGTCTGTAGGTGTAAAAAGTACAATCTGAATAGGCCTTGTACAACATAAATTTCCCACTGCTGATTTTTGTTTTCACAACTATATATTGACAAAGGGAGTGGCAACTTGCACTGATTCCCAATAAAGAATAACATTACAAATGTGTAATCAATAGTGATTGCAATGATAAGGGGTTGGATCATATACATTTGAAATTCAAAACTGTCGTTAAGTAGCTTTGCATGGGGTATGAAATGACCTGCACTTTGTACTTTGTCCTATGGTCTATTTGGAGCCAAAAGGGCGTTGACCTGTATACTATATCTTCATAGAGCCCTTATGGCTCGAAACAGGTGATGTATTAGTAAGTGAGGCTAGTTTGCACAGACTGCGTATTAAAGGTCCTGGATGATGAATGATTGAATTGAAGAGGGAGGGAGGGGGAGGGACAGAGAGAGAGGGGAAAGAGGGAAGGAGAGTAAAAGAGAGAGAGAGAGGGGGGGGGGGGTGAGAAAATAGTGAGAGAGTTTTAAAGAGAGAGAGAGGGGGAAGGAAGAGAAAATAGTGAGAGTTTTAAAGAGAGAGAGAGAGGGGGGGGGGAGGAAGAGAAAATAGTGAGAGAGTTTTAAAGAGAGAGAGAGAGAGGGGGTAAGGGAAGGGAAAGAGACGGAGGAAGAGGGAAGGAGAGAGATGGCGGGGGGGGGGGGGATAAAAGTGAGGATGGGAGAGGGGGGGGGGGGGGGGAGAAAGAGACAGAGAAGACAGTCTGAGAATACAAAGCATATTCTACGTCAAACAGAAGGGACAGGAATCACACTTATAATTTTTATATAAAAATAACATTTTATTTCACATAATATAAAGTCTCCATACTGACTAAATTGATTGATAACAATTTCAAAGGGCACTTTACCTGTATGCATTTCATGGCAGAGGAGGATGACAACAGACAAGTATGTAATCATGCATTACATCTACTAGCAACCCCAATATATTAACAAATTTTGTAATTTTGAAAATTATGGATGGTCAATTTTGAACCAAAAAACACCCCTAACTTTAGAATATTGCACATCTTGACCAAATGACATCCTTCATAAAGCCCTTCAATGTTACAAAAATTTAAACCAATTTTGCATATAAAAATGTATAACAAAACCTATTTGATTAGCAAATAGTAAGATTAATGTATGCATTATAAAGAAATTGGGGTGAGAGAGTAACGCATGGTTGCGTGCAATTATCATACAACGTGTAGATTTATATGAGGTTCACACCATAAAGAGTAGACTTTGATTCTGTATCAACTTCTCTTTTAAAACAATGCCCAAACCACCATTTTGCTATGGAATGTTTCATTGTAACAACATTCTGCTGGACAAGAGATAGACAAGAGAAATATATTTCCTTTTTGGGGGGTAAAACTGATACTTAGGAAAATGTTATCCTTTTTATTAAAAACAGTTTTCATATGAAAAGTTGTAAAGTTTTTCTCTTTCCGAATGCGAGAGTCAACATACATGGATGTCCTCTAAACATACCCATTTTCTGTGTATTTCACGATGTTCATGCCTACCATATATAGAGAGGAAGACCCTAGACTGGAATCCACGATAACCTAACTTTACAACGATGAGGAAGAGCAGTGATGAAGATCATTCTCAACTCTTTACTAATACCAGGTCTTACACTAGTCTTGACTCTTAGGACCAGGTCTTTTGACAACTAGCTAACATCGGCTCTAATCCATCTTGATGAGGGGTCCAGTCTCAACTTTTAGTACCGGTCTTTTGACAAGTAGCTAACAATCGGATCCAATCCGTCTTGATGAAGGGTCTACAGAGCTGCCAACCATTCCGTTTTTGCCGGAATTACTCTGTTTTTTTTCCTCCAATTACGGTATTACGTTTTTTCTTCATAAAATATGTTTTAATTTTTTTTTTTTTTTTTACATACCCCACGTCGTACAACTGCCTTAAAATGGTGATTTGATCACAAATTCAATAGAAAAAATAATTTAAAACATACTTGAAGAGAAAAATATTCTCTACAAAAATGAAATGCCGATAATACCAAAATAACCACTAAAAAGTACCTGCTTGTATGGAAAAAACAGCATGATGAATGAACATTTCTGCATTGGAAGTGTGTCGCGCGTGGTTGTAAATTTCGTTTTCATGAATTCCTTTTTTGGGCTTGAAATTCCTTTTTTTTGCCATCATGATTCCTTTTTTTGGTCGCACAAGGTTGGCAGTTCTGGGTCTAGACTCAGCTCTTAGTACCAGGTCTAAGCCTAGCCAACAATCAGTTCCAATCCATCTTGATGAAGGGTCTAGTCTCAACCCTTAGTACCAGGTCTAAGCCTAGCTAACAATCAGTTCCAATCCATCGTGATGAAGGGTCTAGTCTCAGCTCTAAGTACCAGGCTCAACTTTTAGTACCAGGTCTAAGACTAGCTAGCAATCTGCTTCCTCGTAGAAGGCTACACATTTCTGTAAAGTAAAAAAAGAAAATAAAGAAGAACTTTTAGGAAACAAATAAACTCCCACATATTTTTCTAGGTAACAGTGGAGTTAAAAATAACATAAGTACGACCAGTGCATCCTCGTAAGAATTATATTTTGTGTTCAGTCACAATCAAATTGATGGTCTGAACATGCCATGAATAAAGCTATTGCACATCTCTGTAAGGTGTTACAAAAGAAAAGACAAAACCCTTTCAAGAAAGATGCTTCTACAAATTGTCTTGGAAATGGTTGAGCTAAAAATAATGCAAATAAACTAGGTGCATCAACTGGGCGCATCATCATAGAGCTTTTGTTCAGTCACATTCAAATTACTGGCGTCTGGGGAGTGTTTCACAAAAACTAAGATCGACGTCAAGTTGGACTTAACTATGACAGGTCGTTCATGTCACTATTTTCTCTCATCATTTACTGGCATTGGTTTCTCAAGGAACGTACTCAATGTGGTCACAAATCTACAGAATTTACATCTGTTGATAGTTCATTATTGAAGACAAATATTATCTGAAGATCATAATTGAGAGACCAATGGTGAGAGCACACAGTGGCATGAACGGCCTGCCATAGTTAAGTCCAACTTTAAGTTGATCTTAGTCTTTGTGAAACACTCCCTGAACCTACCTTGGATGAAGCTATTAGTGGTGGAATCTCTCTCAGATTTCTTGCTCTCAAATAGAACGACAAGGTTCATCCTCCTGTCCACATGACCAATAAAGTAAGTCATCAATTGGGGCTACAAAGCAACGACAACAAAAACAAAACTGTCAATTAATGTTATCTGGATAAATGGATGACTTTATTGGAATGAAAGCATCATAAAGTTATATGTGCAATAGTAATACCTCAGTCTTAGGCAATCAGAGAGATGAATGTTATTTCGTCGCTGGGCGAGGTAATTTTATGTTGAAAACTCTTGGTAACAGGTCTAAATATTATGTGCTGGGTCGTGAAAATATTGGCACAATATCAACATTCACAATAATTTCCTGAAATAGGAGTAATTTTTACATTATCATTCAGGCAAACGAAATACCAAAATCAATGACTTTCATGGTTTTGTGAAAATGCTACATATGTTCTCAAACACACATGTTTGAAATGATGGAATGTAAAACAAATCAATGAAGTGGAAAGTTTGATTTTGGAAACTACACTACAGTATATTAGGAAATGACAGATGAGCATCATTTATCCATGGCTCTGTTTATTATCTACATTCAGGTCTTATTCATGCCTCACTAATGATTCAAAACGATTGTACTGCTCGAACAGGTAGAAAGAAAGGCATTTACCAGTTTACTTATCTTGTCGCATTCGTATGTAATACTGTCTAAAGGAGCTGCTTCATGTTTCGTCATAATCAACATGACAATGTTAGGCCATAGGTTTGTAGGTCGCTCCTGTAGGGGGAAAAGAAGAAAGGAAAGACTTTAGAACTGCAAAAGTTTTGATATGATATGTGTTAAAATACATTTAAAAAACAAGGAATATATATTTTTATTAAAGGAAATATATAATATTTAGTAATAATCATAACAATGATAGCTACATTTATACTACATGCATACATGTCAAGGGATAATAGAAACACCTAAATGTATTTGTATTACACTGCTTTTAGCCAAGATGCCCTAAGATGCTGAAAGTAATCAAGGAATAATTCATTGGCGAAGAGCCAGAAGGGCTTTAACTCAGCGTTAATGTACATGAGTCAATACCTTTCTGGCTCTAAACAGTCAATTTCTTCTTACCAGGTACAAGGGTGATAGTGAGCACTACAATATATTTTTTTAAAAGATTTTTTTGGTCCTTAAGCCCCCCCCCCCCCCCCCCCCCCCCTGAGTAAAAAAAAAAAAAAAAAAAAAAGGATTCAGGGAAAAACAATGGCATTTAACAACACCCCCCCCCCCTTTAGAGTAAGAAAATTGGGGGAAAATGGGGGGAAAAGGGATAAAATCGGGAAGGAATTTAAATCGGGTAATTATCAAGCCTGCAGGTACCCATTTTCTACACTTGGGTTGAGAGTGGCAAATGTAGATTGATGTCTTGCCAAAGGGCAGGGATGTTTTTGGACAAAAGATATTCCAATTATTCCAATATACAAACTTTAGTGTTTTATTACCAAATTGAATGCTTGTGAGACTGAAAGTAGAGTAGCATGTTATAAAACTGTTAATTTCTCAAGCTCTTGCCTATATCATCCCTGCAGGGAGCACTGCACTGCAGTGGCTAATGTGGATGTGTTATTCATATAAATATATAACAAATTTCTGTATTACATATCGGCACTAAAACTTGTATCTTGAATCTTGAATCATGAGATTAGATCCTTTGTCCTTTGTCACAGTACTGGGACCTGTACTTCACAAAGCCTTTTTTCAATGATAACCAATCAGAAGCAAGGATTTCAGTAGCTTATAACAAAAACTGTCATTTGTCACTGATGACAAGTTTTGTGAAACACCCGCTAGGAGTCGATGCTCTCCTTGTTCTCAATAGTTAATATTTGTATAATCTAGAAATTTATACACTTGCAGTCTAGTGGTAAGAACTTGAATGGAAATAAGAAGGTTGAGGGTTTGGGCCTCAATGCAGCACTAGTGTCATTTAGCAAGACACTAATCTACCTTTGCCACTCTCCATCCTGGGGGTGTTTCACAAAGATCCTAGGTCAAAATTAACTCTAAGTTGGACTTAAAAATTAAGGAGAGCCATTTGTAGTCTTACTATGAAATATATTCAAAAGTGAAATTGAAGTATTCTAGACTTTAAACAAATTCCAGATCAGGAACATGAAATCTCCTTGATGATATCAAATTTGAATGATTTGAATCAACGTTTTAAGCCTTTTATAATTACTTTTACAAAATATTTTCATAGATGCTAACGGCTTTCCATAATAGGTAAGTCCAACTTAGAGATAAGTTCAACTTAGGATCTTTGTGAAACACCCCCATGTATTTAATGGGTAATAGTAGGAAGGAATTCCTTAAATGACGTGAGTACTAAAGCAAGTAGTCTAAATAGAGCAAGGGTAATACCAGAGTGCCTAGAGTACTTTAAGTTGTGGATTATTGTTATTATTATTATTGTATACTCACGTTTGGGTAGGAGAAGATGGCAGGGTAGCTGTCCATACCGGTGGGGGGTTCGGTGAGAGCTGATGGGAAGTGATACCCAAGCCCCTGGAAGTTGATGCCAGACGCCTGGGTGTTTAGCACCAGAGAGATATTGTAGGCATCTGTCTTACGCTGAAAGGTCACAATCCTAAAAGAGACGGTGATAAAATGAAAAATGAGAAAATAAGAAGAACTAACACCAGCATAATACAAGAACCACATGTGTACAAGTAGCTGTTACTGTCATCTTAAACGCTCTCTTAATTTAGTAACATGTTACAGCTTCATTCATATATGACGCAATAATCTAACTCCCGAGGAGGCGCGAAAGCTCAGTTGGTAGAGCAGTGGTCTCGTAATCTGGAGACCCGGGTTTGTAACCAAGACGATGCGCTAGGGCCCTTTGGTAAGGCATTAATCCTCATTACCAACTCTCTCGGAGAGGACCTAAAGCCGTTGGTCCTCTGGTTGCTTACTAACAAGCATTTACGCTTTCTAGCAGTCAGGTAAACTTACCACCACTACAACTTAGTACAACAATGATAAAATTACTAAATAAATAAAGCAAAATACAGTTAGCATGTTGTTGGTCTCGTTGGTGTGACAGCGGTATAGGCCGAGGTACTTACTTGTTGTAATAATCAATGGGAAGGTTAGACAGGTGTGTTTTCATCTCTCCTGGTGGGGCCTGTTTGCTTAGTGTGCTGTGGAAGTATAGGCTGAACTGTAGATATAAACAAATCAAGGGTTCAGTGACACAAAGACGTAACTCCATATTTTGCCAAAATAAGTATTTGATATCAAAATGTTCAGAAAAATGTGGGCTTTCAAGGAATCACAAAGACTTAAAACTCCACCCAACAACCCATTGAAGTCAATGGCTAGTGAAACATAGACTTAACTCCTTAAAGCCCCACTGTCCTACTTGTAGCTACTTGCTCCCTCTATATAGAAAACTTCCCCAATCGGTGCCTGTTGGTCCCCCATGATCCTCTTTTTATTATGTTATTTGAGAGCTGAGTTAATGAGATAGCCACCTGTCAGTGACCTCGCTGTGTGATCTTTTCTGGCCCAGTAGTGTTGACGGTCTTTAAGGCCCAAGTGCTCAGTGACGCATAAATCACTTTTTCTAAAATAGTCACAATGGAGTTACATCTTTGTGTCACTAATCCCTGGAAATCTAAAAATACCCTCAACACGGGTAGAACCAGAGTTAAGGTCCATTCAGACTTCACCGATTGTTCCTGAAAAACTTGTTATGTTATCATACCTGACGAGGTCTGACCAGTCCCTAATTAAAATTAAAAATAATCATAAAATGACGATGAGCAGAAATAATCCTGCTAGACCATGTAAGATACATGTTCTTAAACACTTTCTAATCTTCCTCTGCTTGCTTTTAATTTAAACCACCCCTTCAAGACATTATCTAGATATTACATTTTATTTCTCGTACGAGTCAATAAACATTACAAAAGTAAAAGCAAACTGAACCACAGGGAACTACTGCTCCTGCATCCACAGGTAAGAATGAACTGTACTTCATGAGCAAATCTAATCATTTAAAGTTGTTGGTCATATTGCATAAGAATCCTCACACACTATGGAACTGTTTTTGACCAGTAAAATGTAAAGAATGTACGGTAACATTAAACAGTATTCGCAAAGCCACTTGAAAGGGAAACCAGAAGCAATACATGGGAGTTTCGCTTCAAACAACTTCCAAGCAATTATCACAATACACTCAGAAGGAATAACTCATAAACATCTCTTTCCTTTATCTCATTGTTGCATCAATTCCTTTCTCACTGCTGATAAGTATACCTCATCCCTCGCGGAACACGACCTACCTTAGATATTTGAGCTCCCTGCATCTTAACCAACCAAATGAAGAGTGGAGGAATGCCTGAGTTTTTCACCTGTACCAGGGCATATAACTTCTTCTTGGGCTGTAATAAAGAATATTCACATTATATTCTTTCAGGAGCAAAACAAATTCACACATCTTGGCATGTTGGAAGATGCATAATTATACATTCAGCTCATTGACCCTACTCTGTGCTGACGGAAGGAGTTTACTCTTGGTAGCTTTGCTAACCCAGGCAACCAATCAGGGCCCATTGTTTTGTTCTTTTAGTTTACACTTATTGGGGATTCACATTATATATTTTTATATCAATTTATTGATTGACAGTTAGGCCTATGGACAGGTCCAATAATAAAGCAGAGAAATTCATATTTTTATATTGGCAGTACAAAGTAGACAATACACACAGGCCATGAAAAGCTCAGATTAATTGTCCTGTAGGTTCAGTTTATGAAAAGGATCACTGAGGGAACAGTTCATGAATCGAGACTTTTGAGCCTGTATGTATGAGCTCCTTATTACAGTTCAGCCCTAGTGAACATCATTGTCATATTTGTTTTTAAAATGACAGAAAAATATAGGAAAAGTAACACATATGTATTCAAAATGCTCAAAAGATTTCGAGAGCAGCTTACGTCTTTAGCTTTGAAGGCAGCTCCCCATGCATCCAGCTTAGCATGGGAGTCCTGTAGACATAGTAAAGCAGGGAGGAACCTCCATGAAGACATGTTACATTCAGTCTGCATTAGTGTGAGAAGAAGCTCTAACTCTACACTGAAGCCGTTACGGATCGGGACCAGGACAGGGTGATGAAACCGCTTGGAGGTCCTGGAACCAACAGAGGATTGAAAACACATCATTCTAGATTAATCAGTGAAGAGATTCATCTATAAATTGATGATCTAACATTGAGAAATAATTATTTTTCTCACTTACCATGTCATTGAACTGTATTACCAACAATGCCAGCTTTGACAAAGGTCTGAAGAAGCTGGCAGCTCAACAGGCAGCTCAACAGGCAAAAACTGATCAAAACAAATAATTGTTTGTATTGCTTGTGAAAAGGGGACTATTTATCAATGTCATTCCATTCATCATGACATTTAAAAAAGAGAAACTTTAAGAAGTTTCATTCAAACTTTAATTTAAAAAAAAAACCAAACAATGAATGAGAATTTACACATTCATGTTTAGTGTAAGGAAATCAGCTATAGATACAACAGGCTCTGGCAACTCTCATGGAAATAATTACAATCCAAAAGGAAATGGGAGAATAATAGTTGCATAGATTTTTGCAAAGGCTGACAAAATGTCTCACCGGAAGACATATTCCAATTTTCTTAAACTATAAAACTGTGATAGAATTCCAAGTTTATTCCACCTTAACCAAATAAAAGCAAGGACATTTGTGCAGTTGGACTACATCTAGGATAAACCCACCTCTCTTTGATGTCCTCCACAGCTATTTTAAGTTCCCCAAAGTCCACTTCATTCTTCTGTATTCCGAGGGTACACAGGCGCTCATATCTTAGAGCGGATAGGTCAAGGATCATTTCATCTAATTTCATAACATTCATTACTAGATTGATCATTTGTTTCACAATACATGTGTTCACATACAGCTTATATATTTTAAGGTCTATTCGTCAACAATTTGATGATTCCATGACCTCACAGTTTGCATTTATAATTTCATGAGCTATGTATTAAATCAGCCTCTCCAAATCACTTCCAGACAGTTTCTATCATGATGTAACTGTATGACCAGTTCCCAACTTTATTTGGGTAAAATTAAATATCAATGAAACTGAAGTTGACCTCGTGACCTTCAACCCAAGGTCACTGGTAGGTCATAAAGGATACATATTCATGAGGTCCTGCCTGGCTTCTATGAAGTGGCTCAGCTGCTCACATAGATGAGCCAGGAGTCTGTCTCTAGAGGACAATGACCCCTGACCTTCAAATGACCCCACATCAAGGCACTTGGCTTCAATCCGCCTCAGTTCCCCCATCGCCACTGTGTACAGGCCCTTCCTGGTAGACTGATTCGGACAGTGAAAAAAAAAGTGTAGGTGATACAACACATGCTCCCTCTAATTTGCTCTGGGCAGCATGGGACTGACCATGAGAGGGGAGTCCCATGGACCGCTCAATATTTTGGTTTAAGGGCCATTTAATTTAGGCCATTCAAAAAACAAACATGTTTAGCGTCCTGCCTTTTTGAAAAAATGGAAGGAGGAGGCTCGTTTTTTTCCCTTTTTTTTCTTCCAAAATGGCCGCTCGGCACATTTTCCCTGACAGTCGGGCTATTTTTCAAGATGGCCGCCAGCATATTTAAAAAAAAAATCAGAAATAGATCATTTTAGCAGTATGGTTTTCATGTTTTTTATTCAAGGAAGCGAGTGGGGATGCTAAACATGATTTTTTTTTTTTAAATGACCTTTTTGAATATGTAAGATTGTGTGCCAGTTGCATCGAATATAAGTCCCAGCTTTAGTTTATCAAAAGTAGAGTGAGGGTAGGGTTGAGATTGGGTTTTATTTTAAGTTTAGGGTTAGACATACCGTAATGTTAGGTCCATAGTTGGAGTCAGAACTTTATCGTTAATATTTAGAAATCGATCACGGAGCAATTATCACCAGACAATGTGTCATAAAACCATGTATCAGTTTTTTTTCAAACCATAAAAGGAGTAATGAATCAAAAGAGTGTTCAATCAAGATGGGACATGAGAATAAGATGGGAATAATTTTGAAAGAAATTGAGCATATTGTGTCTTTCCCTGACATGGGGGTTTTTGCAAGGAAGAAAATAGACCAGCAAACTCGAGCAGTCCTTTAGTCTTGTGAACATATTGCCTGAATCCAACATGCTGAGTTTTAATTTGAAATCGACCTCTTTTGTGGCATAACATTTGAGTTCTAGGAAGGTTATGTGTAGCTCTAGAGCTTTTGAGTAAAATGTCCTACAATCATACCTCTTTTCTGGCGAACCACTTCAGTTCTAGGAAAGTGAGTGAGGTGTAGCTCTTTTCTGCAGCATTGAGGAATGCCAGGGAATTGAGGAGCGTGGTCCAACTACCCCCTCCACTAGTACTGCTTGATGTCCGGCTTGCCTCTTTCTCCTTCTCCTGTAAGAGACACAAAGAAAGATAAGAATAATATAAGTATGTCATGGCCAGGGCATAAACTCATCAAACCATCTGTATGTGCATGAGCCAGGCTGTGTAATTTAGAAGGTCATCTTGGAGCTTTATATGACATTGGAAATTGCAATGAGTTCTTGGCCTCATCATCATTAGCATCCCTCCTCTACATCGACTCTTTCTGTAAAGGGCAAAGTCCAGGCTATTTTGTGCCAAATGTTGCTGATCACAAGTGATATTTATCTGGTGATTGTATTAATCTCACAGCTCTACTAGAGCTGGGATCAGACCAAATACAAGGTTAAGTTATATTTGTAACCTCCATAAAACTTGGTGAGATAACACCCTGGACTTTCCTTAACAGCTAAGTCTAGGCCGTGTCTTAAAGACATCATTTGAAACTGATTTGAGTCAATCACAACTCTTTGTAAGGGAGGTCCGGAGAACACTTTCTTAGAATGGTTGAAAAGAATTTTGTGAACAGCATGCTTTTCTCTGTGATGTCCAAGGATTAAAAGCACTTTAATAAGATTTTGTGAAACTAGCCCCTGGTGTCATTTAGTTTAACATTAACATGACCAACCAAAGAGTAGCAAAAAGACTGTGATTGATCTACCAAGCTACAAAAACTTAAAAATCACATCCTCTTGATGAAGCATCTGTGTTCTTTGCTGCTCCCGGGATTTTTTGTTGGCATTTGTTTTTTGTCTGCTCTTTGTCTTTTTGTAGAAACAAGGAGGAAATTTTGAGAAGGAGGACATTTTGAGAAGAAGAATATTAAAAAAGATGTTTATAAAGTGGAAAGTGAAAAGAAAATTAAATATAAAAATTAAAGAGGATTGACGACAACATTTGTTATCATTAAACAAAAAATAAATGAACATCATCCGCCTGCATCCAATAACTTCACTACTTAAATTCAAATAAAACACTAGTACACCATATTTATTTAATAGTAATGAAAAACAAACAAGCAAACATTTATATTTTTAAATTTTTAAATCATTAGGGTCAGTGAAAAACTGAATCAGAAGTCGAGAAGAGCATGATTATAATTATGCATTCATGAATGAAGAGAAAATGAGAATAAAATATAGAAAAGAATAGACCTACACATCACATTGTAGCCGTTATGAGCTATTATATCTTTACTAGGCCTATATTTTATATCTAAGTTCTAAAAGTGGGTGACTTAATTAAACATAGTGAATCATAATCCGGCAGCATGCATACCGGTAAGGCGGTAGGCCTACTGTAGTTAAGTTGTACCTGTGCACTGACATTAACCGACGCCGTCGCGTCGGCTGAGACGTTCGTCGACAATGGTCGACGCTCGCTCGCGCTCGGCGAGTAAACGAAAGGATTAAAGATGGATATTTACCAATTGCTCCTTAGCCTTGTCAAATGCCAAGTGGCTCAGGGTCTCAAAATAATTTTCAAGGAAAATTTCTTCATGATCCGGTGATGATTCCGGCTTTGCAGACGAAGAACTTGAACTCATCTTGACTTTTATTTTGGATGATCTGTCTAAAGTTAAACGACTATAAACATGATTGTAAATACTATGGTACCGTCAATATAACTGAATAACGTGGAATTTGTACTTTCTGTAAAAATGGAGCACTTTGATCAGTGTGTATTAAACGGATCGGCGGGGGAGGGGGGGGGGGATATTTATTATTCTTTATTATTCATTCAGTGTATAACATATTATATTGTTATAAATGAGAAATAATTTCCAACTGTATATAATTCTGTTATGTTTCTGAGATAATTAGTAGCTAAACGTCACGTTTTGTATATATGCATTTGTAATCAGTAGCGTAGACCTACGCAGGATTTTTTCAAGGGAGGGGTTTTAAAATCGGGCCCAAAATTTGCTCCCGAAAATTTGAAAATCGCGCCGGCCGAAAAGTAATGCAACTTCAATATCTTGTAATATTATGTTACTTGCATTGATCGAATAAACTATATTTTTTTAATTTTTTAAACCGTGCCCCTCTTTCTCCCAATATTGGGAATGACAATAGAGACATTTTAAAGTTTGCTTGCAAGGCAGTTTTCAGCATTTCACCTTTTTTTAATGTCCTGCCTGGCCTGACGTTCTTGTCTTCTTCTTCATTTCTCTCTCTCCGAGTCTCTTTATAATTGAAAGAACATTTCCCAAGGTTGTTATATAGGCTGTTACATTTGTTTCCTTATAACACATGCAATCTATGTATTTTATTTTTTGGAATTATTATTATGCTATATCTTTATTGGTCGTCATTATTTTCCCCATCTTCTTCTTCTTCTTCTCCAAATGGGTTTTGTTTATTATTATGAATATTATCATCATTAATTATTACTTTGAAATTGCTGCAAAAGCTGACGTTAGTACATAAAGAAGAGGATACCCTCTGTTATATCATTTATATACTTTAATAATTCGAAGAAAAAATGTCGAATGATTTTCTTCCTAAAAAGCTATAGCTGGCTTTCTTTCTTCCTTCACTCAAATGCATTATATGAACTTGTTCCTTATTAGTGTTCCTTTCATATACTCTACATGTTATATATTAAATAATTCATTCATACTTTGCTATTAAGTCGAAAAAACTTTGAATGATTTCCTTCTATATCAAGCTGGCTTTCTTTCTTTCGCTTCACTTAAATGCATTATGCTTGTTCCTTATAAGTGTTCCTTTTATATACTCTACATGTTATAAATTTGTTAAATTGAATTACATTCATGTTGGAAGAAAGACAAATAAACTTGAACTTGAGCTGGCATTTTTTTCCATTTTTTGTTTGTTTACTTGAAGCCACTTGCTTTATCCACAAGCTGCAGCACAACGACCCTCTCGTCATGATACACCAATGGGCTAGCGCTGGCTGAATATTTCTTGAGTTCCTGCTGGCTGTACTGTGGCAGCGCTGCGCGTTGTTAACAGTCTCAAGTCTTCAAGTGTTCAGTGCAGTATTAACCCATTCACGTCTCTAACAGCGGCTAAAGGTAACAAAAAGCATGACAAGCCAGTAGGGCTACTGTACTATTAAGACATAACTGTCATGACTAAAGTAAAGTATGAGTAGATCTAGAACTAAGTTATGAATAAAAGAAGTTTAATTCTAAAAAATTTCAATGAACATGATGAATAAATCAAATTAATGGGATGGATGGATGGATCATGGATGCATATGTATGGATGAATGAATGAATGAATGAATGAATATATAGACCTCTAAGGCTCTATCAGGTGGGGCGGATCCAAAAATGTCTTGCCGGGGGGGGGGGGGGGGCTATTGGCATTTTTTTTTTTTTTTTTTTTTTAAATAACAAATGTTATAATTTTTTTCTGGCCGGGCCGGGGGCCGGATACATCCCTGTTTTTCAGTACCTTTTGGGCGAATTTAGGGCTGATTTTTAACATATTTGGGGGGGGGGGGCACATGCCCCCTGTGCCCCCCCCCCTGGATCCGTCTATACTTATAGACTAGATCTAGTCTAGACCCTACTAGATTTTTTTTTTTAACCCCACAAAATTGAAATTGTGACATTCATGTGAAATAATTATTAGCCACAGCTCGCGCTCATTCACCTTGTAATTGTATGTAGCTGTTCATTGCGGCCTTATGACCACTAGGCCAGGCTATGGGCATGGACTTGTAATTGGGGAGGGGGGGGGGGGGGTTCAGCCTCCAAGGGCCCATAGTACCAGAGTTAGACTATTCATGCAAGTATGTATACATGCATGATCTGACTCTATACTCTAGTCTCTATCATATTTGGCTTATTAAATTTACTAGTACTACAATTAATTGTAATCTTTTTACCATGTGCATTTAATTCTTCAGTACTTCAATTAAGATACTTTAAAGATGGCGACAAAGAGGAGTTCCCAGGGTGGAGCCACAGATAATGGACAGCCTGCCAAGAAGAAAGGTTTTTGGGCCTTGGGTTTGTTGGACTCGATGAAGGACCCTGCCCTGCAGCATTTTACTGATGACAAGATCGTCGTTATCAAGGATAAATACCCCAAGGTATGATCAGTGGCCTTATGTAGTAGATGAGGGAGGTAGAACATTCTTTGTGCCAGACAGAAATAACCGTCTGATATGGGTCATTTCTTTAATAAAACTGACATTTGTATAGAGGCGGTCAGAGGAGCCAGATGCAATCTCAGCGGAACAACCATCGATATCAGAGACTGAAGCTTTCGGTCTAGCTTTGTGCATGCCTTTAAAATCCCAATGTCAAATACCCCTTAATCTTTTGTTTTAATTTTAAAAATTATTAACCCTGAAGTACTGGCAAATCTGATATCTTTTATTTTCTTATCAGTTTTTTTAAAGTCACTTACAATTTTGACAATCAACCCCTTTTATTAGGTGGGTGGGGGAAGAGTAAATTGTAAGATAACCTTTTTTGTTTGTAAGAATCTGTGTTTTACTTTCCCTATTTACAGTATAATAGTAACATACATGCTTCTTTTTTAAAATACGATGTAATTCCATCTTATTCCCATTCTTTCCTTTCTTTAGGCCAGACACCATTTCCTAGTGTGCCCAAGACTGAAAATCAATAATCTGAAGGCCCTTAAACCTGAGCATCTGCCACTACTCAATCACATGCATGAAGTAGGCAAAAGAATCATCAAGGAGTAAGTACAGAAGACTCCATAATACATACATGCCAACTGTTCAGATTAAAGAGGAACATTCCTCTTTTTGGGAGAAGATAATTATCATTTTAATGCAGGTGTTCCTCTTCCTGTACAAATTTGTCTGTAGTATTGAATAGGAGAGTTAGGATTGTTCCTCTTTTTTTTTAAATAGCATAATTTGTACAGATTTCTGATTTTCAAATGTTGGCATGTATGCATAATAGTTTGTCTGTGGAGAGCCAGAAAGGCATTAACTCTGTGTAAAAGCAATACCTAATGCCCTTCTTGCTCTCTTTAGATGATTAAGAACCATTCTCGTTTGAATTAGTAGAATGCCTCATTAAATAATTTGGTATGGTGGAATACTGTTATATAACAAGCACCGTGGGAAATTACCTTGAAATGGCTGTAACCCCCCCCCCCCCCCCAAAAAAAAAAATAAAAATAAATAATAAATAATAAATAAATAAATTAAAAAAACAAAAAAAATAAAAATAAATAAAAATAAATAATAATAATAAATAAACAAATAAATAAAAAATAAAAAAACATATAAAAAAAAAAATAATAATAATAATTTTAAAAAAATAGTTATAAATAAAAATAAATAAAATAACACTTACAAACAAGTGGGATTAGCAAAACAAGTTTGTTATAACAGTGTTTTTCATAACAAGGTTTCATCGCCCTTTTAGTCATTACCATAATCAAACAAGGCAAGGCTAATTAGGGGGGGGGGGGCCATCTTACACAATATACATTGTATAAACCCACAGAACTTTCAAAGGGAAATTTGTCTTTCATTTGTAGGTAGCTTTTCCATAATGACTTACTCCAGTAGTGTACAGCATGAAGAGGGGTTGAGGGGGGGGGGTGGTATGGGGGTTTACCCCTCTCCCATACAGACATTTCTGTGCAAAATTTAGGATTTCCCCAAAATTTGTAGTGTATTTTGGAAATTGAGGAGATTTCATTTTGCTTGTTTGAAAATTATAGCTACATGTAACTTTTTCATCAAATTTGGTATTACACCAAAGTTTTAATGGTCCAGCAACACCCTGGTTTCTAGAAAAAGTTACCCCAAATTTGCTTTGTTTGTTGAATTTGTCAGCATGCATCAGCAAGATTTTACTAATGTTAGTCTCATGGTCACCAACTCCTTGTCCTGCAGTGACGTCGTTTTATTAAAAAGTATCCTTTTTTATGAATGACACCATAGGTCTATAGGAGAAGAAGAGCTAAAGTACCAACTTGGATACCACGCAATACCAAGTATGAGGTGAGTAATCTGTGCTCCTACCACATTTTTGTTTGCTATGTGCTAATTGCAAGTCATCCTTTTCAAGAATCGCTATTCAAAATAAAAATTCTCTCTGTGAGAATGTAGGAAGCACCATGTTGTGTTTATTGGTACACTCTTTACCTTTTCCCTAAATTGATACAAAAGAGTTGTAAATTTCATTGATGACATGTATTAATTAATCAAACTTTGCAAATTTGTTTCCCCTGGTCAATAGTCATCTGCATCTACATGCCATCTCCAGAGATTTTGATTCCCCATGCCTCAAAAACAAGAAGCATTGGAACTCCTTCACAACCGACTACTTTGTGGACTCAATGGGTAAGATGACTGGGCCCTGGTTCATTCAAACGTGTTATCAATAACCATTTACAATAACTGTTATAAGCTACTGAAATGGTGGTGGCTGAGAGCAGATTTGTCATAGATATTTAGCATTTGTTGTAGATAACAAGTTTTATGAAACAGGGCCCTGGTCTATATTCACTTGATCTGATGACCCCTAGTACATACTATGTGATGAAACTCAAATGAAGACCTCCCTGTAGATAGATAGCCCAGAGGATGGACAATGTTGGTCTCTCTCTCTCTCTCTCTCTCTCTCTCTCTCTCTCTCGAGCACTCAGAAAAGTTGTCAGAAGAAGACCCATGAGACCAACATTGTCGGCTGTCAGTCTCATGAACCTGCAACTAAATCTTTCAGAAGTTTTGTTGAGCTCTCGGTCTTGGGAGCTGATGCGAAATCATGCAATGGTATACTTGTAGCTTGGGTTTATCTATAGAGTGAGTACTAGTGTTGAGGGGGGGGGGGGCGGTGCACAGGTCTTATTAAGTGAATGAAACGTGACTGTATACATGTAAGTCCACATTCAACCTTTCCACATATGTGTTTCAGAATTGATTGCGGAGTTGGAAGAGAACGGATGTGTGGATACATCGGGACGAAATGGAGAGGAACTCCTCAAACAGCCTCTAAGGTACAGCTATAATTTATAAGAGTTAAGCTTTCATTGTGTAATGTCCTCTAGCAAGACATTAGTCTGCATTTGCCACTACCCACCCAGGGTATTGGATAGGTACCTAATAGAAAGTGGTTCCCTTTAGCTGCAAAATATCTTGGTTAATTCAGTGATTTTGGTACGCCTAAAGCACTTTATGTGGGAGGTATGACTACTACACATAGAAATTGATGTTATAATCATTGTTTTTTTTATTCAGAAAGCTTAACACTTAAATTGTTTTCCTTTGATTAAAACTGGAGCTATTGTGATCTTTGTATACTGCCCACCATACACATCAACAGACATAAATTTCCGACAATAATTCATTGCTTGGTGAGGTGAGGAAACTAATAATCAAGATTTCATAGGTCTTAACAAGTATGAAATCTAATATATTCAGAGTAAACGGTGAGCTTACTGATTCTAATTTTAGTTATACATATTCTTTCTGTGTACAACGAATGGAGATAGAAATCGTTTTAAGATTGCTGCTTTTGCTTGATTTAATTGAAGAAAAATTTGTTCTGTTTTCCAGATGCCACGTCTGCAAATCACAATTTGCCAACATGCCAAAGCTGAAAGGACACATCGTAAAACACATCAAGAAGTGACCCAAAGCGTTTGATAAGGTCTTGGGAGAGGACATGAAGCTGTTCAGACAGTGATGTACTCTGGATTGAAGAATGAGTGAAAGAACTGAACTAAAAATCCTTGGACTCCATTGATATGCATACAGACAAGTGTGTTCAGACAGTTGCATATATCTCACATGGTATAGGAAATTAGTTCCTGGAATTCAACTGTACTCGGGACTTTTACGTTGCATGATTTTTGTTTGATACATGTAGATGGGTAACATGTACAAAGACATTGTTCAGTAGTGGCGTATCCAGACAGAAGCCTCTGGAGGGGCTAAATATCTCATCTTACTGTGATCCAGATAGTTCAGTATTAAAGGAAAACATGGTCGTACTTAGCTGCTGAAATGCAAGAGAATACGGCCATCAAGTCAGGGGAGCGCATGCATGAGAGGGGAATGTATCGTGTCTGATAATCACCTCATGTTATCTTCATCTTTCCCCATTCTCACACTGTTTCTTCTTTTTTCATCTCTCTCACTTCTCACTCCTCCCCTCCAATATCTGGCATTGTAGAATGGATCCGGTAAGAAGGTTAAAGAGGAGACTTGCGAAGTAACAAACTACGAGTTTTAATCCTATGTGATTTTCTTTTTTCTTCTTTGTATTTGTGACCCACTCTGAATGCTAGTGCTTCTATAGTACCCTTGTAGGGTTCCAAGCCATCCTGAAAATCAGGGGAAACCTGCAAAATGAGTTCACTAGTGTCTGGAATTTGAGAAAAATCCCTCAAATCCCTGAAGTCAAGTCATTTTTACCCCCCCCCCCCCCCCCAAAAAAAAATAATAATAATAATAATAAAATAAGCTTTCGGTTTCGGTCTGAACATCATGTCCATGTCTCAAACTGGAAATGACGAGTCCAGTAACTATCCTGGAATTCTTAAACTCCCATCAAAGAAAAATCAAGGACTTTTCTTCTTTAATATGAAATGCTTGGTACCCCACTTTGTGTAACCAGTAATAATCATGTTTACCACTTAAAATTTGTACGACAGGTTTTTGTTTTTGGTTCCCTTTCAAAATGTTGATCATGATGTAGAGGGAATTTGTACTTGTTCATAAACTGTTTTCTAAAAACCTACGTTTCTTTGATTTATCTGTAGTTGTTTATGTTGTGAGAGGGGAGAAGTAAAATCAGGGAGAAATCAAGCCATTTATAAATCTTGTTATCATAACAAGTTGGTATAACCGTTATAAGGTAGTGAAATTGTACTTGATTTGCTGTGATCAAAGTTGTCACTGAATTCCGACACTTATTATTGATAACAAGTTTTATAAAACGGCTCAAGAGTTGTTGGGATGAGCAAGAAGAAAGCTTCTTGGAAGATGTTTGCACGAGATAAAACTGAAGAGAGGAGATGAGAGAAAGTGAGCGAAAGAATGGTGGGAGCTGGGAGAGCTTTGGCAAGCACTGCAGAGATGCCAACCCTCCCGATTTCATCGGGAGGCTCCCGATAATTCACCCCAACTCCCGACCTTACGATCACCATCCATCCTTAGCGCTTAGAGACTTCGATGGTAAGCGCTTTATAAGTAACGTTTTTATTATTATTATTATTATTATTATTATCCTCCCGATTTATTTTAAAAAATAAATAAATAAAAAAAAAATTAAAATAAATTATGATTTTTTTTTTTTGGGGGGGCGCTTATCAGTATATATATCTGTGAATTGAATGAGAAATATCGTCTGCTAACTTAAGCATGTAGTAATTCCGCTATGTTAAAAGACATATAAAAGACAAAGAGTAGCGAAAGATTGTTTCAGCATACATGTATGGATCGCTGTAACCAATGCGTGGATATTGACACAGAATCCAAATGGCGGAAAATCAGCAAAAGAAGACCAAGAAATGGTCTCGGAAGTATAAGACCGAATACAGTATCAAGTACCCCTGTATTCGGAAGTCTGAAAGGAATTCATCATGCATTTTGTACAATTTGTATGTTATTTTTAAAAAAAGTGGGAATTATTTAACTAAATACACATCATGACATGTAAAATGCTGCAAAATAAGGCTCAGATTGCACCAGAGAGCATCTAGAACCCCAGAGCTTCCAGGGCCCTAAAGCGGGCCCTGGACCCCGGTCGCTTGGGTCGGGCGCTACGCGCTCGAGATGTGCGCTACGCGCACATTATTTGGTGTCGGTTACAAATCCTCCCTATTTCTGTTTTCCAAAAGTTGGCATCTCTGGCACTGATGCCGAGCCCTGGGGGAGGGTGTTACACAAAGATTTGAAGTCGAACTTAACTCTAAGTTGGACTTAAATATTATGGGGAGCCATTTGTAGCCTTATTTTGAAATATATTCCAAAGCAAAAATTCAAGTATTTTAGACTTTTCATATCAAGAACATGAAATCTCCTTAATAATAGAAAATATGAATGATTTGAATCAACAATTTATGCCTTTTAAAATAACTTTTACAAAATATTTTCAAGGATGCTAATGGCTTTACATAATTGTTTACCTAGTCCAACTTAGAGATAAGTTCAACTTAGAATCTTTGTGAAACACCCCCCCCCCCCCCCCCGGATCTTTAGCTAACCGAGGGATATAGTTGTGACAACCATTCATAGGTCAATTCCAGGAGCTTCAAAGTTCCCTCCTATCACAGTATTCGTCATCACACATAAAACAGTGACATAAAACTACTGTACTTCCAGAGCCAGGAGTCAGTGCATTAACTCAGTGTAGAAGTAGGCAAGTTAATGCACTTTGGGCTCTAAACAGATGATGAACTGCAAAAGATGATCTTTTGTTTCAATATACTATTATTGGGGGTAATCCTCGACAAATCATTTTTGATTTTTTGACTACCCCTCCCACATTTACTGATTTTTTTCTTCATTTTAAAACATACATTGCTCCAACTGGAGTTATTTTTTTATGTGATGTACACGTTCTATTATTGTATTGTATGTGCCGGGTATGTATTTTATTTTAGGTAGCTCCCTATGTTTTGCATTTGTGGAAAAATAAGTTGAACTTGAACTTGAATTGTCTTGTATACACAATTCTCGTTCTAAATATTGTGTTTAAAACAACAGAGTTTAATACCTAAAGGTAAGGAGACAAAACCTTTATTAAAGTACTATTAATGATGAAATGGAATAAAAACTACAGTAGGATCTATCACGGCTCTATGAAATGACCAACTAAGTGGAAGCACCTTTCAGAATCGTAATCTTCACTCTCAATTAGCTAGCTATGCCAGACGTATGGACAGTACTTTGGCCTATATGAACAGGATATGTAAGACTTGACTCTTCATGACAAAATACAATACTTCATGACACAACCAATAATATGCTGTACTTTTTATTATCTTATTCAACTTTCAACAAAAGTTTAACAAACGCTTACAATCTCACCATCAGCGATACACTATACAAATTTTTACAATTTTGTTTAAAACCACTGTTCACATGCTAAGACATAAGCTTGAAAGTCTCTTAGAAGCTCATTAAATAATCAATGAGTTGGTGCTTGCTCTTAGCAGCATATACTGAACATAATTGTATAAAAAGATTTACAAAACAAACATCATAATAACACTAAAAAGACACACTAGATAGAAGTCATGACATGGTGTAAATGCTTCACAGGAGTAAAAGGATTTATCTCCCTAAATTTGGCATTTTCAGCTGGGCAATATCTTCAGATCAATATCAATTTGACCAAGGCTATCAAGACTGGCTTCACCCACTTCAAATATAAAGTGATAATAGTTATTTCACTTCAATAATACCAATTTCAGCTTTGTTTTACTCATATCGAGGGTGTTGGGTGGAGTTAAGTCTTTGTGTTTCCTGGAAAGCCCACATCTTTCTGACCATTTTGATATCAAATACTCATTTTGGCAAAATATGGAGTTACGTCTTTGTGTCACTGAACCCTGGATATGCTCTTGGCTTCCTAGAGGTAGTCATCTAAACTATCCTTTATCTATTGTGGTGCTCAAAGTAATTCAGGAATTCCTTCTTACTAGATCAGCAGAGCCTTATCTATTACACCTGGGTTAAAAGAGACAGGTACAGATAAAATGCCTTGTCTACAGACAGAAGTTGAATGAATAATCCACATTATTGAGTGAAAAGACAATCTTCTACACACACACATGTATATCCCACATCACATACTACATGAAATTTCAAGATGCACCAATAACCTTACAAGAACAGCATGTTTTATATATTACATAACAGTTTCAATCACATTTCATATGTGACAAGACAACAACTGGTAACACATATCATAAAAAGCTATAATACAATATTTACATAAAGTCAGAATCAATATATAACTAGTAATCAAGAAATGTTATTTCTTTAATCAGTAAATGGGTATTGATCAACAAATTTGACATCTGTTTAACTATTCACATAATATCTGAACTCTTAAACTAGGTCCAAACTTATTAAAGCGGAGACTAATTGAGAATCGATAACAAAGAAGTCAAAGTTGACCAGTTATCTTTTCAATACCCTCCCTGCCCATTCAATGAGGGAATGCCTTCAATTTGGATCCACAATTTTGAAACAGTTTAGCCCCGAAATGCAAAAAAACAGGAGGTTAAAATTTACTACATGAACCTGCATGAAACTTGTCAATGTGTAAACATAAATAGACCTGAAATCTATCTAGCTTATGAACTTTGTGGACAACAATACACTTGAGATATTTATATGTTTATTCATTATTTGACAGAACATTTTGCTAACCAAATGACACAACGTGCATTGTTATTAATTGCATATGATTATTTGAGGAATGTCCTTCATTGGACATTTCCATCTTATACATGGAATGATCAGTGTTCCTACTTTTAGTTTAATTTTTATTGTAATGTAATGAAAATGAAGTATGGTGCCATCATCTTTGTGAGCTGTGGTCTGAAAGGATGCAGTCCAGGGCCCCGTTTCACAAAGCCTTTTTTAATGACAAATGACAAAAATCAGTGACAAATCTGCTGATAGCCAATCAGAAGCAAGGATTTCAGTAGCTTTCAACAAAAACTGTCATTTGTCACTGATGACAAGTTTTGTGAAACCCCCCAGGTGATGCAGGTACTTGAACGGTCCACAATGTCTTCTCCCTCCTTGTCTCTAGAATGTTCCCATCTGCATGTCCTCCTGTTACCATGGAAACAAAAAGAGGAAAAATAAATAAATACTAAAATGATAAACACAGCAATCAGTGGTTGCACAATTTACTTACAAACCAGTCATCTACAAAGCAGTAATCTACAAGTAAAATGGCAGAATCCTATGATTTGAGACAGTTATTTTCAATATTTCTTTCAAATACCTAATTTTACAGGGTACGAAGAAAAGACGTTTTCATGTTAGTTTGCCTGGCCTCTGAATAATAATGTTTCTAACTTTCTATTTCTTAAAGTGATTCAATATACTCCTTCCATAGTGCTTTTATCAATCACTGAATTAATAGATGAATAAGCTTCATCACAAACAGTTGAGGAGAAAAAAACAAAATATATTTTCATCATGGTTTTTACAGAAAAAAACAATAGCAAAAGAAAATCAATGGCAAATGATAAAATTCAACCAGAAAAAGAGAAAACTCGAGGTAAGTGTTAGAAAATGCTGAAATATGAAACAAAATATATTTTCATCATGGTTTTCAAAGAAAAAACAAAAGCAAAAGAAAATCAATGGCAAATGATAAATTCAATCCAGAAAAAAGATAAAACTTAAGGTAAGTGTTAGAAATATGACCCCCCCCCAAAAAAAAAAATAATAAAACAGCAAGTCGTTAGATCATGCAATTTGATTAAAAACTGAACAAACAAACAAACACCACCCCCCCCCCCAATTTTTTTTTTTAAATTGCAAAAGCCAACATACACAATAGAGAAACAGAGTAACCGAGTTCAATGAAATGGGAATTAAGAATCGTCATCAAAACACGGTAAAGGCTATCAGTTAACCTTTCTGATTCTTGGCAGATATTGAACATGATGTTACCGAAGCCAACAGGCCTGGTAACAAGAACTTAACTCAATAAACATGAAAGTGGATGTCATCATCAAAGCATGAACACATGGTCGAATGCTTCATCTACTAAGAGCCAGAGGACATGGCCTGAATCTAACTGGCGCCCAGGACAACATGGGCGCCCAAAATCCAAGTCCAGACCCCCAAAATTTTGGAGTATTTACATAGGGCTCATGCAAACAGACTCTAAAAATCGAGACACCTTCCAAAAAAGTAAGCGTGAAGCTCTGCAGAAGGGCTGTACAATTAACAGTAACGCCCTTTTGTCTCCCGGCAAACAACCTCCAAAATACAACATTGGCAACAACAGTGGTAAAATAAATGAAAACAATGAACATGAAAATAGGAGTCGTAAGTATGATCTCAACAGATGATGAATAGGATAAGACAGACGCAAACAGGCTTGGTAAGAAAAACTGAAATCAACTGAAGCTGAAACAGAAGCAACTGAAGAGGCTTCCAAAAGGTTTCATAATTAGAACAGAACAAGGTGGGTAACAAGAATGAAACAGAAGGAACCTAAAATGGAAGCACCTGAGCAAACTTCCAACAGGATTCATGAGAAGAACCAAAAACTTATAAGAACTGAACAGGTTTAGAAACAACAGCTGAACACATTGAACCTGAAGCAGAAGCAGCTGACCAGGCTTCCAACAGGCTTCCCCTTTGCAGCTGAATAGTTTTTGTGACAAGAAGCGAACCTTATGATACAAATGGAATAGGTTTAGTTAGAAAGAACTGAACACAATGAAACTTGAAGTGGAAGCAAATGAACAGGCTTCCAACAGAATTCATAATAAGAATCAAACGGGTTTGGTACCAAGAACTAAACTCTGAACCTGAAGCAACTGAACAGACTTCCAACAGAATTCATGATAAGAATCAAACAGGTTTGGTAACAAGAACTGAACTCTGTGAACCTGAAGAAGAAGGAACTGAACGGGCTTCCAACAGAATTCATTATAAGAATCAAACAGGTTTGGTAACAAGAACTGAACTCTGTGAACCTGAAGAGGAAGCAACTGAACAGGCTTCCAACAGAATTCATTATAAGAATCAAACGGGTTTGGTAACAAGAACTGAACTCTGTGAACCTGAAGCGGAAGCAGAAGGAACTGCCTAGACGAAGTCCTCAGAGGAATAATAGTCCTCCACCAGATCGGCCATCATCTCATCCTCATTATAGCTGGGAAGGATCACTCTCCTGCTCCTGCGAGACCTCCTGGCACCGCTACCTGTAGAGGCAGCACCCTTGAGGGTACCCTTGATGGGTTCTTTAGTGGCCCGCCCACTGCTTGCAAAGGCAAGGGGCTTGTGCCTACGTGCAGGGGCAGGAGATTCTTTTGGGGTCGAGCGGTACCTTGATTGCTAGGGAGGGGAGCAACATGCATGGTGATCATTACAACGCACACTCACATGTTTATATTAAATGTTTACTTTTTTTTTTAATGCAAAAATACATGGGTAGTAAAACAGATATACATACAATGAGCTTATGCAGGCAAGAAGGGATGAAGATACAGACAAAAACAAACAAAAATATCTTGGAAATTCACTGAACAGAGCAATATTGTTTTGCTTGTTGACCTTACTGGCAGTGCTCAAAAAATTTGGGGACAAATATCCCTTAATTATTATTATTTTTTTTTTTTTTTTTTTTTTTTTTTTTTGGGGGGGGGGGGGCTAATCTCCTTTTTAAATATTTTGACGACACATCACAGCCTACTTTTCTTTGAGGAAGTAAATCAGGCTCTATAACATGCTATGCAGACAATCGTTCTATGCTCAATTTCAAACCTAAAACTACCTTTAAACCCAAATGACACCCGAACCCCACCTTATCGCTAACCCTGTAACTCTGACAGAACAAAGCTCAAAGTAAATGTCGTGTCCCTCTGAACAGACTGTCCTCGGTCTCTTAAACATCGGTACTCACCAAAACCTGCATGGCCTGTCCTTCATGGAAGTCCTCCTCATCTTCCTCTTCCTCCTCCTCCTCCTCTTCATCCTCCTCATCGACCTCCGTGTGCATGGGATGCCTGTTATCAAAGACCATGAAAGCAACTCGGTATTAGAGGCTGTCTGATCGCTTACAAGATGATTCGACACAGACAGGTTTTTTAAAGAAATGTTATAGTTAATATTGATGGATCAGTGACACAAAGACGTAACTCCATTTTGGCAATTTTGAGAAAAAGTGGTTGATGTGTCGCTGATCACTTGGGCCCTAAGGAGTTATGTCTATGTTTCACTAGCCATTGCCTTCAATGGGTTGTTGGGTGGAGTTAAGTCTTCGTTTATCCTGGAAAGCCCACATTTTTCTGAACATTTCGATATCAAATACTCATTTTGGCAAAATATGGAGTTACGTCTTTGTGTCACTGAACCCTTGATATCATGTATTCCTTTAAGCGATCACTGGAGGACACCTTCAAAAATCTCACATGGTAGTGGTATGTCACGACCTTTAACTCAATCCATGACCCACAGTTTATCTTCTGCTATTGACGATCAATTCCATATTAGAGTGTGGATGCTGGTCCTTACTTATCATTACTGGGGGTGTTTCACAAAGCCTTTTTTCAATGACAAATGACAAAAATCAGTGACAAATCTGCTGATGACCAATCAGAAGCAAGGATTTCAGTAGCTTACAACAAAAAATGTAATTTGTCACTAATGACAAGTTTTGTGAAACACCCCCCTGAACTTGACCACCGATCTTCCACTAATTTGAAAATGTCCAAGTCTCGTTTTCTATAACTCAGTACATGAATACATTTTGTCCTACGCTTCAACTATCCCTATCTCTGCTCCTAGGTTTACAAAGTAGTTTTTTGCTGGCTTTCTGTCCTAAGATTATTCAGTATCCCTACTTGAAAAATACTACTGTACTTCTAAATATCTTTAATCAACTATCCAATCTCTCTTTAAAAAACAAATACTGTTATCTGTATCTTAGTGTCGAGGTTAGACCTGAAGTTCCATTCTTGTGCCTGTCCCCAGTCTATAGCCTTGCTTGATCTATACCTCTACCTGTCTATAGTATTAGCCTTGCCATTTTTCCTGTATTCCAAAACCAACCAATAGGAAACCCTAAATTTCATTGCTAATGCTCACTTATGACATTATGTCAGGTTTCAGAACTTCAGGAAAATTGTTTCTATATATATATATTTATATATCTTGCTCCTGTAAAGCTCTGTAGCCCTTGACTTAATCTAACCCTGTACCTATCCCTAGTCCTTGACTTAGTCTAACCCTGTACCTGTCCCTAGTCTTAGCCTTGCTTGCTTGCTTTCTGCCTTGATAACTATGCCTAGCCCTAGCTTTCTTTGTCCTGGCCCTCTGGCTGTTGAGCCAAGATGACATGGAGGCTTGTGAGTTTGGAGCTGTATCCTCCATCCTGTGAGAATGGGGTAAGTACATGTAAGTACAATGGGGGCACATGCTCTTCATAAAAATAACTTTAAAAAAAAAAGGAGAGGGGGAGAGAGAAATGGAGAGAGAGAGAGAGAGGGAGAGAGAGGGAGAGAGAGAGAGAGGGAGAGAGGAGGAGAGAAAGCGAGAGAGGAAGAGGGAGATAAAGGGGGAGGGAGGGGGAGGGGGAGAGGGAGATAGAAGTCGGAAAGCGAAAGAGAAAGGGGAGGAGGGAGGGCGAGAGAGAAAGAGAGAGAGAGAGAAAGATAGGAGGGAGGGAGGGAGAGAGAGAGAGAGAGAGAGAGAAAGATAGGAGGGAGGGAGGGAGAGAGAGAGAGAGAGAGAGAGAGAGAGAGAGAGAGAGAGAGAAAGTGATAAGGAGAGGGGAAAAGAACAAGAACTCAAGATAAAAGGAACCCTTCTGCAGGTTCCATGCTCTGGCGACTACTGCTCAGGGGTCAATGTGCTATACTACATGAGTTCTTAACATTGTTCCTGGAACAAACATTACACCTGAGCCTAACCCAAACCTTACCTCACACCCAATTGCAACCCTATCCTAAACACCACATCACCTCACCACTTCTGGAGCAATTGTTGTCGGAGCATACGTTGGACCACATTTCTGCACCCTCCCCCTAACCAGAGGCCTTCTTAATTATATTTCATTCACAGAATATTGGTAAAAGAGTTCTTGAGAGCTTTCAATGCTCTTGCAGGGGGGGGGGGGGGGGGGGGGGGCGTTTCACAAAGCCTTTTTTCAATGACAAATGACAAATATCAGTGACTAATCTGCTGATAACCAATCAGAAGCAAGGATTTCAGTAGCTTATAACAAAAACTGTCATTTGTCACTGATGACAAGTTTTGTGAAACACCCCCATTTGAAGGCCTAGAGGCCTCAAACAAAACCTCTAGCATGCCCTCAGATAATCCTAGTCATTACAACCCCATCTTTGCGTCTTTTGTTTCTTCTAGACTGGAAACAAAATAAATGATAAGAAGTGATAGGAAGCACTCACTCAAAATCTCTATCGGATCCTTGCAGTGATGTCTCCTCGTCTCCTCTGAGACGCTTTGCTGCACCGGTGACGTTGATGTGGGCATCCCTGGACAACCATTGGTCGTTAGAACTCTCATCTAGGGCAGGAGCAAAGAAAGTGGCAAGATGAAAATTTCTGTTTAGATCTATATAAATTAACATTGTGCGTGATTTAACCACCTGCAACTTAATGATCTGATCCCTTAATACATTTTTCTAAATATCCTCTCTGTGTCTCTGCCAGTCTGTCTATCTGTCACTTTAATTCTTTCTTTGACTCTCTGTCTCTCTATACCCCCCCCCCCCACCCTCTCTCTCGCTTTCTTTCTCTCTCTCTTCATCCCTCCTTTTTAGTCTCTGTATATCTGTCTCTCTCTCTGTTTCTGTTTGTCTCTAAATGCCCGAAACATTATGTATTTTCTCCCTATAATCCATCTCCTTGCATGGTCATGTCTCTCTTCATTTCCTTGGATTTTTGTATCTGAAGAATCTTGGTCTCTCCCTCTCCCTCTCCCCCCCCCCCCCCCTCCCTCCCCCCCCCCCCCTCTCTCTCTCTCTCTCTCTCTCTCTCCCTTCTTTTTCTTTATACTCTTCTTCAAACTCCACCTACCTCCTTGCATGGCCATCTTTCTCTTCATTCCCTTGGCCTGTTTCTTGCTCATCTTCTGTATCCTAGGTACCTCTGGGGGTCTCTCTATCAGGTCTCCCTCCCTCCCTCCCTCTCTCTCTCTCCCTCCCTCCCCCTCCCTCTCTCTCTCACACTCCTCTCAAATACTCCACCTACCTCCTTGCATGGCCATCTTTCTCTTCATTCCCTTGACCTGTTTCTTGCTCATCTTCTGTATCCGTGGTACCTCTGGTGGTCTCTCTATCAGGTCTCCCTGAAGGAGTGAATGGCGGTAGATCCTTAGAGGGGCCCATTCCTCACTCTCCTGCTCCGTCATCCCTTCCTTCAGGTTCTTATCCAAGTATTGCAGCCTAGAAGATATATCGTCAAAGAGCACACAATTGTTTAAATTGAATGCTTCCCATCCTTGATATGCACCCAAAACCAGAATACAATCTCTCTCTTTAAAAATTCATCAACAAGACGACCTGGTCAACATGGGTTCCCCTTCCCCTAATCATTAACTAAGCGAGTTAAACATATAGATTAATGCCTTGCCAAAGGACATTAGTGCCGTGTCGGGGATAGAACCACGACCTTTGAATTTCAAGTCAAGTACTTAAACCACATGACTACGACACTCTATAAGCCAAACAACATCAATATTACTGTTTGACTTGTCTCGGAACAGACTTGTACTAAAAAGCTAGACTTTACAATGAATTACACAGTATCTAATCTTTTATCAGCTTACTGCTGAATAACTTATAACAAGAATGGCTATATTAAAAGTGACTTACACAGTACGCTTATCTTGTCTCATCAGTTTACTGCTGAATTCAGTCAAGATCTCCAGGTAGCCCAGGTTAGGTGGAGGGCCATACTCGTTAGCTGGATCTTCAAGTGGAGTCAAGCCGAATTGAATACCCTCCCTGTTTGACAAAACAAGACATATTTGAAAGGTAACAATCACATTGAAAATAATTTGTGCACAGCTAGAATGTGTAAAATCAACCCAATTTTTGTTTTACCTGGAATTATATGGGCTAAGAGTAAAGAAGTGTGAAGAAAATAAAGGATATCATAAAAACCTGGCAACTTACGCAAAGTTTAATGCTAGAGAACCAAAAATAACTTTGGGTCCAATTTGGGTTCTCTGTGGGCCCTTTTCTATGCAAGCGAACACGTAACGGTGCTTCAACTCGCCCTCTCACATGTCGCTCTTAGTTTAATTGAAATTGCAACGATACTTGCCATATATCTTTATAATCATTTTAAGCTCACATCTCGAATACAGTATAGGGACAAGAAACCCTAAAATACAGAGAACAAAAATTTGTTTAAAAACTTACAGAGTTTAACTTTGTTTAACAGTAAATGATGCACTCAATATCTGTATGCAAAAATATTGCCTTTATATAGTAGGTGAAATAAGTGAAATGTTGTGACAAAGTATTTGACAACATTATGAGGAAGCACACATACTTGTGTAAGGCAGCAACCGCATCCCTTGTCTTGATCTGATCAAGGCCAAAGGTCAAAGAGAAACGTCTGGCGAGTTCCTTGATAGCGTTAAGTTGACTCTGCGTCTTGGCCTCGTCATACCCCATGTCTCCTTTCATGTCCTTGAATAACTACATGAGAGAAATAACAACATGTCAAAGGTCAAATGTAAAAGGTCAATCAGCCTTGATATTCTATCTCCCTTCAATAACTGTTTCATGGATTCAATTAAAATCATCACAGAACAATTTAAGGTGAGGGATCAAATTGAATCAAATCTAATCTTCTCCATTATTTTATTTTATGTACTTAAGTAAGAGTATAAAATCAATATCTCACTGTAAGATCATTCATGGACAGTTTAGACATTGTAGTTCAAATTACCCTGTAAATCAACTTTAGCTACTGCAAATCACTTGATAGTACAAATCCAATCCAATTTAATCCAATCCTTGTCAAGCATTGATAGAATTTCACATAAATATCACAATAGATAGTGTAAGTTAAATAGAATATATATAGTTAGGGGTAGGATTTGGTTTTAGGTTAGGTTAAGTGTTAGGGTTACTTGGAGCGTATAGTATTTGGTTTAGGGTTAAAGTATGTCTATGGTCTAAGAGTATAGCCAATCGAATATGGTGTGATTAGTGTTAAGACATATGTCTTAGAACCAAGACTTGGGCTTACCTGGGTCAGACTAAGACCAAAATCTGGTTTTATTTTGTTGAATATATAGAGTTAGGGGTAGGATTTGGTTTTAGGCTACGTGGGGCATGTAGTATTTGGTTTAGGGTTAGAGTATGGGATTTGGTCTAAGAGTATAGCACATTGAACATGGTGTGATTGATGCTACTAAATGTGTCTTAGAACCAAGATCTGGGCTTACCTGGGTCAGACTAAGACCAAGTGTTCTGGCACAGCTGATCTTGTTGTTCTCTCGAGACTTGGCAAGGGTCATCTTGATGATATCACCATAGTCATTGTAAAACTAAGCAGAGAAAGTAAGACATATCCAATCTCATATTATAATAATAATAAACAATATTCAGTTCTTGTATAGCGCATATCACAATATATAACGTCTGGACGTCCCTATGCGTTTCCAAAGAGTTTTGGAAATTATTACCTAGCTTTAGCTCTGGCAGCGTTATCAGCGCACAGTGCATTTCAAGGAATTATTCTACCAGGTACCCATTTACTTCAACTGGGTCGAGTGTGGCAAATGTAGATTAATGTCTTGCCATTAGTGCCGCGGCGGGACTCGAACCGCGGAACTTGTGATCCACAGTCCGGTAACGTACCCACTCGACCACGACTTGCGCACATTTACTTTCATTAAAGATTTCTAATTTTTTCAATACAGCCATTACATCTTTACAGAACACAAATAATCAGTCAAAATAACAAAAACAGATAAAAATACTTCCACAGAAATAAGTATCACTTGATAGGGTATTGAGAGCTCAACAGTAACAAAAAATGAACCTACAAATCAAACATTCTCTAGCATGGATATACATACGTAGCATCTTACTAGGTATAGCACAGGGTCACAGACGTATCACTCTGTGCCTCTATTAGTTCACTAGATCATAGGGCACATTAAAATTGTTGTGTATAATACTGTTTTTTGTTATTATTCTTACAAGAGAGAGAGAGAGATAGTGGTGGGTATTTTACCTGACTGCTAAGAAAGCATAAATGCTTATTAGTAAGCAACCAGAGGACCGACGGCTTTTGGTCGTCTCCAAGAGACCTGGTAATGAGGATTAATGCCTTACCAAAGGGCACTAGCGCATCGACTTGGTTTCTAACCCAGGTCGCCAGATTACGAAACCACTGCTCTACCGACTGAGCTATCGCGCCTCCCTTCAAGACACCTACCTTCATGTAATGCTTGAAGATTCCTGATGCATTCCTCATCTCAATGATGCTGAATACAATCTGTTTACAGAAGGCTGCCAGGAGGTTACGTCTCTTGTGGAGCACCTCAATCTTATGGGAGTCATCACCGTCTTCTTCATCATCTGTGATTTGTAACAAGAGACAGAGCTAACATGAATATGAGTACGTAGGACTCTTATGGGGCGTTGCAAGAAAGATGCAAGAAATTGCAAATCCCCAAAATCGAGCGTAAATCTTGCGATTAATTGTAAATTTGCAATTGATCGCAACTCAACTTTCTTGCAACGCCTCATTAGTAAGAGAGAGAGAGAGCGAGAAAGAGTGGGGGGGGGGGGAGGGAATAAAAGCTTGATCTAGTTAACTTAAAGATGAAGTTGAGTTCTGGTCATGTGATTGCATTGTGAAAGAAACGGTGTGGAATCAACCAGAAAAGGTTGATCATCTAGCATATAAGAATTTGTGTGCATTGCAAGGTTCTGGAATCATCAATATGATAAGAAATTTGGCCAAGTCTTGGTAAAGTTACAAACACTGTTCACAGAAAGATGTATATAGGACTACATGAACACGTGGCGTAAAAATCTTACCCCCGAGTTTTACGATGTTACATGACATATTTAGAATATGAAGGCATTTGAAGAGCCTTGCTTTTCAGGGAACATGTCTTATCTGATGTTCTTCCATACTTGCATAATAAGAATGATAACACTCACAAATTATTTTTCACCTCTTCCCAGAACTCAACCTTCTCTTTAATTTAACTTTAATCCTAACAAAATCCTAGGAAATTTAGGAGACTAGTGGGGCATTGCAAAGTTGAGTTGCAAATTTTGCAACTTGCAATCAATCGCAACTTTCTTGAAACGCCCCATTAATATGCTACTTATTGATATGAAAATCTAAGGCACGCATGAAGGGTGATTTCATTAAACTGTATTAGACAATACTGCATTACGATGAAGTTTCAAAATTGGTGACTTAGATATTCTTGGATGGATCATGTATTGGAACTCTTTTTGTTGATAGGAAATGCAAGATATCATAAATATGATTAGATAAGACCCTGCCTCCCATTATGAGTCATTGCAAACATAATTATCCAAGCATTGTTTGTGCAGGAAAAGTTATGGCTAATTCACAGGTTTGATATGACATGATATAATATGATTAATTTAATTTGTACATATGGTTCTTTGTAACTCATGTACATGGATATGTACATGGATATGCATATGACATCAACTGTTTAATTATTGTTGTTTTGTTACCCACTTGAATAAGTTTGTAACAAATTCAAATTAAGGAAAGAATCATGCATAGAGAACAAGTAGTTATATCACTTATATCTTACCATCATCATCTTCTTCGACAAAAACATGCTCCTGCACAAAGTCTGAGAGCAGTGTCTGGAGAGTGAGGTTTGCTTCGTAAACGAGTGGTGCGAGGGTGGGCTGGGCAGCTAGCTGTCTGCTGAAGACCACCATCAGGTCACAGATTGTGATGAAAGCCTCTTCTCGGATCTGCTCGCTGCCGTCGATGAGGAGCGTCGAGCAGGTCTTGATCAGCTCACTGACATTCCGACGGATCTTCTTCATCTCGCTCTGTCATGTGATGAAAGAGAGAGAGCGTGGGAAGAATAATAATAATAAGATATTTGTATACCGCAAATTGCAAATTGCCTCTAAGCGGTTTAGAAGAAAACAGCTGATAAGTAAAGGAAACAGAATTTGCATTACAAATTATATCAATTTAAATTACCATTAAAACTTTGCAAATGAAAATAATACATGTACATAATTACAAATCACCTACAACCAAAATACAAATAGTTCATAAATTATTAGTATCCTACGGTAATCTACACAAAATATATTAAAAGGCAAAAGGTCAAAAGAGCTATTCAGGAACAAGACTTAAAGAGATGTGTTTTTAGCATTGTTTTAAATGAATTTACAGAGCTAGCATTGCAAATTTGAAGGGGGAGATTGTTCCAAAGAAAAGCAGCTGCATAAACGAAAGAACGTTGACCGTATTGTTAGTATGAAATAGTGTGAGACCGAGAGAGGAGAGATTGAGAAGCAGATCGCAAAGTCCGGACAGGAGTGTATCGAGGAAGGAGTTCAGAAAGATATGAAGGAGCGAAACCATGATAAGTCTTGAAAGTAAGGAGGAGGGAGAGAGAGAGAAAAAGAAAGAAAGGGGGGAAGAGAGATACATAGAGTTTTAAGAGCAATATTACATTAGATTGATAATAATATAATACAAGAAAATAAAATACTGGAGGATAGACTGCCCCAAAAACTTGAAAAGACTGAGTTGTTGATGGTTTAGAGTAAGAGCAATTGAAGTTGGACACATTTGACTGTATTTATTATTATTTAGTTCCATTAGCAGGGCTCCATACTATTTTTTTTAAAGGGGGTCCTGATTTACTTTTTAACAATTTGTATGTATACATAAACCCTACGCAAAAGCTTCAAAATTTGCTGGTACGAACCCATCATTTTGCATGTGTCCCAGGCGCCTGTTACTGTTAGTGTCAAGCCCTGCCATAAGGCAGTATTCATGAAAAGAAGGCCAAGTTACAGCTGGTAGAAGTTATTCAACTGACTGGTATAAAGTGACACATTTTTACCTCTTTATTACAAACGGATAGGACGTTAAATGGAGGCCCGTGTAGAGAAGAGTCACTACCTTTGCACGTTAAGAACCCACTGCACTGTTTGTATAAGAGTAGGGGGAAACCCCGATGTAGTGGTCCACCTGCACCCGCAGTATAGTACGACAATACTCTGTAAAGACGGATGTACTCAAATGAAAGAAGAATAATCATGAAAGCAAAAAGGGGAATTATTTACCATTTCTGGGTTTTGATTGTCTAGCTTGGTCATGGTCCACATGATGGCATAGTGACAGCAAGAGATGGCCAAGGTAAAGATCTGATCCGGAGCTGCCCCTCTCTCTGAGCATCGCTTCACCAGGCTGAACAGAGAATCATACAGCTCCCATCGGGTCAGGTCATGGCAGCTGAAGAGGTCAAGGGGTCAAAGTTCATACAACATTAAAAACCTATGCATACTATCAACAATATATGTTCTTCTATTGTTAATATCTTCGGTGACTTATTGTATCACACTACTGAACAGAGAATCATACAGCTCCTATCGGGTCAGGTCATGACAGCTGAAGAGGTCAAGGGGTCAAAATTCATACAACATTAAGAATCTATGCGTACTATGAACAATATATGTTTCTTTGATATCCTATACCATTCAATATCTTACATCTTCTATCGTTAATATTTACAGTGACTTACTGTGTCACAAGGCTGAACAGGGAGTCATACAGTGACCATCAGGGGGTGTTTCACAAAGACTAAGATCGACTTTAAGTTGGATTTAACTATGGCAGGCCATTCATACCACTGGTTGCTCTCACCATTATGGTCTCTCAATTATGATCTGTAGATTTGTGTCCATGATTTGTACGTCCCTTGAGAAACCAATGCCAGGAATGGTTAGGGGATCTAGTGGCATGAACGGCCTGCCAAAGTTAACTACTATACTGTATGTCTAATACACAGGGCTTGAAAATGTGCTGTTTTCAAAATTGCATCCAAGAAAGAAAGCAACCATTAAATTGACAATTCTACTATGCACAGAGGAATGAATTCAACTATTTGTTTACATTACCTGTAGAATGAAGCAATTCTTCTGATACTGGATGAGATGTTATAGAGGTCATCTTCTGTAGGATTCTGGGTCTGAAATAAAATGATTGAAATCATTTCTAAGCTTGAAAAACACTTTCCAACATCAAATCAAATATACCAAGTGTACATTATACTTTACATTTTACTTATACATTAAAGTTTTCTGTTTCAAAAATTCAATTGATAAAGACATTTAATGGGCAGGCTTACTGATTTAGATAAATGAAGTACATCATTAAAGTTTTGAGGTTGAGTGGATATTAACTTTTGTACTAAATGTTAAAAACTTAATTTAATATTAAAGGCATCGTTTAACAATGTTAAATCTGAGATGCACGGCCCTACGTGATACCAGTGTCTGTGATGTGGTTTCAAATTGAAGCCCTAAAAAAAAATTGCGCTTCAAAATGATCAAGAAGTGCCTCAAAAAAGTAAAGATCTTTGACCGGTTATACCATACTCGTTTTCCCCAAAAGACTGTAGCGTTATGAAAACTGTTTGGCAAACGCAAAATTTGGTTTCGATTTCCAATCATAAATATCTTGATAATCAGACAGGCGATTGGCTTGTAAAAGTCATGGAGTTCCTGATTGACCTAAAGGTTTATAATTATCATTGTAGCATGAGCTAAATCCAGGATTTTGTTTCAGAATCTGAGACAAAGTTACCGGAACCCTCTTAGCTAATATTAACTTCCACATTTTGGGAAGACCTGTTATCTTGATCTCCTACTCACCATAAGGTACACATCAACGCTTCTCTTGAGCCTTTCAGCTAGGTTATCTAGGAGCGTACTCTGAGCGACCTGAACCCTTGGTGTGGTGCTGTAACGCTCTCCTAGAAGCGTTTCATACGTCTTAGCACATGCATCCAGAACCTGATGGAACAAGAGTTTGTAAAACAAGGAACTTCATTAAAATCAAAAGATTGCATAGTAGGAAACTTAATGAAACGTTTGAATTCTTGAGATTCTATCTGAAATTGCGAGTTTTTAGGAGTGTACTCTGTGCAATTGGTATCCTTGGCATGGTGCTGTACAGCTTTCCTAGCAGTGTCTCCTAGGCGATGGCGCGTGCATCAAGATCCCAACAAGTGCATGTAACTTCTAACAACTGAATTGCCTAGGATCTGAGCTTACGCTGGTCTTCTGGGTGTTTCTATAAAGTGCAATAAGTAATATTAGGTCAAACTAGACATGGCGGGGGAGGGGGGGGGGGGGGATGCGCATTGATTTAATGTGTGCACATATTAATGTGAAGGAGTATTAGGGCATTTTCTATATTCAGAATGAGAAACAAGTCATTTACATCATATACAGAGATGCCAACTTTTGGAAATCAGAAATAGGGAGGATTTGTAATCGACACCAATTAATGTGCGCGTAGCGCACATCTCGAGCGCGTAGCGCCCGACACATGCGGCCGGGGTCCAGGGCCCGCCTTAGGGCCCTGGAAGCTCTGGGGTTCTAGATGCTCTCTGGTGCAATCTGAGCCTTATTTTGGAGCATTTTACATGTGTATTTAGTTAAATAATTCCCCCTTTTTTTTTAAATAACATAAAAATTGTACAAAATGCATGATGAATTACTTTCAGACTTCCGATTACACAGGTACTTGATACTGTATTCGGTCTTATACTTCCGAGACCATTTCCTGGTCTTATTTTGCTGATTTTCCGCCATTTGGATTCTGTGGCAATATCCACGCATTGGTTACGGCGATCCATATGCTGAAACAATCTTTCGCTACTCTTAATTTGTCTTTTAACATAGTGGAATTATTACATGCTTAAGTTAGCAGATGATATTTCTCTTTCAATTCACAGATATATATACTGATAAGCGCCCTCCAAAAAAAATCATAATAAAAAAAAAAAAAAAAAAAAAAAAAAAAAAAAAAAAAAAAAAAAATCATTTTTTTTTTTTTTTTTTTTTTTTTAATAAATCGGGAGGATAAGGATGGTGATCGTAAGGTCGGGAGTTGGGGTGAATTATCGGGAGCCTCCCGATAAAATCGGGAGGGTTGGCATCTCTGCATATAGTTTACCGAAATTTAGAAAATATGATATTTGCCTGCTACATACAATCAAGATATAAATACTGAACAGTATAGATGATTACCTATTAATTGCACAACACAAAAACACTCTGCAGAAGCTGAGCACGTTAGTGAGATTATACATTACCTCAGACTCTGTATGCTTCTCGACGATGTCTCTCATCTGGATCAGAAGGGAATCAAGATGCTTGTCGAGACGGGTCGTGGTGTAGATCTCTACCTCAAAATGTTGAGGGATCTCCAGCAAATTGGCAACCTTGTCCCAATCGGTGTTGAACTGTTTTCGGAAGAAATGAATGAAGTAAAAATATTATCTAATGTATAGAACAAAATGACTTGGGATGGGGATGGGTATGAATTGCACATGCGGTCAGGTCAGTTAGATAATCAAGATCCTCCCATACCCCAAATCAAATATAGTGACATATATCTCACAAGAAACTGAACCATATTGGGCTTTTTGAGAGCTTGTTTCACTAGAGGTCATCAAGAACCTGCTCACTTCTTGGTTGTCAAATTCCAATTACCGGTAATAAGAAAACATAAATAGGGTTGAAGAACAAACTGGACTAAAACTAAACTGGAAGCTCTTAGCTTTTATATTGGAAGATTTTAGTTACTGTTTATACATGCATTGTACGGCTGATAAACTCTGATTTGAAATAAGCTTGTAAGAATAATAATCCATTCGTTTCGTTTGATTGTATCACTTCAAATTTCAAAATAATATATATACACCTGTATTTTTAAAATTTGCAATCCAACAATGCAATTCTGTTAATCACATCTAGTTTGTTGCCGAATTTTTCCTCTTTTTTTAACAGCTATTTTTTTCTTTTTTTGTAAATTCAATTTTCAATAATAATTATATATCTTAATATGGATCTTGAAGCAAATACATGTGTATTAACCATGTTTTGCCTAATTATGTAAAGCTTTTTATATTTAAATATCTATAATGAATATATCAATGACATTGCGGTTTGGGCTTTAGGATTCATTGTTTAATTTGTAGTCCGTTTAAGTTGGTCTCCAATTATGCTGCATTTATATTGTACAGTATTATATTTGTATCATAGTTTATTACACTTTATCCGATTATATATCTAGTTCTCCATTTCAGCCTATTTATCTGTCCTACTCTTTATCTGTCCCTTTTATTGTGTAGTCTCTTTGCCAGCTTCTCTTTCTCATTTCTCTATGCCCTCTCTTTCTCTCCCCTCTCTGTTATTATCTTACCAGTCCTTCTAATCTTCTGTTACATTTGTCTTATTGCCTTCTGTTACTCGATCGTTCTCCTTCAATTATCCTCTAGTCATCCGTTTCAATCTCTTCTCTTGTTTCTCTTCTTTTCTTTGATCATATCCTTGATTATTTATTGTGAATTGCCATTTATATTTATATGTTATGCTTTTCAATATATCTTTTGTAAATTCAATTTGTTTCAGCCTCTAGCTGCTATTTGAATGTTTTTTAATCAATAAACCATATCAAATCAAATCAAATGTAATAAGATCATTTCTAATGCACGTTATCCTGGAAACAAAATATTCATCCAATTGAGAGAGATAGAGATACTACAAACAAAGCTTACAAGAGCTGTATAATTCTTGTTAACAATTATTATCTTTATCATCTTGAAGTACCGCATGGGGGGGGGGGGGTGTTATCTTACCTTGGCAAGTAGTTCTGGTAGCTTGGTGATGAAATGCTCTGTCAGTTTCATCTTATCCTCCTGAACAACTTTCTTTTCTTTGCTTGTCAACAGAGTCTACAATACGAACAAGATCCATGCTTTGTTATAAGTTTAATGTTTCAATATTTCTGAGACAAAATCTTTTGACAAATCAATCTCTCTTACCTACTAAAGTAATTTACAAGGATAAGCCTTGTAAATGGAACAATTAGATCAAACTTATGTACGTGGTGCCCTCATTAGGAGATTCAAATATTTGACTGGAGACATGAAGGCTGCAAGTTTGAGCCTCAGCAAGGTTTAAATATCCTTTTTGTGAGAACATCAATCTACTGTGATATTCAGGATTATTTGACTGAGATTTTTTTTCCTTCTTTTCATGGCATCTTGTTTGTATTATTTATATTGTATTTAAAACTTAATGGAAATCACATATGTATATTTCATTTGAACAATAACACTTGAATCTAAATCCGTTTTGTTCCATCCAGTCCTTTAAGAATGTTTTCATATTTGAACTTTCAATATATATTTTTTCAACTACACTGCTTTGTTTCATTACTAAATGGGAATAAATGTATTTCATGCCAAAAAAAAAACTTTAAAAGAAGGTACCCAATTCTGATCTCAATCAGGAAGAGACAAACAAACTAACAACAAAAACAAAAAAATAGCTGTCCCTAGTTTCTTCAGAATTCAAATTCCAAACAATCAAATTATTGTGGTATATATTTGTCATAAGATGTATGATGTTTGTACCTTTTTTGCTGAGCCTCTGCCGATGGGTGGATGACCGAGAGCAGACTGTCTGACAGCTGACACCATGATCTCAATCAGAGCTGTCTCCTGTCTATCATCAAGAGCTAGAGGGCAAGCCGGCAAACAACATCAACATTATAATATCCAGGGGGGTGTTTCACAACACTTGTCATCAGTGACAAATGACCATTTGTGTTATAAGCTACTGAAATCCTTGCTTCTGGTTGGTTATCAACAGATTTGTCACTGGTTTTTGTTATTTGTCATTGAAAAAAGGCTTTGTGAAACGCCCCCAAGAATAGGAGAATTGTCAACACCAAGTGTACAAACAGTTTCTCTATTCATAATTGGGTCCCCTCAGGGGGGTGTTTCACAAAGATCCTAAGTTGACCTTATCTCTCAAGTTGGACTGAACAATTATGGAAAGCCGTTAGCATGTATGAAAATATTTTGTTCTTGTTTTTGTTTTGGGTTAAAAGGCTTAAAATTTAATTCCAATCTTTCATATTTTCTATTATCAAGGAGAGTTCATGTTCTTGATGTCGAATTTATAAATGTCTAAAATACTTGATTTTTTCGTTTTTGAATATATTTTATTTTAAGGCTACATATGGCTTTCCATAATGTTTAAGTCCAACTTATAGTTAAGTTCGACTTTAGGATCTTTGTGAAACACCCCCCTGGAGTGATAGGGGAGGGTCATATCTTCTCACTCCTGTCCTCTTGTTTAACTTTCCCCTTCAAGTGTCCTTTTTAATACACCCTCTCTATTAATGGATGATGCAAAATGGTATATGCTGGGGTCTTGTAGCTAAGGAATCGTAGTTGTGGAATCGATCAGAAAAGGTTGATCATCTAGCAAAAAGTATTGGTGTGTACTGCAAGGTTCTGGAATCATCAAAATTATAAGAAATTTAGCCCAGTCTTGGTAAAGTTACAAGCACTGTACACAGAAAGATGTATAGGGGACTACGCAATATTTATCCAGTCTGGATAGATATAATAATTTAGCAAATATATCAATTTGTAGGCAGTTGCCAGGCAAAATTTGTATCATCATGTATTAGTCAAAATATATTCTTTCATATGATTGGTAATAAGAGTTTTCATTTCATTTTTTTTGAGAGGGGAGCGTTTCCAAAACTGGTCTATACCTTAAATAACAACGTACCTTCTTCTCCTCTGCCGGGGTCTTCTAGCAGCAGCTCAGTCATACAATCCCAGTCTCGAATCATCTCATTGATGTCCCACAGAGAATCTACTAGATATGCAGCATGCTCATGAAGCTACGAACATTGTAAGAAAATAAATATCTTGGGTTAAAATATGGATCTCGGCTTTAAAGAGAAGATTGAGTTCTGGGGAGAGGTGGCAAATAATTTGTGAGCATTATCATTGTTATTATGCAAGTATGGAAGAACATCAGAAGCCTTCATATTCCAAATATGACAGGTAACAGCTTAAAAATGGGGCCCAATTTTTTATGCCATATGTTTGTGTAGTCCCATACATCCTTCTACGTTATGTCAGTTGTGATTAATTTACTTCACAGCATGAATTTTTTTGGCAACTCTAAACCACTTTGTGAAATTTGTGAACATTCCATGCATGTGAATGTTTTCGGTTTCAAAGTAATTCCTTACCTGGAATCGCGTATTTGAAATTCTGTCCACTTACCTCACTCTCAATGAAGAACTGTACGAGATCTTTAATCAGGGGTGCGTTGATGTTCCTTCTCTTTGTACGTTTGACCTTAGCAGTCTCTTGATCTTCACGTTTGAATAGACGTTCATTGAGGAACTCTCCCGCTGCCTGGGCCACTGCTCGGCTGGACGAGTAGACCAGCTGGTAGACGTTCTCACAATCTTCAGCACTCAAGATGTCCTCGTTGTATCTAGCAACATGAATGCAGAGAAAAACATTAACTCTTCAGAGTATTACAAAGTAAAAACAGCAAAGTAAAAGCGTGAAGATTTTGGAGCAAGTTTTTAAAGGAAAGTTAATCAAAAGTCTTAGGTGCAGAATCAAATGCTGGCTTGGCACCAATTCAGAAAAGGTGCCACGTCCAGGATACAAACGATGTCAGGGTAATTTTGGCTTAGATAGCGCAACCGAAAAACACAACACTATACCTCGCTCTAAACCTAAACCTACAACCAATTCTTACCCTACATCTATGATGAAATAAGGCTGAAACCACTATCACCAGGGGCTGATCTACTTACTTCAGGATCAGGGTGACCACCTTGATAGCATTGACCGCTACATCCGTCTCTTTGTCCAGGGTCATACTGACCACTCTATCCTTGAAGCGATTGGTGAAGAGCTCTAGTTTGGGCACCAGCTCTATGTTACCATAGAGGGTATAGAGGGCAACCAGACACTTGTTGCGGACATCACCAACCTGAACAGCAAAGATACATGAAAGTGATAGATCAAATGAGATGTCAAATTATAGCCATAAATGTTAGTCTTCATAGCGATTTTTGAGGAGCTCCAAACTTGGGCACCAGCTCTATGTTACTATACAGAGAGTAGATGGCAACTAGACACTTGTTGCGGACATTGGCAACCTGAATGGCGAAGACAACAGGAACAATGATAAATTTAATGGATGGGCTAAATAATGACCCTTTACCATGCAGTGCAACGAGGCACTTGTTACAGATGTCTTCAACAGTGGCAGATATAAGGGAGGGGAGGGGGGGGGGGGGCAAGGGGGCACAACTGGCTGATGCCTCCTCCCTCATAAAATTCAATCTTTGATGCTGTAACAAATTGCAGTGTGCCCCTAATTGTGTTCTCTGAAATACCCTTTCAAAATTTAGAGCCAAAACAGCACCTACAGAAACTAGAAAAAATGCCTTAATCTGCAACATTATCAGTCATTTTTAATTATCGGATTAAAGGTTGTTGCTCTCATTTGCAAACCCTCAGTAATTTTGATGAAGTTTAAAGGGTAGGAGTTCTTGGGCATGATAGTAACCCTCTTCATATTCAAGATTTAACGGACCAGTAGATTTTAATGATAAGTGATTACCTTTGTTTCATTTTCATTGAATTGAACATATGCTTTGTGGAGGGTTAGTTATCAAACCTCAAAGAAAATAATACCTTATTTCTTTCTCAAGTTATGCACTAACAAGATATTTCAGCACATTCAAATTTACCCATGACCTTTGACCTCTTGACCACAAAATGTAATCAGGTAATCTTCACATGGTCATTCATACTCTCACCAAGTCCAACTATGATACCTTGTTTTGTTCTCAAGTTATCACGTTCACAAGAAAATATTGGATTATATCTCACATGGTCAAAGATTGTTGGGTGTCATCCCCCCCCCCCCCCCCCCTTTAAACAGAACATTGGATCTGAACCTGGCTACCAATACATGGATTAAAACAAGTCATACCTTGTCATGCAGTGTCCAACCCACATACTTGAGGTAGCTATCACTGAGAAACATCTCACTGTAATTCTTCATCCATACACCAATCTCCCCCATACAGATGCCTCTGATCTCAGGCTGGGTATCTCTGTGGACACAACATAAATAGATATTGGGCCAAAAAAACAAAAACAAAAATGTTTAGCGTCCTGCTTTTTTGAAAAATAGGTTCACAATAGCCGCTCAAAATGGCCGCTCGGTACATTTCCCCTGACAGTCGGGTTATTTTTCAAGCTGGCTGCCAGCAATTAAAAAAAAAAAAAAAAAAAAAATCAGAAATAGATCATTTTAGCAGTGTGTTTTTCATGTGGAAAAAAAAAAAAAAAAAAAAAAAAATTATACATTTTTATAGTTATCCCTTTTTATTCCTAAAACAGCAATAAGAGCTGTTTTTTAAATGGCACTTTTCAAATGGTCCCATTTCACATAACTTGTCTTTAGTGACAAATGACAGTTTTTGTTATAAGCTAGTGAAATCCTTGCTTCTGATTGGTTATCAGCAGATTTGCCACTGAGTCTTGTCATTCGTCATTGAACTATCACTATCACTATCTTAGAGCGATTATCACCTGAACGTGTTTCTACAACCTTGTATAAATCTCTTCTGAATTCCAAATTTACCTTGGGGCAATAGTTTTAGCCATGTCCTTCAAAGCAGTCAATATTTGTATACTATCTCACCTGTATCTATGTACAAAGATGCCTTTGAAGATGTTGTTCATCATCTGTTGAATCTCTTCCGTGTTCTCCATGATCTCTTGCCTTTTAGCCATGAGGAGCTCGATCTTCTCGCTGGCTCGTTTGGACGACTGCTTAGCGCGCTCTGCGTCATGCTGACGCTGGGTGTTGTCCAGACTCACGCTCAGGTTGAGGGCCACATTCACGAGTGCAGTCATAAGTTTCATCGCTGTAAACAAACAAAGGGAGAGGATAGTAGTAATTTTACCAGTTATATGAGCAGAAAAAACCCTGCACACCCCATGTCCATTTTTCTCGGGTTACATAAGTTTTTGGATAACAGGAATTTAAAAAAAGGAAAAGCATTAAAACATTAAAATTCTTATACTCTTAATTGTATGTTGACAGTTTATATCTGTTTTTCCATACAAATTGGCAATTCCTAAAACTGTTAAAATAGGTTTCCGATCCTCTATATATTCTTTCCAGATATACTAATTTTTCTTTGCGAATTTGAAACTTTTACAATGTTTTAGGACAGACACTTTCACAGGATAATTTGTGCCGTGTCCAGAGATTGGAGATAGTAGATCAGTTGAAACATGCACGAGGTCTGCTTTTACAGTAACCAAATTGAGCGGAAAGTATACAAGAACAATAAACAGGGGTGATAGTGGGCACTAAACTCAACCACGCCCCCCTTGAGTAAAAAAAAAGAAAGAGGATTCGGGGGAGGGGGGGGGGGGAATGGCATCTAACTACATTCCCCCCTTTTGAGTAAGAAAATTGGGAATAAATAGGAAAAAATAGGGGAGAATAGAGAAAATAAGGGGAAATCAGGAAAATCAGGATAAAATAGGGAAGAAAAAAATAAATTGGGAAACTGAATAAAGTATGCTCTGATTTGACTTACCAGCAAGGGTACTGGTGTGCCTGAATGCCCTGACTTGAGAATCACTGAGACCCGTCAGTAGTGAGATGATGTTATCAGCCATGTACTGGTCATAGAGGATACTGTACTGGCACTGGCGCACCAGGACGCTTACAAAGTCACAGAAACTACTCTTGAACTTCTTGTAGAACTGGCCAGATATGATGAGCGGGTAGTCACCAGTTTCCTGTTACAAACACAGTTCATTCATAATAATAATAATAATGTTTTAAAGTCCATTCCAAATTTATTAAGTTAAACGAAAATGGAAAAATTCAGCCACTGAGCAGCGCCAGATCGACGTTGCTCTATCCCTTATTGTTGAACGCCAAACAAGGTAGCAGCAACTCCATCTTTTAACGTCTTTTGGTATGATGCGGCCGGGGTTCACACCCATAACCTCCCGGTTTTGAGGCGGATGCTCTACTGACTGATCCAACACACTGGTAAGACATGATACATGTAGTTTAGGATTTGAACAAGCTTAAAATAGAGCAGGAAAACTCTCTTCCACTCCTGCGTACTTTCTCAAGCCAAGTGAAAGATTGCTTACTAAATGTTTAGGTTGGTAGAAGCCTAAATTATATGATATGATAGATTACTGAAACCAATGAAAGTTTTCTGTATCACAAATACAATACGATATATGAATGATTCCACTAGGGGGTAATGGAATAACAGCCGTATCTGCTATATTTTTGCGTGGTATTGAATTGAGAATTGTTCCCCAGTGCTCTGCATCTAGACTACTTGTTGACAGTCAATGGCTGTAACAGGTTAGGTATAGTACATAAGTGTAATGATATAGTCTGAGGCATACATAATTCAAATCATAGAATGATTGTTGTGGGTTTATGCCTGTATGCCTGCCAAACTTTGGAGATGGACAGTTCTACAACACATTCTCATGTGAAACTAACACAAACCAAATTACTAACTTCAAACATGTACCAGTACATAACACTATACTTGACCTTTACCCTAAAACCGAAGTAACATTATCGAGACCCAGAATAAGCCCCCACAAATTGCATTACCCTGAATGATGGTTAGACTTGGGAATTACCCCACACTTACATGTACATGACACAGCCCAATCGCAATCTTAAACCCACATCTTTGAAATATAAAAGCCTGGATTAAATTTCACCGGAGTAGGGACCCGTTCACAAAACTTGTCATCAGTGACAAATGACCGTCTTTGTTATACGCTACTGAAATCCTTGTTTCTGATTGGTTATCAGCAGATTTGTCACTGATTTTTGTCATTTGTCATTGAAACCTGGCTTTGTGAAACGGGTCCCAGGTGTCAGGTCACCACACAGATGGCTTAAAGTGCACTGACCTCATCAAACTCCTCCGTCATCCTCCTGATGATGTCACTGTGTTCCATGGTAGACATCATCTCCGCGGTAACGGTTCCCTTGCATCCAGAGCTATGGATGAAGAAATTGATGAGGTCCAGGAGAGCCTCCTCTCGGTTGATCTTGTACGACTCGATCCAGTCATCCACTACCGTCTGTTATCACATTCAAAATCACACCAATTATAATCTTGTAACTATAAAGTTGTATATGGCAACCAGTCTCTTTTTTTTAATTGTAATATTAAACACAAATCTTATTCATAGGATTTGGAAACCAATCGTGTATTTTTCAATAATCCTTGTTTTAGGCTTTACCAGTAGATAACGAGAGTCCGACTCGACTAGCACATGTGCTATTTTTTACTCTATTTTACCATTGATCACAAGCTCATTGTAAATAGTCATTTATTGTTTTACTCTTGACACTAAATTTACTTATAACTATTTTTTAATATTTTTATAATGTACATGTATATCGCTGTAGAACATGTATTTTTATATTGTCTTTGCACATTTATATATGTCTTTTGTTTCAATGTTTTCAATGGTGGTGAATAAATAAATTCAATTCAAATAAATTCAAATCAAAATCATGAGATCTGGAGTTGAGCCTCTTGTAATGTCAGATGCTGAAGTTTGGTTATATTACTAAATACAACGGTTGTTGACCAAATATATATATTTTTAATAATGATACATAGGTACTTTTTAAGTCCTGAATCGTATGGCATATTAGTATGCTGCATTTAGGAATGATTTTGCTTTCTTTCAGGAAATGTTCCTTTTCTTCTTGAGTTTCTACTCTGAACCACTTTTCATTTTATTGCAATTTACTAGAAAATCCCCCCCCCCCCCAAAAAAAAAAAAATAATAAAATAATGTATCTCTGGCACTTTCATTTAAAAAAAAAGAAAAAAAAAGAAGTACAAACAATACACTGTAAAAATAATCTAGGCCAAACAGCAGACCAATCTTTAACAATAAACAAAATAAAGAAAGAAAAAAAAGGAAGAAAGAAGAAAGAAAGAAAGAAAGAAGGGAAGGGGAAAAAAAATAAGAAAGAAAGAAAGACAAACTGAAACAAAATTAAAATTCTAGGTCCACGGTTCGAGTCCTGCCGCGGCACTAATGTCCTTTGGCAAGACATTGAAATACATTTGCCACACTTAACCCAGGTGATGTAAATGGGTACCTGGCAGGAATTAATACTTGGAATGCTGGAGCGCCGTAATGGCAGCCGTGCTAAAGCCAGGGTAATAATCGGGAGCGCCAGGAGTGTCAAGTCTGACAGACAAGAGCACTATACAAGAACCCACTATTATCATTATTATTAAATTCATTTTGTAAAACCCACCTGAAGAGCACTCTTGCCATGCCTGACGATCTCAAACATGGTGACGGGTTCTGCGCTGGTTTCTGATTCATCGTCTCTGGCTTTAGGTTTAGCTTTCTTTCCTCGTCTCCCATGCTGAAATGTAAATACAAATACTGATGTTATTCATCTCAGAGGCTACCAAGCACCATACACCATTTTAATAATAATAATAATAATATTCTGTTTTTATATAGCGCTCAATACATTGATCCAATGATGTGCCTAAGCGCTTTACAGATATATAATTACCCCGGTCATCGGATTCAGGCTTACCCGCATTCAAAGTATGCACATTTTCCACTCCCTGGGGAACATTTTGATGATTTTGCATAGTATGTTTGGGGTTCCAAATGGGTGTTAAATGGGTACCCGGTAGGATGCGACCGTCATTATTGGTCAAACAGTTTTTGAGCGTCAAGTAACGCCTGGCTGGAATGCTCCCAAGGGAGTGGAGATTGTGCACACAATGTGTGCGGGCAAGCATTGAATCCAATGACCGGGGTAATAGTATATCTGTAAGCGCTTAGAGACATTGTGTTAAGCGCTATAAAAGCGGAACATTATTATTATTATTCCATGCCACAATACGTTTGTGAAAAAAAAAAGCTTCAAGGTTATTACTTGTGTAGAAAGAGGAGGCATGATATGATTTCCCAAATCAAATAAACATTTTTTTCCTTTCAAACTAGAATCTTACTTTGATTTCATTCATTCCTGTATCAAGATTTAAAAAAAAAAAAAACTTTTAGGGAAGTTTATTTCACATACCGGTATCTACAATGTTCACAATAACATATATATACATACAAAATCCTGTAGCAAGATAGCATTTCCAAATATATTATACGTCACCATTTCTAATGAAAATAGTTGAATGGTTCATTATATACTTACATGACCACCTTCATCAGAGCTGCAAATAACAACAAATGTAAGAGAGAGGAATTAAGATCGGGAGCACCAAACGACAAAATTTCTATTTATAACGTAAAAGATAATATTGATCATCTACCAGTAGGGCTGTCACAAGTAATATAATCATGAGTGTATTCTTCTACTACTGATGTTTGCACTAAAAAATACAAACATGTGCAAGTTTAATGCACATTAAAACAAAAGAAAAATAAAGAAAAAGAAATAAAGAAAAAGGAATAAATCAAAGGAAAAGAAAACACAAAATCATAAATGTTTTTGTTTACAGTCTTAAAGACCAATATTCTTGTCTTCCTTAACCTTGCATTGTCTTTACATACAGGTTTAATGTAGACTGTAGTCTATGTAGCTTCAAAGCTTGTGTGGAAAAGATGGGTTTAACATAAAAGATCCAAACCAGATTACTAAAGGCCTCTTTGGCTGACGCCACTCGCTCAGGCATTCACTCGGAAAAAATTGAACTGAATTGAAATGAATTACAAATCAAACTTACTGTGTGCTTTCTGCATTGGTGAAGTCAGACTCCTGAGCAGGGGATCTATCTCCCGTATCTCGTCCTCTCGTCGCAGGCATGATGGACGATCATGGACAGCAAACTGCATTTTCAGGTAAACCAAAAGAAATTATTCAATAACGGAAAAAGTAGAGCCAGATCTAGTATGCAATGAAAATCCTACTGCATTTCAAAATGATTACCGGTAAAAGAAAAGGCTGAGAACTAAATGTATTGAGAATAGTGCTGGGAGTTAGTGTAATTTCCTATCCGTGTACACGGGCAGTTTATCCATTTGTTTACAGGTGCACATGATTATGAAATTAACCAAAAAACAAAAGCCATATTTCAGCCACATAATCTTTGCAAAAATGACATGAGAATTCAAATTTTCAAAATCCATTTAAATAATGTACCTGTAGTATTGGCAACGAGCCTAGATACTTTTTTCCTTTTACTTCAGTAATTCATTTTCCCTCCACCCCTCCTTCAAAATTATTAAATTCTGATGATTTGTTACATTGTCTCCAATGCTGCAATGGTAAGCAGTAAATTGCCATGATGGTTATGTGGTTACGATCATAAGCTTCTCTTTTACTGTAGTAACAGTACTATATACACAAAAGCCATCGACCTCATGGGGGCAGGGTATCCCACGCCGGAGCTCCCCGTGCCTAAAACTACCGCTGCGGTGATCAGAAATTGGAATCTGAATTAGTGTGTGTGCTCGTGTGAGTGCTGCGGTATCCAGCTGCATTGATTTAACACATGCCATGAGATACTTTTGAGCTTGCGACTCACACAAAATTGGGCTCTAAATCGGAAAAATACTCATTTTATGGTACCCATATTCCTTACAGACATGCGTAAGATTTTTCAGATTTGAGTAGCGGGACCGCCGATTACATCGCTAAAATGTGATATTTAATGATATTGATCTAGACTATTTTCCATTGCAAATGTGGTTCTTCAGTGACTCTGCCATGTTGTTGTATGTGTGTGATATGTGATATGCTGTTATGCAATGCATTTTAAAGGGATTTTACCATGCATCCAACGGACCGGCCGAAAAACCCCTCCTTTAGTCTTTACTATAGACTCTAGGCCTAATTGTAGGGTGTCTGAACGATTTTTCAATTTTCAATTTGGGATCGTTTTTCACAATTTTTGTTTGATATTTGAATTAAAAATGTAATCAGAATAATACATTTCAAATTTCAAGTCTCGCCGATGTTTCTATCAAAAGATACAGCCCCTTCAAAACGCTGAAATATTCATAGCATTTTGCTCAGAATCGACGAAAAAGACGTACGCGCAGAGTTATGTTGTTTTGCTAAATTTAGCCAAACAGCTGTATCGCGCGATATGCAAGCGTATGCATATCGTACGCAAGTTGCTCAGCCAATGCGCGACTTGCAAGCTTGAGCCACGCTGTCTCCGCGATATGTGCCATTGACTAGTATGGGTTACCGTTCCCGCCATAGAACCCGGAAGTGAATACACGTTGTAGTCAATGGCAATATCGCGGAGACAACTCTCCGCGATATTGCCATTGACTACAACGTGTATTCACTTCCGGGTTCTATGGCGGGAACGGCCACCCATACTTTCATTCACTATAAGCGCACATGTTACGCGATGTAACCATGGTTTGGACTGAGCGGAGCTCACGCCTCCCTAATTAGCTGATTCCAAAAATGTGGGAAGGGTATTTTCAAACTGTTATAACAAATGATCCCTTGGGGCTAGCGAAAAAAAAAGCATCTGGATATTATCCTTACGTCTAGCCCTGCTTAAGCCGCGGGGCGGCAGCTCAGGAAAGTGGCAAATTTTGGAGCTAGGATGCAAACAACATTTCAATCGCTGTTTTGACCAAGATATTTTTAGAATTCTGGGGGTGGCCCCCGATGGGGAATATGGAGAAAAACCTGCTCTTTCATATGACACCTCATTTATTGAGTTTCACCTTCAGGATCATTTGTTATAAAGGTTTGAATTTCAAATTTTTTCATAAAATCATTGACCAATTTTGGATGGTCGCGCAATGCACGTAGACCACATAGGGAAGCGTACAATCTCTATGGGAAGGGTTTTAGCACACAACATTGGGTGCGCGATCAGACACCCTACTAATTGAGAAGTGAAAAATCCAATCAATCCACACAACATCAACAAATACAACAAGAATCCTCATTCCTCTCACCATGCTCACGTCACTGTGCTGTGCAAGGCCAAGATGGCAAGAGGGCAGACATCAACTCAACAGATTAATTACGTTCTACAAGTACACATTTCAATAAAATGAGTCACAAAAATATATTTGTTTAAACTGCTTCAGAAGTTCAGTGCGTCTTAGGCTAAAGGGGCTTTCACACCGGGCCTTGCGTAGAGTTGCGTAGAGTTGCGTAGAGTTGCGTAGCGACTACGCCGATCGTACGCAACCCTACGCCGATCGTACGCAACCCTACGCAACTGTACGCGGAGGGACGCGAATGGGTACGCGAGATGAACGCAAAAAATTAAACATGTTTAATTTTTTTGCGTAGACTTTACTACGCAACTGTACGCCAAGCCTACGCAACTGTACGCCAAGCCTACGCAACTGTACGCCAAGCCTACGCAAATGTACGCCAAGCCTACGCAACAATACGCTACCCTACGCCAGTCCGACGAAGCATTAAAAACGTATGGTATAAAGATTTTTTTTTGTATATACCTGGATGTAAACTTGGCAGGTATTGATCATTGATCATTCTTGCTTGTAATTCTGTTTGTACTACTACAAGGTATTTCAGACTGACATGTTTTGTTTTGTTATGGTTTATTCAATTTGTGATAATTGACATCTCAGGCTGTTGATATAATAAACAGAGATAAGATTCATAAACTGATGCCTCATGCGAAATGTTATTATGTTTTGTGGAAATCTGTATGTATTTGTGTCGGTTTGTTTGCTTGTGTGTACGTTTGTGGTCCTGTTTGTATGTTTGTAATATAATATTGTTTAATTGAAATGAGCAAAGAAATAATTTTGTATTAAAGTATTTCTTTAAATCTAATAAATGACTAACATTTATATCATTACATTGTCACACACAATACGCTACGGACCAAGGACAACAGATATCGTCTTCAAACTTTCAGGAAACTGTTATGGAATGATATTTTACAAATGAGTGAAAAAATGGATATGGTCAACAAATATCAGACTTCTGTCCACATTTATTCACAAATCAAAATAAGCGCTCTCTTTTGTTGGCGTTTTGAGGTATCAAATCACATCACGTGACCTTGCAATGTTCATCAAAAGAAAGTTCATGTATTACCCTTTTGAATGATACATAGTACAATAATGTAGTACATCAACAAAAATGTCTGCATTTTTTGGAAAATAAAATCTTGAACAAATTAACATTACTGCAAAAATAACCTCAGCAGTTGCTAATACCTACTAAAAAAACTGAAAATTTAACGGTCAAAAACGTGTACCAAATGCTACTATTAAAACTTATGGCAGGTTTATAAATGTTATTTTCTGCAATCACTATTTTACGCAAATTGGCGTTTCAGCCCTATTTCACGCATGCAAAAGAGACGCACTGCCCCTTGGGTGTGTCAGAATGTTATTATTATACTAAGATCAAGTTATGTTCACATGTAATAACATGTACAATTCTTTGTACACTGCACAGTTCATATTGAACTGTCTTTTTAACATATTTTTTTATTATATATGTTTATAAAGCGCCTATGGCTATACTCGCGTCTATAGCATTTTTACATGGCATTTTCGCACACAGTAAGCAACCGTACGCAAGCGTAAGCAACCCTACGCCATGCCTACGCAAGCGTACGTAACCCTACGCCAGGCCTACGCAAGCGTACGTAACCCTACGCCAATTGCCTACGCACAGGGTACGTAACTATACGCCGATCGTACGCAAGCCTACGCAGGGACTACGCCGAAGCATCAATTTATTCATGAGTACGCAGCTTAACTTCGGCGTAGTCGGTACGCAACACTACGCAACTCTACGCAGATCCGGTGTGAAAGGGGCTTAAGTTAGCTTGTTGAATTGATTTTTGATTTCTTGTTTTTTTAGTTTTACCGAACATCAAGTTTACAATTCCCGAATCAGTTTGCATTCGAGCCTTTGCCCATGTCTAGCCTGGGTATGACGAATTGCTTGACCTGGCTTGCTCGAGTTATATTTCACTGCTTGAATCATGTTTTAACTTACGATTTATGATTGACGTACAGTCTCTAGTCTAGGCCTATGGTCTACCGTACCGGTTCGGTACGCGTACGTAGCTAGACGCAGGCTGGGCCAGCTGTGTACTAATCACTACTAAGTCAATGGACAAGACGAGTATGGACAGCCGATTTTCACATTTAGACCACTTTGACATCATTTTCTCGGTTTTCAAAACAGCATTTTAAAATCAAAGTTTACACAAGTATACAGTATATAGATGCAGATCTAAAGTGATACTAATAACTTACCCAAACACTGTCTCAGCTTTAAATTTACAGAAAATAGCTTTGCTTTTTGTTTCGCGCGAGATTGTCCGACTTTTTCACGCAGATTTCACTCCTTTATTAAACAAAGACAAGGCTCACTTCTGCCGAATTGATGACATGTAAAAAGGGTTCCAGTCTCTTTGACAGTACGCGGATCAGAATAGGGGTTGGATTCGGATGGAAAGGGGGTGGGGGGGGGGGGAGGGGGCAGCTATATAGGAGGGTCACATGCATATTAACTCTAGGAAGGTTAATTCCTGCCTAAAATACAATTTTCATGTTTGATAACACTGTGGGACAGTTCTACGCATACGTTATTCAGAGGCAGTATATATATACAAACAAGTTTTAAATGCTGGTCGATTTTCAATTGGGGGGGGGGGGGAGGCTTGAAAGAAATGCGATCAACAAGGGAAACGGTGGGGGTCGGTGGGTCATCTTCTTCACATTCCCACCCCCCCCCCCCCCTGCTACGACTACGGATATCTCGATCTCTCTCTTCCTCTCTCTTTCGCTCTCCCCTCTCTCCCCTCTCTCCCCTCGAGATCGCTCCCTCCCCCTCACTCACTCTCTTTCATTCTTACAGCTAGAGTCTCGTATTGCCCTCGTTATTCATGCAATGTGTTTGTGTGTATGTGGGCCGGGGGGGGGGGGGGTGGGCATCTAAGTTCATCATGCGTTAAGCTCATGGAAAAATGTAGAGCATACAGTCCGGGGAGTCTCTTAGTGAAGGGGTCGGGGTGTCATCGTCATTTAAACATTGAATTTGAATTTTTAGAGCCTTCTGACAAAATCACCATATCCAATCTTTATCGTTTCTCTCTTTTTCTCTCTTTTAGTGAAACATTTGCTAATCTGTCAACAAATTAGACGACGAGCAGCTTTTACCACGTCTGTGGGAAAATTGTTAAATCTCGGGGCGTCTGTTTTTAATCCTTGTTCTGCATTGTATTATATTTGTATTATATGACAAGTAGAATAAAAACAAATATGTCAACATTTTGCTGCAGAGGGGGCACGTGCCCCTTGGATCTGTCACTGACGGACCCCCTACATTTTCTTACTACACGATATGGGTTTATTTGAATTCAATTCACTTCAATTCACATTTATCTAAAAAGAATCCATAATTTTGGATTATCTTCAATCTTCAAAAGCACACACAAAAGTTATCCAAATAATTTAGCGTTGAAAGTATATGCAACTTATAAATATATCATTTAAAAATGAAAGACAACTGCAAATGAATTATTGAAAATTCGTCAAAATAATATGCAAATAATCAATGAACCATTACACAAGATTAACCAAAACAGTTTAATTGAATAGTTAAATTCCAACTTGAAACTAATAAACAAATACAAATAGCTCGCGGGAAATTGCGAAAGTCTCATCCAGGAGAAAATAGATATTTTCATCTTGACACAAAAGAGACGTTGTTTCGATCAGTGTCTTTACCGGTGATTGTTTTATCCCTTCTTTTTCTGTTTTAATTCATTACTACTTTGATCAAACATTCGAGAAGTATAACTCCCTCAGCAGGAATGTCTGAATGTTTTTCTCTACTTTTTTCCTCCAAATTGATCTTTGAACTTGAATGTTTCTCTCTGCAATTAAAATTTGAGTACGTATCGTGTTACTTGGCTCAGTCAACCTTCATCTCGAACTCTGTACCACCACCTCTCTTTATATGTTCTGTTAATCATCATCAATAAATCATCAATGTTAACTTCAAAGTTTTTCTGACATTAGTATTGTAGCCTTCTTCGTATTGGCATCGGTATTCAAATACAAAATCGGGTAATTTTTGACAAACTAATGCGGGAAAAAAAGAAGAAGAAGAAGAAGAAGAAGAAGAAGAAGAAGAAGAAGAAGAAGAAGAAGAAGAAGAAGAAGAAGAAGAAGAAGAAGAAGAAGAAGAAGAAGAAGAAGAAGAAGAAGAAGAAGAAGAAGAAGAAGAAGAAGAAAAAGAAGAAGAAGAAGAAGAAGAAGAAGAAGCAGAAGAAGAAGAAGAAGAAGAAGAAGAAGAAGAAGAAGAAGAAGCAGAAGAAGAGGAAGAAGAAGATGAAAAAGAAGAAGAAGAAGAAGAAGAAGAAGCAGAAGAAGAGGAAGAAGAAGAAGAAGAAGAAGATGAAGAAGAAGAAGAAGAAGAAGAAGAAGAAGAAGAAGAAGAAGAAAAAGAAGAAAAGTTTGGATTTAAAATTGATTTAAGAAGGGGGGCACTAATGGGGGTGCTTATACAAAAAGAAGAATAGTGTGATCCCTTATTGGGCTGTGAGGGGACCCTCCCTCTATGAGAACATTGCCCCCACAACAATTGGACCGACGCTACGCAATTGATGACACTCTTCTTCTTTTTTTATAAGCACTCCCATTAGTGCCCCCTCCCCTCTTCTTACACCAATTTTAAGAAATACCTCAAGACAGATGACCCACTTTCGTTATGTTTCTTCTTTCACTCTACCCACTAATAAAAATGAAATTTATAAAATGTCATTGAAACAATGACCTTACTTTGGGATAAGTACAAGGTAGGTCAAACGTGTCTATGAAAGACGTGACTTTAGGCACTTTTTAAATAAACTTTGAATAAGCGCTACAGTGATTTCAGATTCGGGTATTTATTTCATGGGTGCATGGCTTTTGGGGCACAGTCGAACTATGCGCCTTTTAAACTCCGCTTGTCATACCATATAAGTACATGACCCCTAAATGTTCCCCCGTTTCCTACTTATTGACAAAATGTGCACATAAAAAGGTTATAACTGACATTTTGCTTGTCAGATATTTTGAGGCTGGTTCCCCCTTTATAAAATGAGGAAGAAAAAAAGAAGATAGAAAGGCACATGTATTATTAAGTTTATGTCTTCAAATTTATTGATTAGAATCCAAATCTGAAAAGAATATGCACTAATAAAATACTCAGTAAATACAACACATTATATTACTGAGGAAAGGAGTTAGTTTGAATGCACATCTTTGGTGATCGATAACACCTGTATTAGGGTATAGACACCCAACTGGTGTCGAATTCCCTATCATGATAACCCACAATCAGAATGGACTTCCCCTTCGGATGACCCCTAAAGGACACTCCTCTGCATTCGAGAGTATGTTTTAAAAATTCCACAACCCATATCCAAACTAGGTCACATACCTTCTCTTCTAAGAAGCACGAAATTAATTTACCTTGATCCATTATCTGTAAAATATTACAGGAAAAGCATTATGCAAACCACTGTTTATTATTAATGACCGGTGGTGTTTGCATTATCATCAAATTTATCGTTTTCTTGCTCTTGAACTTAGAAGAAGACTAAGGTCTTTAACTTTAATGGTAAACGTACACATTCACGGATGTTGACATTATAGATGTTGTATGGATGCGGGGATTTTGAGGTCAGAATCTAGAGGTCATGGTATTGAATTATTGATGACGTATCTGACATGTTATGATGATTATGATCTGTTTGAAGAAGACAACTTGCCAGTCACGTCCATGGGCTTTACTTTGAAATGATGGGAGAAAGAAAGAAAAAAAGTTAGAAAGAAATAGAAGGAGAGGGGGCAATGCCATACCTGAGGAATCTGTCGTGTTAATTATAATCCTGTTTTGTGTTTTTATGGGAAGAAGAAAAGAACACCTTTGAAGTCACGTACATGGAACTAGTTTTTGTTGAGTAATGTGAGGTAAAGAGAGAGAGAGAGAGAGAGAGAGAGAGAGAGAGAGAGGAGAGAGAGAGAGAGAGAGAGGGGGGGGGGGGGGTTTACGCGAGTGATGATTTCCAAAATGCACACAGTTGCTTTTTATTAAGTGCTATTTGTTTTTAAAAAAATCAATAATTTCCACTTCCTTAACAAAACAAAAAATCATTATACATAATGAACTTGTTCCCTCTGTCGAACGCATGAAGATAAAATAATATTCCCTCAGCAACAACCACAAAGAAGGATTCCTTTGATTAATAATCAGTTTATTCGTTTTGGCATTCCTCAACATTGTAGCAATTTCTTTCAAAATATTTTGATTTTAATTCATCAGCATGAACTTAAAACCTGAATGAAAGCTGTGGTAAAACATTACAATTACAATTGCTAAACAAAATAAAAATGTACATGTTACAGTAATGTTTCCATATTTTGAAGAAAAGAAAACAGGGAGGGGAAAAGGGCGGGGGTGGTTGTTGACGTCAGCTCCATTTTATGCTAAATAGGCCTACTCCCCAGTTTACAAGGGTGCAACGAATGTTTACTTCACTATATTAGACATATTTATCTACACACATAAATAATAAAAAAAGTCGTTAGATTGATTTTTACATGTATTGTAAAAGGAGCTGCTAATTCTATTTTTTCATTTGAAAGATTCTAGCGATCGGCTAAGAGAATGAATTTGTTATCCCTGACCGACATCTTTTCATGATTTAAGCAGTCGGATTACAAACTAATCGAACATCTGACTTTCTTCTTCCAAATATTAAGAACATGAGACATGACATACCCCCTAGACATACGACCTCTCTCGTTAAAAGATTGTTCACCTTTAAATCATGGACGCTTTTGTTATTTTTGACGTGAATAACGACGATGACGGAAACATATCAAGATTCATACGCACTTAGCCCTGACCCACATGAAGATGAAATTCCAAACCCCTAGGCATGCAGCAAAAATTGTATAAATATGAACCGCGAAGCTGGGTCTCCATTAAATTTAGAGTCACCGAGAGTGATTTAGAGACATTTAGAGGCATTTCTACGAAGAGACTACTTCACTTTTAGAGACACGCGCACCATGAAATATCCAACGTTCTTCGCTCCCTTTAGAGGACTAGTGACGGCAGTTATCATATGTCTTTTTGTTGAAACATCGGTAAGTAAAACCATCTTCTTCTCCTTTCTTTAAATCTATCCAAACTTCAACAAATTTATAAGAACTGGATTAAAGTCCGAATAACATATTGTTTTAAATAACATTCTGTATGTACTTCTATGGCACAACTTAGGACCGCATAGGTCCTCTCAATGTTCTTTGAATATAATAACAATCATATAGCTTCTTAAGTCCGGCGGCGCACACCACATGTCCGATCTGACCACGATCCGATTTTGGAAGAATTTGCCATAGCAATGATGTGAACATAAACAATTACCATTTTAATGATCATGTATCTCAACATAGGGAACTGATTAATAATATGCAAATTTCAAGGGATTTCAATCTTCCTTGGAGGAAGAATAGCCCTATCGGCTTAGAATCGCAGTGCCGTCAGACAAGAACTCCGTCTTAAAAGAGTTGATATTAATTGCAACTTATTTGCAATTGATATAAATCGCAATTATGTACACATAAGATAGGGGATTGCAAATTTGCGATTGTTCCGAGTAGTTGCTATTGACTGGAATCAATCGGAACTCTTTATAACTAAGACGGGGCCCTGCATGGAGTGCTACTGTCTGCGATTTGAAGCCGAATCTGCCTTTTTTTCTGACGAGGGGGTTTAAAATGCACTGAAATTCCGGTTATTAGTATTCTTATAATTATTGTTTAGAACCTATATCAATATCCTATAACCAGGCGCGGATCCAGGATTTCTTAGGGGAGGGGGCCCAACTTTTTTTTTTTTTTGCTCCCGAAAATTTGAAAATCGCACCGGCCGAAAAGTCGCTCAGTGGGGGGGGGGGGGGGGGGGGGGGGGGGGGAGGGGAGTGGGGGGGGGGGTACAGAGCACAATTTTTTTTTTTTTTTTTTTTTTGCTCCCGAAAATTTGAAAAACGCGCCGGCCAAAAATTCGTTCAGTGGGGGGGGGGGGGGGGGGGGGGGGGGGGGGGGGGGGGGGGGGTGGTAGTGACCACATTTTTTTTTTTTTTGATCCTCAAAAAAATTTCGATTTGCACCCCCCCCCCCCTTGAGCGCCAGGGGGGGGGGTGCAAATCGAAATTTTTTTGAGGATCAAAAAAGGTAAAAATCACGTGATTTTACATGATTTTTTTCTCAAGGGGGGGGGGGGGGGCCCGGGCCCCCCGGGCCCCCTCTGGATCCGCCACTGCCTATAACAACTATCGTATCTTGTTTTTTATAACAAGTTTTATGAAAACAGGGCCTAGATCAGGAATCATTTCCAAGTTTTGTTTTCCTTTAAGAAATGCCAAGAAGCAACACCACTCGGTCCTGCTTATATGAGGACGACGTCCGGCGTCGTCGAGACGTCGTCTGGTAGATGCCAGTGCGAGACTGCTTTTCCGCCATTAGTCACTTGTCAAGATTATGTAGAAACGGGCTACCCAGAAAGACTTGAAGCAGCAGAACGGGAGGTAAGTAAGGGATGCAGAATGGGTCAGTGACTAATCTATTCGTATATTTGTATCAAAATTAATTGCCATCAAATTGGGGATCACAAATGGGGATACAACAGGGGCGTCGTCCCCCCCCCCACTCCGGGGTCGGAATGACCGCATGCGTGTTACCAAAATGTCCGGTAAAGGGGTACTTTTCACGCACCAAAGCCCGGCTCGAACATACACAAACTTGACTTTACACACCATGGGGTGTTTTCAAAAGGAGGGAACACGCATATACGTACCCTAAATAACAGTGAGTGGGGGGGGGGGGGCGTCGTTTAATCATTTTGAGCGGGGGGGGGGGTGACCCCCAAATGTGCCGATAGATATGTTGGCGCTTCAACATTTTTATTATCCGGTCATAGCAGGCGGCCAAATAACTATAGTGCTCTGGCATACTCTGGTGCCCATTACACGTGGGTGGAGAGTGGCAAAAGTGGATTACTGTCTTGCCGAGGTAAGTTAGTGTCGGGTTGGGATTCGAACCAGCAACCCTTGGATTGAGAGTCGTGTGAATGAACCACTGTGCCATGACACCTCCTCAATTTACAATTCATATACACAATCGAAACAATTCCAAGAAAGAAGTCAATTTGTTACGCCTTGTAATATTTTTAGTACTATCTCATGTGATGTCATATGAAATGCTGTTCATTTAAATCGCTAAGAAATCTTCTTCTTCTTCTCTTTTCTTTTTATTCTTCTTTTCTTCTTCTTCTTTCTATTTTTCTTCTTTTTCCCCTTCTTCTTCTTCTTCTTCTTCTTCTTCTTCTTCTTCTTCTTCTTCTCTTCTTCTTCTTCTTCTTCTTTCTTCTTCTTCTCTTCTTCTCTTCTTCTTCTTCTTCTTCTTCTTCTTCTTCTTCTTCTTCTTCTTCTCATTCTTATTATTGTTATTGTTATTATAAATAATGTCATGCTCGTTCTTATGAATATTATTTGTAGAAGCTGTAGTAGTGTTTTTCTAATTTCAAATTTCTAATCTCTTTCAAATTGCCACCGTCCTCAGATCGCTCTACTCGGTCATCAACTCGACGAGTACAACCATACGGTCATCAGGCTCCACATCGATCTAGAGCTCGCAGATTCTCAGCTCAACGTGACGATGATGACATTGGAAGGCGTTCTGGATGGTACCGTGGTCGTCACAGTGGCTGAGCTCGAGCTCGTGAAGGAAGAACTCAAGGAGATGTCTCTACTCCTTGAAAGGTGAGCCCCCGTAACCATAGCAACTGCAAGGGGATGTTGAGTTATAAAGGGTGCAATGCCTATACACTTTTGATATTTAATAGATATACACAGTGTAAAGTTGAGTAATATATGTGTAAGGTTTATAGTTTGAAATGAGAACGTCAGTTATAATTTGTTTATAATAAAAAATGTCTTGATTCTCGAAAGTAGGCAAACAAGATAATTATATTCAGGATTAAGAAGAGAGAGAGAGAGAGAGAGAGAGAGAGAGAGAGAGAGAGAGAGAGAGAGACTCAATGCACGATGAGCACTCTCCATGCTGCCCTGATGGAAACCCGAGTCTGTGATTATTATTTTGACACTTAATATCCGAATCTATTCATATTTAATGATCTCTTCTTGTTTAAGCTCTCTTTCTCTTCCATTCTCTCTTTCTGCTTCTCCAAGTTTTTTCTCTTCCCCTAGTAATTTTCATTAAACAAGTCTCATTTTTTTTCTAATTTTAGATTCCCTTAAAACAAAAAAATAACACAACACTTTTCTGCAAAATTTGTCTCTCGTAAAATATTGTTACATGAATAGAAATTGAAAGTTCATACTTCGACTTTAACCTGTTTTTCTCAGAATCGAGGAGGTAGCATCTGAGATTCCTGAAGTACAACAACTGCGTGAAGAAGTAAGTTTTCAAAACAAAGTTTGAATGGTTCGAAAAATGCTGATGGTGGTATTATACTTTAGTCACTTGTCAGAGCGACCGATAAATATTGGTGATGAAGGATTACTGTGATGTAAGTTTTTGTTAGGTTTATTGATTTTATGTCACTTTCGTCTGTGAGACTGGGTAGCGAAGGTGGGGATGATGAAGTTGAGAGTGGTAATGATGACGGTGTCGATGGTGTTGGTGATGGCGACGACAATGACGACGCCGAGCCGATGGGATGATGGTTAAGATAAAGTACGGTAGTGCTAATGGCGCTTCTACTCTTGATCAAAACGACGACGGCTATAATGATGGTAATTAAGATGATGTGACACAGTGACAGTGATGAAAGTGGTCATTATGACGATGACGATTAAAGTGATGGTGATGAAGACAATGGCACAGCTGGCAATAATGAGGAAGACGATGATGTTGTACTAACATATTACTAGTTAAAAAGAAAAAAATCTCAGTAGAGAATTGATTGATTATGTCGTATTTAGGCTTTCTTTATTTCCACCATCAAATTATAATACAGTAACCATTGAACTATCAACCTGAACGTGTTAAAAATGAATCCATTATACAAAGCATGCTTTCCAACTCCCCCCCCCCCCCTGATAGGCAACGACTTATTGATGGTATTCATACTCAAGATTAGATTACTTTCAGTGAGGATGCTCAAATTCTCTTTTCCTTTTTACATTTTCAGCTGAATAACTTCACAGACCTCATTAAACAACTGGAGGTAACGAGACCCACTGAAGTCCGAGTACTGCAACGAAAGATCGACGATCTCAAGACGAAGTTGGCCGAATGTGAACGGTATTATCCGACGAGGACCGAAGATGAGAGCCTCTTCCAACCCTGGAGTGATTTTCCCTCCCAAGGTAGGAACTGAAAGACTCATCTGCATGAAAAGTATTTACGGGCAAGGAGATAGTTAGTACAATATTGTGCAATCTTTAAATGATTATTGTGCTATCTTTCTATTGGAATCAATAAAATTGTAAAATGTATTATTCAGATATACAGATAGACAAATAAGCGGGCGAATAATCGGGGGGGGGGGGGGGGAGGGGGAGGGGTAAGCATTATCTTTAGGGGGGAGGAGTGAACACTCCCATTTTTTCTCGACACCCACCCCCCCCCCTTCTTGAGAGAAAAAAATTAGTGCTTACTTTTTCTTTTCTTTGTTGCCAGGGGGGGGGGGGCATTTTCATTTTGTGTTTAAAAAAGGTTAAATTAACGTAACCATTAAAAAAAAACCTGTTGTTTGCCAGCGGAGAGGGGGGGGGGCGTCCCCCCATCGGATCCGCGCCTGATTAACGCTCAACACCATTGCAATTCCCATACGTCTTTTATTCCGAAAGCAGTTGCTATCTTATTTATAAGTAGGCCTATTTAGTAGGAAAATTGAAAGGTAATACAGAAAAAAAGATAATGAGAACGATTCCTTTCTTCTTTTTCCCCTTTTTAGATAGTTGCCGTGATATCATCCACGTATCTGAGCCCTTCACAGTCAGAGGCGTAGGGAACAAAATAGGGGCGTGGTTCCGAGATCCAATCCAGGACTATATCAAGGTCTATTATGTACCCTTCCACAATCCAAGGTAATATATCTTGACTACTGTAGAGGTATCGCGGTCACCGCACTGTGGATTACAATGGTTCGCGGTTCGAATTAAGGGGGGGGGGGCCGTCCCCATCATATTGCGAATTAGGAGAGAGGAAAGAAAATGAGAGGGTACTGGAACGTGACAAGAATACGCTATACTTCTCTTCCACATCATCCCCCAATAAAATGACCTTAGTTGTATTTCATCCTGTAAGATTCAGTGCCATCTCTCCCGAAAGATGTCAGTACATGGCCGCTTATTGTCTAAACGTACGCTATATCATGTCACTGCATTTAGTCAATTCAAACGCTTGAATTTCTACAAGTTCAATAAGGATATAACATTTCCAGCAAACGTTTCATTCTAAATAGCTAAAGTTACATAATTGTCCGGAAAACGCAGTGGGAGAGCTATTTGTCTCTTGATAGATGTCTATCAGAATCCCATTTATTATCACCTCTGTTTCAAAACCTGGTGTTTCATCATAATTATTGAGGGGCAATTCGCAAAGGGGAGACTGAAATACTAATGAGGTTCCCGGGTAAAATACCCCCCCCCCTTCACAAATCTTTGCTCGCTTCTCACCTATATGCAGCAAATGCAAACATGCAATATGTGGTGAATAGATAAGTACAAACATTAAGTAATCATTTATCTTTTTCCCCTTTTACTTTTCTTTTCCAATCTCAGACTTACTTACCAAGTTGACCGCTTTGCTCACGTTGCTGACTTCCGTGGAGGTACTGAGTACGAGCATCGATACATGCTGCCCACGAACCTCCCGGCCCAGGGTCCCGGTATGGTCGCATATAATGGTTCCCTCTACTACCATGCATTTCAAAGCAGACAGATCGTGAGGTAAATACATTGATGATTATTGATTAATTTCAATTTGTGTATATTCTATCATCTCAGTCACACATCCAAATCGATCATCAATTAAACCGACTTCAAATCGACTCCAAACCAATCGCCTCTTGGCCCTTCATGTACTGTAACAATTCTTGTTTGGTTTGCTTTCATGGTTGTCTGTCTTGTTTCGACATTTATTCATTCATGTATATATTTATTTATTTTATTTATTTATTTATTTATGTATACATTTTATACAGGAACACATTTCAAGGAACACAAGATTAGTGTTGATATTCAAAACATAAGATTATGAACTATCAGGGAAGAGTAAAAGTCATTACTGTGAACGTTATAATAATGAAGAGAACACAACAAAAATTATGACAATGTCTGATGAATGTTACAAAGCAAAAACATAAACTAATTATTTATTCCATATAAAGATGGTAATTAAATGGTCATATTAATTCAGATCACAACATACAGAGTATTCAGAATAGGCCTAATATTACAAAGAATGTAAATCTACACTCGCCACACTCGACCCAGGTGAGATAAATAAAAACTCTTCCTCTGTTCTGATCTGCAAATGAATATTTTTTTTTCTTCAAGTGAAGCAAGGGTATTTCTTTAAAAAGCTCTCTATTTCTTGACAATCAGGTATGATCTTGAAAACCATACGGTAGTCACTACGGGAGAGATATCCGATGCGGACATCAACATCCGGGGTTCACCCAGCGCCATCGATCTGGCTGTCGACGAGCTCGGGCTGTGGGCAATCTATGCCTCCGTCTCCGACCAAAGTAAGAAAACATTGTCGTGTTAATCAATTTCGGAGATCTCGGGTTACTGGGAGATTTCGTAAAAATATGTTTTTTTTTTATACGATAAACGAATAATTATATAATTTGCTCCTCTTTTTACCTTCATTAAGAAGACGCAATATTATTGTTCAGACAAAATAATATGCGGACTTGCCCCTTTCGACTGAAGTAAGTAAGAAAAGGTGCCAAATGGGGGAATTAGGATTAGCTTGTTATGGTTTTTTTTTTTTTGGGGGGGGGGGGGAGTGGTGATTTTATTATTTCTGTCGAATCTTCTATATAATTATGCTCTTTGCACATTTATTGTGGGAAGGACGTATTAAACACATGTAAATAACGAGACGAGCTCAGACTTTGGAGAGTTAAGGAATACCTCCCTCTCCGACAACAGTGTGAATACTTTGTCATGTATCGTTGTGTGCAATGGAGATAAAGTTATACATTTTCACTTAAACACGAACGTTCTCTTTAAAGAGTAAATGAGTACCTTTTCTTTGCTGAATCTTTTCATTAAAAGTAAATTTATGGACCATAAATATTCAGCCCTTTGTAAGTTCTAAAAGTCAAATGGAAAGGCCTTATCTTCAACTTCATATGTGGTTGAAGTTGTAGATCTAGTGTAATTAGAAATGTTAAAGAAATAAATAACTTTGCAATGAATTAATTCACAGTTATTTCATGCTTTATCATTATATTTTCAAACATATTCTTGTGTTTTAATCATCATGATAATGATCATATTATATATATATATATATATATAGATATAGGAGTTGGAAGGTTACACTTTATTGGTACGAGTTATACAGACTGTTTCGCCAGAAGGCTCATCAGTAACTAAATACATAATACAATCATGGCGAAGTTAAAAACACTCATGTGCAGTCAGGCAAGAATACAAAAGAGACACAATAATAACATTGGGCTCTACAGGGATGATGGTCTAGCGATCGTCCACAAGCCAGCAAGAGCAGCAGAGACCATAAAAAAGAAGCTATGTGAGAAATTCAGAAAGATAGGCCTCCAGGTGACAGCCAGTGCTAACTCTACCGTCGTAGACTTCCTAGATGTCACGTTCGATCTCAATAGCAAAGAACACAAACCATTTTCGAAGCCTGGCAATACCCAGCTGTACGTCCATGTAGAATCCAACCACCCGCCAACCGTCACCAAGAAGATTCCGCACTCCATACAAACCCGCCTATCCACGATCTCCAGCAGCGCAGAGGTATTCAACGAGGCGAAACCGGAGTATGAAAAAGCATAGTATGAAATAACATAGCAACCATAACCAAGGCCCACAACAATAGAATCATCAACCACAACCCCAACCGAGACCCAGAAACCTGCAACTGCAGAAAGAAAGACGACTGCCCCCTCCCAGGAAAATGCACAACCAAAAATATCGTCTATGAAGCCAAGGTTGTGACCCCCAACGATGAGAAACTCTACATTGGACTCACATCCACATCCTTCAAAGCCAGATATGCAACTCATAAAGCAAGCTTCACCCACCAAGAAAAGAGATACCAGACCGAGCTAAGTAAACACACCTGGATGCTGAAAGACGACGGGACACCCTACACAATATCATGGAGAATCATCCGGCACGCCCAACCATACTCACCCAGAACAAATCGCTGCAATCTCTGCCTATGGGAAAAGTACCACATCATCACTGCTGAGAAATCCACCATCCTTAACTCTAGAACTGAACTCATTTCCACATGTAAACATAAGAGAAAGTTTCTACTCTCTGAATATGGTTAAACCCCTCCCCCCCCCCTGTACCACCATGACCTTTCCCCTTACCCTTAAACCCCTTAATTCCACTATTGTATTATTGCGTTCGCCCTTACCTGGGTATTATTTGTGTCTCTTTTGTATTCTTGCCTGACTGCACATGAGTGTTTTTAACTTCGCCATGATTGTATTATGTATTTAGTTACTGATGAGCCTTCTGGCGAAACAGTCTGTATAACTCGTACCAATAAAGTGTAACCTTCCAACTCCTATATCTACATTTGCTCCTACAGTTGAGCACTGTCAGAAATTGCAGTTTCACTAAACTTGCTTATATATATATATATATATATATATTGTTTTATTTGACAGCAAACACAATGATCAGTCGTTTGGATCCAGAGACTTTGGATGTCATAGAGACGTGGGTGGCGCCATTCCCTAAATATCAAGCGGGAAGTTGCTTTATGGTTTGCGGTAGGCTCTACTGTCTTAGCAGTTTCTTCAGCACCGATACTACGGTTAGTTGGTCGTTCTTTTTTAATTTTTTTTTATTTATTTATTTATTTATTTATTTATTTATTTATTTATTTATTTTATTTTATTTTATTTTTTTGGGGGGAGGGGTTGGGATGGGCAAGGGGAGGTCCGATACGTCTACATTTGCTCAGGTATTTCTTCCGTTAACTCTTTACACTTCAGAAAGAACAGTTTAAACAACTGACTTTCACATATATCTATAATTTTGAGTTTTCCTGAGTAATAAGTAATCTAACAAAACAATTATTATTATCATCAAATAATTACTGCTATTGTTATTATTATAATTATTATCATTATCATCATCATCGTCATCATTTTCAGTATTATTTTTTTTATCATTTTTATTCTTCTTATTAGTAGTAATATCATCATGGTAACCACCATCATCATTCACCCAATAATTCACTATGATTCTCATACTATTTTCATCAGGTGGAGTTGGTCTACGAAACATCGTCGAACGTATTCCGTGTTATCGACGTCCTTTTCGACATCCGCTTCGGGGAGATGATGTCATTGAAGTACAACCCACGTGATCAGAAGCTCTACGGATGGGACAACGGTCATCAGGTGGTCTATGACCTTACATTTGACCCACCGGCGAGGTCACAACTCCTGCCGACCGACACGAATATTCCTTTAAATCTTCAGTAATCAAATGTGGATGATCGAATAACGTAATTTAAAGACAATGCTGCGGTCTGGAGTGGTATCCCGAAAACGATGTCATCTTGATGTTGGTTAAAATGATGTTAATTGTCATTAATAAAAATCAAAAACAAAAACAAAGTAAGGACGAGTCATTGGTAATATGTCTATGAACACCCTATTCTAAAAGTTGTAAAAAAGAACGAAAAATAAAGGATATGAATCACATTAAAGGCATCGTTTAACAATGCTGAATCTGAGATGCACGGCCCTACGTGTCATCAGTGTCTGTAATATGGTATAATATTGAAGCCCTAAATTATTTTTTTTTAAATCGCATTTCAAAATAATCAAGAAGTGCCTCAAAAAAGTAAAAATCTTTGAGTGACCGGTTTTTACCATACTCGTTTTCCTAATAGACTGTAGTGTTATAACCACCGTTTGGCAAACGCAAAATTGGGTTTCGATTTCCAATGATTAAAATCTTGATAATCAGACAGGCGATCGGCTTGTAAAAATCATGGGTTCCTGACTGTCCTAAAGGTCAATAATTATCATTGCAGCATGAGCTAAATCCAACATTTTGTTTCAGAGTCTGAGACAAAGTTACCGGATGCCTTTAAAAAAGTTGCACTTTGATATTGGTGTATCCAGCAAACGGGGGGGGGGGGGGGGGTTGAAGCTCGGCGTGGTGGAGGTACATCTGTTTCTGAATGTTTCGGCCAAACTCCCCTACATATTAAAAATATCTAAGTTATTTTCAGGTAGTAGGCCGATGCTGAATACTATTGTCCAAATATACATATCCCTTTTTTTTAAAGCCTTTTTTGGAATAGCGTAGCGGGCGAGGTGTCATCAATCTCATAATAAAGGTTAGAAGGTTAAATTAGTTGACATTACATATTTTGATTAGTCACAATTGTTTGTTGTTTTACCCTATCAGGAATTGTATTGGTGTGTTCAATGTATTTATAATTATCATGGTAATTATGACACTGTACTGTCAATTCATCAGGCTCTATTACTTTTTGAAAGGCTATAACGGCACATCTTTCAATTGAATATTTAACACATTACTATTTTCATCATCGTCACAATTATCAAATTATTATAATAACTATTATCATAAATATCATTATTTTATTTCTTTTAATCCTTCACACTTCAAGAGAATGGTGATTTTTGTTTGTAGGGATGAAATATAGCTTTTGCGCTTTCTCCTTTTTATGTGTAATTTTGGTAAAAATCTCCTGTGAAATCAGGCGCGTAGCCAGGGGGGGGGGGGGCGGTGGGGGCGGTCGCCCCCCCAAAAAAAAACGCCGGCAAAAAAAAAAAAAAAAAAAAGAGAAAGAGAAAAAAAAAGAGTAAAAGGACGTAGGAAGAAAAAGGGAAAGGAGTCGATAATTTAATGAAACGTCAAAGCTTCTGCGCTTCGCGCGGAACGGGGGGAAATTGAGTTCAAATTAAGTATTAAGAGTCGAGAACGGAACAAAGAATCGTCTTCTTTCTCTAATAATTTAATGAAACATGAAAGCTTCCGCGCTTCGAAAGAGGGGGACTGAATACAGATAAGGATTAAGGGTCGGGAAAAGTACAACGAATCGTCTTCTTTGTCTTCTTTTAATGAAACTTCAAAGTTTCCGCGCTTTGCGCGGGAGGGGAGGAAATTACTGATTTCAGATAAGGATTAAGGGTCGAGAACGGTACATCGAATCGTCTTCTTTCTCTAATAAATTAATGAAACGTAAAAACTTCCGCGCTTCGCGCGTGAGGGGGACTGAATTCAGACAAGGATTATGAGTCGAGAAAGGTACAACGAATCGTCTTCTTTCAAAGCTGGAAACTCCCCCCTTCCTGCACCCACCCCCCTAGGGACGCGCGCTCTTTAAGTGATTCGCACGCTTCGCGTGCTCACTACCGCCCCCCCTAAAATGAAATCCTGGCTACGCGCTTGTGTGAAATTATTCTTCAAATTACCTGATATTCAATAGAAATAGCTGAACTGTTTGAAACGGTTATGCCTAATGTGTGACTATAGTCCCATATATTCATTTCTGTGTGCAGTGCATTCATATGATTTTCAGAAAAGAATAAATTGATTTGTAATTTACCTGGCACTATACATCATTTTTTGTATGTACCGCATAAAACCTTTTCAAATTGCTTTCTTTCACAATGTCTTTGCAAGACATTTTATCTTTAAGCATCATGGTTAGTTACTGTCAAATTAAATCAACCTGCTTTTAATGCAGCATGTTATTGCTTAGTTTACATTTCTACATTTTCCGATAAATACTATAAATTGTATTTTACAGTTAAAGTAAAATCATTATCAGTCAATAGTGAGCTGTAATTATTTGTCAGGACTGTTTAACTTAATTCCTTATGTACCACATAATCAACCTTCCAAAATTGCCTCCAGATGTTTTCTTTCTCAATATTTCACGATTTCATTGCATGACCTGTACTCAAATTTGTATCTTTAAACATCATTACCATTTACTGAATTTATTCAACGGGTGATTCATGCTACTATTAGTTGATTTACATCTCTACATCTCTTGTTTTCCAATAAAAACTGTAAAAATGTATTTTACAATGAAAGTAAAATAATCACGTAACAATCAAATGTTGAGCTATATTCATTTATCAGGTGTGTTTGATGTTCGGGCAAGTCCACTATGTTTAGTCATTGGATGTCGCGTATGTTACCAATCATTAAATCAAACCTTATCATTTATTATCCACTATTAAACAACACATATAAAACCAACAACAAATTATATTTGTGGTTGAAAATGTGGGTCATAAACGAAAGAAAACATATAGGCTGGTTAGCCCATGACCCCTTGACATAAACAGTATACAACATCAAAAGGAAAAGTATCAAATAAATTTAGTACACAAACAAATATTAAGGATGTGGAGTTCTGAACATAGATTCAAATGAAATTTGTACTTTTACTTCGTATTTGGTCTGTTATAAACTTGATTGGGGCTGTTAACTTCATATAATGCTCAGGAATTATAATATTTGAGGTATAGTCGCTAACGGATGGGTCGAAATACCTTTGACTTTCGCCACAGAATTCAATATATTATATCGCATCCTGCGATATCAGAAAATATGGGATATTAGGGTTTGGAGAACACTTCGTTGATGTCAGTCTCCTTTGAACCCATTATATAACTTGAAAACAACATCGGTCCTCCTACAGACCCTTGCGGAACATCATTATGTCTAAAGATAAGGACTGAATTTTGATCGGACAGTGACAACAATGGACCTTATCCGATAAATATGACCTAATCGATTCAAGAGGTTTAAAACAAATTTTTAATAGAAATCAGTAGAATAATATGAATAACCGTATCAAAGAAAAAGAATAAGCCGAGAAGTAACAAATAAAGTTATGTTCCTGAGATTTCTACATTATGTCATTCTGTCGAGGTAGATATTTAAATTTTGAACATGTTCATTTCTTGGAAGTATGGCATTGACGCCTCAGCGAGCCTCCTGACATCTGGTGCCAACCTGTCTTTGGGTACTGGTGGTTTAGGTGGTATAAACTCACTGGAACAGGTCGCTGTCTCATAAAATGTGTCGAAGTTCTTCAATACATTATCGATGGTTACCTTCCATGTCTTGGTGACATCTGGAGAAGCATCCCATTGAAGAAGCGAATCACTGTATGGAAGACCAGTCCGATGGCAGAACTTTGACAGCACCTCTGCCGGGTTGGCCAACAGGTCGTCTGTGTTGATGACGATAGGGTCAGGATCAACGTTGGTGCGGATATACTTCCATAATTCATGCGTGCTCCTAAAGAACTCGCTAGCCTTTACGAAAGGGTCGTCCTTCTCTAGGTCAAACGTCTCCGCGTCGTCAGTCCATAAACCAGCTTTTATCAACTGATCGACCTCGGCTTTCTTGAAGGAGCTGAAGACTTTATAAGGATCCCGGATGAGAAAGACATGCTTAAACCCTGCTGGCATGTATTCTCTGGATTTCTGATCTGGAAAACCCCAGTAGACCTCCTTAGCTAAAATGTACCTGCTTGTGGATTCCTCGAGTTTCCGTTTCACATTACCATATCTATAAATAAACACACAAAATAGCATAAACTCATAAACCACTTGGTTTATATATGATAGGCAAATTGATATAACGGATTATGTCGATGTCTTTTATGCAGTCACTTTAGCATTTGCTTTTAGAAGAAAGAGATGGCGCAAGTCATGCACCCTTCAGGTTATCAAAATTAATAGAAGGATATAGCGATTTTTTTTCTTCCTGCGACTTGTTAGTTAATGAATGTAATCAGCGAAAGAGGGTAACTTACATCAGTCCACTCCACAGGTCTCTAATTTTTACCATAACTTATATTGATCGTTAGACCCCCTACTGGAGAAGTGGGGGTAACACCTACGTAGGGTCTTGTCTACCATTGAAGATAGAAAATGACGACACTACTACCATTTTGCAGATTTGTTTAGATAGTTGTTGGCCGGTGGAGTCCGAGTTAGCCATTTGTGGTAGTGTTTTATGAGGTCGGGAATTTTAGTTTGTCAGGAAACCGCGGCTATATATATATATATATATATATATATATATATATATATATATATATAAAAGCAAGTTTAGTGAAACTGCAATTTCTGACAGTGCTCAACCCCTCCCCCCCCCCCCTGTACCACCATGACCTTTCCCCTTACCCTTAAACCACTTAATTCCACTATTGTATTATTGCGTTCGCCCTTACTTGGGTATTATTTGTGTCTCTTTTGTATTCTTGCCTGACTGCACATGAGTGTTTTTAACTTCGCCATGATTGTATTATGTATTTAGTTACTGATGAGCCTTCTGGCGAAACAGTCTGTATAACTCGTACCAATAAAGTGTAATCTTCCAACTCCTATATCTATATATATATATATATATATATATATATATATATATATATATATATATATCAACACACACACATATAAAATATTTATATAACGTAGGATTATTATTACTTACACAAGTCGGTCGGCCTCTAATTTGCATCCCGCTAAACGTTCATAGACCGTCACTGCTTGTTGGACCTGCTTTTCATTTCCTTCATACTCCATCGGCATATCTTCGCCAGTAGCCAGCTTATATTCTCGCGCGGTATGGCTGCAGTATGTAAAACATTCAAACCAAACTTCCATGCCCTCAATTGCACTCAGGCATTTGGTGAAAGCCGTCGAGATAGTTCTTGGAATAACCGAAACGTATAATCGTACAGGTTTCCTATCGGAATCCGCCATTTCACTACTTTACGCTCTTCAAAGAGGATGAAAAAAAAGGATCAAATGGAGAATTCGCAAACTTCTGTGAAATAGCTCACAAACATATCAGAGTTACATACATTTCTACGGATAGGTTGATCAACGAAACAGCCTGGTTAACGATCATTATTTGTTATGCCGGATCTTTACCCTGGTATATGACTTTTTTCTCATTTTGACCTTTGAATTTTATGCACACGTATTTACTTTTTATTTTTTAATAGTGCTATTTTTTAAATATGTCTGTATATTGAACTAGCAAAATCTTATCAAAATGCCCATGTTGACTATTTTGGTAAATTATTCTAAAGGACATTAAAATCGACACAAAACAACATCATATAGCTCCGTTTAGTCTCATTTCACAACGCCCCCTATCTTTAGAGTCAGCAGCCTAACATGTTAGCCTATGGAATTTTACCCCCCCCCCCCCCCCCCCCCAAAAAAAAAAAAAAAAAAAAAATCGGTACTGAACCATTCTTTTATTATACATAACAGCTGTTCTTTAAATTAAGTATTGATGATGTATTTCTCACTGCATCACAACCTTGTGTGGTAATTGATTCTACGAAGTCGATGTCACCTTAAATATATTTAGTTATATCCAATTTTATTACCATTATTACTGTCATTGTTATTACTATTATCATCACCAACATCATCATAATTATCTTTATGAAAATGGCGTCCCGTAAGGTAACATTCTTGCCCCATTATACTGATACCGGCTACACATTTGATAAAATATTGTTGAGTCGATTTTTATGTCCTTAAGATATCAATTGAATTGTTGAGAGGCAAAGTCTACTTTGTTATAGTTTGAATTTGTTCCTTTTCCGGAAGTAAGTCATTGATGCCTTAGCTAGCTTCCTGACATCTGGCGCCAACCTTCCCCAGGGTATGGCCGGGTTTTGATGACTGGAAAGTGCTCGAGTAGGGCACTTGTCGTTATAATAACGACCCCTCCAGTCACTCGCTTCTTTCCGGGTGGTAGTTTTACGACAGCAAAAATTACGTGAGAATCATCTCCGTATTCAATTTACAGTAAAGTTAAAGATCGTATCATCCCTCTGCGTGCTTTTCTAGGCGTGATCTAAATCTCTGTATTAAACGTCATTTGACAAGACATTAATCCAGTTTTACCACTCTCCAACCACGTGTGAAATGGGTACCCACACGGATGCGAAATTCATTGCATTTTCTGAGGATTGTGAGCATCTGTTAAAACGGCGCCTACTGGAACGCTTCCCAGGGAGTGGAGGATGTGCATTCATTGTGTGCGGGAAAAGCCTGAATCCAATGACAGGGGTAATATATATCTGTATAGTGCTTTGAGACATCGTCGATGTATCAAGCGCTATATAAATGTATGCAATAGGAACAGTAAATGCATACGTTTACACTTTACTTTTTAAAAATGTCATTGAATTAATTCAATCCATTATTCAATATATTTATTCTGTCAGTCATTCATGTATGCATTAATTTAGGCGCGTTGGCGAGAACATATAGCAGCAACAAAAAAAACAAAAAAAAAAACACAATCAACAATAAAATACAGAATGTAAAAACACACAAAACAATTTAGAAGGAGAAGGTACATTTATTGAACGAAAAATTTCATAAATAGTATGTACTGTGAAGCAATGTTCAACGTTTTTCGTTTTTCTTCAACGAAAACATTATTTCACCACCTACACCTAAAATGTTGTGATTGACTCCCTTATGGTAAATTCATTATAATTATTTTAAAGAACTGGTCTCCCCATATATTCTGTTTAAAACAAACTATGATGAGAGTCATGGATATTGAAGTATACACCACGGGCACCTACACCTCCCAATAAAAGCTTTAAGGTCACTTTTCTTGATTTGTTCTGAAATGGTTAATAATAATGGTGGGGCCATAAAAACACGAACATCTGGAGAGTTTGGGCACATTTTATCGGTGTCATCGTTTTCAGTGAGCATCAAATTGTACTTTGGGAGAGGTGGACGCAATTTCCCCATTAGGGCCGTCTCTGTACCTAAATTATTGGAGATGATAGATAATTCGCTAAGACAGCCGGAAAGATAGAGGCATCCAAGAGTTATTGGACGACTACTTACGGGTGGATTCAACTTAATACAACTAAAAAATGAATTCATTCCTGATATTACTCATTAAATGGATTTCCACTCCTCTACATTAAGAAGAAGAAATAGTAGTTGATTGGATAACTTAAAATTAGAACGTTGCTTCTGTACCTCAAGGAAAATGTATTATTACATGTTATTACATATTAGTACATTTATTGAACATAATCTACATGCTCAATGAGACTGCTCTCATTTACAGGAGGGAATCTACAATTTACACGCTTATTTCACTGCACATAAATTGTATTGATATATCCGTATGTTATTTCGACTATATTATTACTTTAATGGTCTGGTATTATTGTATGTATTCTTACACCTCTTGAAAGAACAATGCTTTTCATTCTTTATTGTTTATAGCTTATTATTTATGTAAAGAATGTGCATGTGAAAAAAATGAGATAGTAGCTGGATGAAGATTTTATATTTTGAACTTATTCATTTCCTCGAAGTATGGCATGGACGCTTCCGAAAGTTTCCTGACATCTGGTGCCACTCTGTCCTTGCAAACGGGAGGTTTAGGTGGTTGAAACTTGCTCGAGTAGAGTGCTGTTCCATAAAAGGGAACAGCTTTCTCTAGTACCTCATCGCTAGCCACTTCCCAGGTCTTGGTGATATCTGGAGAAGCATCCCATTGAAGAAGCGAATCACTGTATGGAAGACCAGTCAGATGGCAGAACTTTGACAGCATCTCTGCCGGGTTGGCCAAAAGGTCGTCTGAGTTGATGACGATTGGGTTAGGGTCAACGTTGTCGCGGACGTACTTCCAGACATCGTGGATGTCGATAAAGAGCTCGCTAGAAGGTACGATAGCGTTATCCTTCTCTAGGTCGAATGCCTTCTCGTCAATAGCGTCGCCCTTCCGGAGACCAACGCTCACCTGATGATCGTACATAGCTTTTCTGAAAGAGCTGAAAACTCGGTATGGATCGCGTATGAAAAAGACATGCTTAAAGCCCGTCGGTATATATTTCCTGGATTTCTCATCGGGAAAAGCTGCACACCCCTCCTTAGCTACCATGTACTTGCTTGTGGATGCCTCCATCCTCGGCTTTACATTGCCATACCTACAAACGAAAAGCCATAAACACTTGCTATTTCACATTAAAAAACATCCATATTCAAATAAGAGACATGCCGTAGGTTATTTTCTTTCGTCAACAAAGTTACGAAATAAATAAGATAATGGTTATTTATATAGCGCCGGTATCCGCCAGGTTCTGACGCTCATGGCGCTTTACACATATTACCCTGGTCGTAGCCGAGCTGCCAAAGTAACTAGCGCTCAAGCATATCAGGTACCCATTTACACCTGGGTGGAGAGTGGCAAATGTAGATAAACGTCTTGCCAAAGGACATTAGTGCTGCGGCGGGACTTGAACCCCGTACCTTGTGATCTGCAGTCGGGTGACTTATCCACTAGTCCACAACACCTCTTCATATATATTTTGTTATCACAAATAGCTGGATGACCAAGAATGAACAAGAACAACCTCATTGAAAGGACCTGAACGTCCTGAACAACACGAAGGTAAAACGGACTTGTTCACCAGTACAACTAATCACATTGGTGTGACAGTCCCTTCTAACGAAGCCTTTTGTTCCCAACTGACGAAAGGCAGCAGCATCTGGAACAAAAACGGTTTTTACGTATTATCTTGTATATTATTAGCAAACGTATTTCGAATGATTTAAAGTAGCTTTTCGACTATATTCTTCTCTTTTCTCGCAGGTCGAGGGATAATATGGGTACACCAGATTCACTGTATAGGCGGGAAAGTCAGCCTCTGTAAATCATGAATCACTAAATGCAAGCAAATAACTTGGAATTCTACTTGGTGTAGCCGTTATACTTACATAATTCTATCGGCATGTACTTTGCATCCCACTAAACGTCCCACGATTGATGCTGCTTGTTGTGCCTGTTCTTCATTCCCGTCATACTCCATCGGCATAACTTCACCAGTAGCAAGCTCATAATTTCTTCGAGTTACGCCGCAGTACGTAAAACATTCAAACCAAACGTCCATACCATCAATGCCACTCAGACATTTGGTCAAAGCCGTCGAGATAGTTCTCGGAACATGCCACAAGAACAATCGTACAGGTTTCCCATCGAAATCCGCCATTTTTATCTAATTCACCACTCCATATTTACCCATCCGAAATGGGACTTTAACCCCCTTAACATCCCACGTATGATCGGTACAAGGTGCGATAAGTAGCGATAACAGTCGGTATTATTATCATATCATACCTTATATGAAATGATGAGTAAAGTGAAAACAAATAGACAGAATAGGCGACCTGTTAAATCATTCCAACTCCCACAGGGTCAGTCTTTGTTGATCTACAAAAAGCCTTTGATTTGGTGGATACTGAGATACTGTTGCAAAAGCTCTTACTGATAGGCGTCATATGTGAATCGCTTCAGTGGTTCAGGAGCTATTTGGTTGATCGAAAGACAGTGACTTGTATTAATGATGTAGTTTCTGATGCATTACCATTGACCGGTGGGGTGACCCAGGACTCTCTACTAGGCCCCTTATTGTTTGTAATATTTATTAATGATATGCCTCATTCTTTTGAAAAATGTAAAATACTTCTATATGCTGAAGACACTGTGTTAGATTACTCACATAAGAATCCGTCTGTTGTACAGTCAGTTCTCAACGAATTAGAGCTCGATTAGATACATGGATATCTCGGAATAAACTGAAGATTAACTACAGCAAGACCGTGGGTATGTTAATTGCAACAAAAAAAATTGCTGAAAAAACAAGATAAATTAGTTTTGTTATATAGTTCGAGGGAGAGATGTAATCCAAATGCATAACACAAAATACCTAGGGGTAATCATTGATTCAGAATTGAAATGGAACATTCATATTGAAAACATGTGTAAGAAAATTGGAAAATGGTTGGATTTCTTGGTCGATTGAGACATTATGTAAATGAAACTAATTTGAAAATTATATATCATTCTGTTTTCTCCCACATCTTGAGTATGCAGACAATATTTGGTCGTCATCTTCTGATAAATATCTTGATCAGTTACAGAAACTACAGAATGGAGCGGGCAGGATCATTTTGAAGATAAATCGGCAATCATAATTATATATCCAATCAACAATAAAATTGCATGATATCCTAAAATGGGATACTTTGTCCCTACGGCGTACTAAACACATGCACGTTATGATGTTTAAAAGACTGCATGACCTGACTCATAATTATATGAATGACAATGTTTCTTTTAGAGCTACTAGATACACACTTCGAAGTCAATTTAATCTTGCCCTTCCTGGTTATTGATAAGTTATGAACTTGCAGGGTTAGCCTTGATTGTAGTTGTTAGTTCAGTTAAATGTTATTGTTTTGTTAAACTTTTATGAATTTCTAGAAGTGCGATACTTTCTTTTAAAGGCAAGTCAGCTTTGTCAAATCGGAATGAATAAGCGTTAGCTTACATGTGTCTATGACAATTTATGACATAATTATACAACAATTTCAAGCTAAATAATGTCGTGGAGTTTTAACTCCCATGCAGCGTTAATATTGTGTAAATAAGTTTGAAGTAATAAAGGGAAAATATATAGATACCCATATGCACTGTCGCTCATAACGTTGGAATATTTTTTTTTACCCCAATTTATGAAATTATTTTGACAATGATTTATTCCTAATAGATCTAGATAAAAGTATACATTCTCAGATTTTATTGAATAATAATTTGCCAGTGTTTGTTTTGCGTGACGGCTAAAGTATGTGTATGCTAATATGCTTATTAACTACGGGACCTACGCCCTTAAGTAATAAATGACAGTAATGAGGATTAATGCCCCACAAACGGGCACTAATATAGCACATCGACACGGTTTTGATCCTTGGGCCTCACAGTTACAAGGCCATTGCTTTGCCACCGAACCCTGACTGTACGCAGCGGGGGCTAGGGTGGGGCAGGCCCCACAAATAAAAAAACACAAAGAAAATACAATAAATTATCAATAATTCATTAAATATCCCCCCGGTCCCCAACAATTTTTTTTTCTTTCTGTGTGCTCATGCCTTGAGCCATAATGCATGTCCGTACAGAGGATTTTTTTATATCAGATATTGAGATATTTAAGTTTAAATCATGAAACAGTGTTGAATTAAATGAAGACATTTTATAAGACAGTTTTTTTCTTAGGCGAGCAGACATATGCATATTAAGAGCCTGTCCAAGTCAGTAGAAGGTCATATAGTTCATTTAAAGTGACAATCCAATATTGAGGCTTTTAGCACATATTCATGCTATGAAGATAGATGAGAATAATCAAGCTTGCGTATGGATGCAAGATAAAGATGTTTACGGTTATTTTGGTTACTCTGAATTTTTGTTAGTGAAAGGACGAGGTCAAGATTGACAGTTTATACAAAAGCAAAATGTGTTTAAATGAACCTTTATAGATTCAGTTACTTGGTTTATTCAGATATTTTGTATTATATCATGCATTCTTGTGTAACATGAATGGTGTACTAAATCTTTCAATGTTATTTTATCTGTTTTTGCAGATCGAATGAAAAAGCTTAACAGCTTTGTATCTCCATTACAGCTGGACTCTCAAACTTCTATTTTCCCTTTCTTCAACTATTCAATAATGATACCGCTAAATATGGGCTATCCAGCCGTTTATTTCATCCTGTAAGTCATAATTATATTTGTTATTATTATACTGAATGCATGATGTCTTTTTATACGGAAATAAAACAAACAAACAAACAAAGAGTTCAAGGATAACGATATCAAACAGATTGTTGACGACGTTCAAAGGTCGAGAAATTTTATTCAGCTTTGAACAAATCAAGTTACTACGGACGGATGCATGTGCTGAGTTCACACACTATACTTTTATTCTGCAGCCTAACTCGTACTTCGTTTATGGTTCCCCCTCTGAAATCAAAAAGGTGATTTAAAAAATAAAGATGGCAGATCGTGACAGTACCCCTGTAAGAATCTTTGCGTATATCTTGCCTAGGACCATTTCATCTGCTTTGAGCAAATGTTTGAGTGGCGTGGACGGCATGGAGATTTGGTTTGAACTTTTCTCACGCGCGAGTTTTGTGAGGCAAGAGTACGAGCTACAGACTGGCGACGATATGCCGATGGAATATGAGGGTAATGAAGAGAAGGTACAAGAAGCTGCTAAACTCTTTCGACGCTTCATAGGGACCGACATAGTTCCAGATAAAGTTGTGTAAGTACAACACATATTTCAACCAGGACCCAATTTTACAAAACTTGTCATCACTTACAAATGACAGTTTTTGTTATAAGCTAGTGAAATCCTTGTTTCTGATTGGTTATCAGCAGATTTGTCACTGATTTTTGCCCGGCCCCACCACTCAGTGTTATTTAGGGTACGCATATGCGTGTTCCTTCCTTTTGAAAACGACCCCCAAGTCCGGTGTGTAATGTGAATTTTGTGTATGTACGAGCCGGACTTTGGTGCGTGAAAAGTACCCCTTTACCGGACATTTTGGTAACACGCATGCGGTCACTCCGACCCCGGAGTTGTGGGGGGGGGGGGATTTTTGACATTTGTCATTGAAAAGAGGCTTTGTGAAACAGGTCCCTGTGATTTTTCACAGCTGATCCGACATTTTCTCGAGCATCAATTTCTCCGGGCTAAATTATCTATACAGTGAGAAATAATGTTTGGTTTCAGGGTTCAAGTGAATAATTCAATTAGTGTAGGAAACTGTTATTCGTAACAGGTGAATAAAATAATAATTAACAACGAGGCACTTAACAAAGATTTTTGCATCCATTCTTCGAATCTATGCGCGATTCAAAAAGGAAGAAGAAGAAGAGGGAGAAGGAGGAGGAGGGGAGCGAGAAGAAGAAAGTAAAACCACAAGTAGAAGAAGAAGATAAAGAAAATGAAGATGAAGAACTACGTGCTGTGATTTTACATAAAGTTAAAGACAAGTATCACATTAATCGATATTTCATTGATTTTGTTGTAGATACGGTAACGTGAAAAGGGAACTTCAAGCATCCACAAGCAAGTATATCTTTGCTAAGGAGGGATACTTCGCTTTTCCCGATGAGAAAACCCGTCAATACATCCCAGGAGGATTCAAGCATGTATTTCTCATCCGGGATCCTTGTAGACTGTTCACATCCTACAGGAAAGCCATCTACCAACATCTGACGAGCGTAGGTATCCGAACAGGCGATGCCCTCGACGAGGAAGCCTTCGACATCGAACGCGACGACCCGATCATGAACGCGAACGAATTCTATAAAGGAATCGTAGAACTCTGGAAGTACGTACGTGACAACGTTGATCCTGACCCTATCGTCATCAACACAGACGACCTGTTGGCCAACCCGGCAGAGATGCTGTCAAAGTTCTGCCATCTGACTGGTCTTCCATACAGCGATTCACTTCTTCAATGGGATGCTTCTCCAGATGTCACCAAGACCTGGAAAACAGGGATCGATGATATCATCGAGCTGTCCATCGCCTTCTTTGAAACAGCAGTCTACTCCAGCGGATTTCTCCCGCAGAAGCCAGCTGTCCCTCTAAAGAAGTTGGCACCAGATGTCAGAAGACTAGCCGAGGCGTCCATGCCATACTTCGAAGAAATAAACAAGTATAAAATATAAACAATATTTTTAATCTCGGTAGCATTTTTGAAATAACAATAAGATTTCTTGTTTGAAATGAAGAACATAAAATTACAGACGGATGCATAAACCAAAGATGTAACCTGCCACAAATAACTTTATAGTACAACCTGTAGAGTGTACATTTGAGCATTTACAAAAAGGTTTCCTTGTCATATACAAATTGGCCAAAATCATGGGAGAAGAGTTGACTAGTGACCTCTGGAAAGGTGTATGAAGAGTTATATAAAATTCTTATATTTAGAATATCATATTAAAGACAATATTACATTGTCACTATGATAAATTGTGATGTTCGTCCAAGAGGGTTCAGCCCCTCACTCCCTGCGAAAATGTTGCCAGCCATCTTTAGACTGTGTCAATGCAATGGTTGCGCGATATTTCAAATGGTGTTGGGGATAGAAGGCTAATGATGTTAATATTATATACTAATCAGCGAGGGCGTATTTAAGAATTATCTTGACACTCTCGGATATTTCCCAAAGGGTTTGGATTTAGTTACCGAGGGCGGAATAACATGCTAATACTCGAACACCAAGATGATTGCTTCATAAATGGTGACAATGTTCACCCTCATCTAATATTTTATAGGTAAAGAAAGAGTCAACATACAAGCTTCCTCTTAGTTTAACGATTAACTGGCCGCTCACAAAAGACTTCTATAAATTGCTAATAACCGGTTACTCGAACATAAGGCAACCTATATGCCTGGTCACATGTCCGCAATTAACCAATCATTTTAATAGGATCTACGTCATCATTTCATAACATCGGAAGTATATCGTGACATATACGCACTCTGTAGTAAACTCTTGAATTTGTTCGGCTCACACATTCTTACAGATGTTCCCCTTTTTACGGATTATTTTCTCATCACTACTATATAGCACTCGGTTTCGAGACTGTACTTTGTCCCAGTGGCGGATCCAGGGGGGGGGGGGGGGCCCGGGGGGCCCAGGCCCCCCCCCCCCCCCTTGAGAAAAAAATCATGCAAAATCACGCGATTTTTACCTTTTTGGGGGATTGGGCCCAAAAAAGTTGGGCCCCCTCCCCTAAGAAATCCTGGATCCGCGCCTGCTTTGTCCCGAGACTAATGGCAAAGAATAGAGATCGTCTCAGGGCCATACTCTGACCCTTTGTCCCTCGGTCAAAGCAATCAATATTTGTCTGACATTGAAAGGTTAATTACATCCGAGCTACAGATTTTAAACGTGACCTTTTTCAATCTTTTCGTTTTCATGTTATATTGTTTGGTTAGATACTATGCATGACTGTACAGGAACGATCGGGATTCTCCTTTAATTTTGTTTTGATCAGATCCATGCTTTTTTGCTGTTTAAAAAATATTAATAGTAACTTATTTTGTGATGCATCTTATAGATACAACAAATTAACTTATCATAGTCACCAAACGAATTCAGCATATCCATAGGTTATTTATATGTATGTACACTGATGTCTTTATAGGCGTGCGCATGTTTATGAGTCCAGTCAACAACTGAATTATTCATATCCCATGTAAATTTTTTGTTTTGTTCTTCGTAACTCGAGAATGAAAGGTGGGCTGGTTGAATTATGACCTTTGTTAATTTTTAGACTTAAGCTTTAATATGTCACATTCTCATGAAACATAAATCGGAACAAATAAATTTGTCACATAATTATTAAAAAAAAATGGTAAGAGTTTGACTAATTCAAGTTGTTATCTGTATAATATGTTTACTGCAGTGCACTTCTGCTTGGATAATTATGTTCTTAGCTATTATCATGAATGGAATAAATATATAAAACTTTAATTCCTGTTTATTACTTGTGTATTTTTGTATGGTTATGTTATTACTTTCATGAGTGGAATATATATTTGAACTTGAATTCGTACGTCCCACTGAGAGATCGTATAGATATACATTTGTATCGTTTTCGATACAAAGTTCCACCCCTACTACTTGTACTATTACTTGTACTACTACTACTACTACTACTGATACTACTACTACTACTACTACTACTACTGATACTACTACTACTACTACTACAACTACTACTACTAGTGCTATTATTACTACCTCTACTACCACACTACTATTACTACTAGTACTGCTGCTCCTATTACTAATATCACTTCCACCACCACTACTACCACAAATGAATTAAAGATTGCACTCGCAAATATCAAAATAACCGTAAATACCATGTGAACCGCAAATGTAATAGCTCATTGCTCGAGTTAAAATAAAAGAATGAAATAAGATAAGATACAAGTGATATATTTTTTACTTTTGCTGTTGATAATGCATTACATACGTGGTCAATTGGACATTAGTGATGAATTTTTAAATTGGCGGGGGTCTGCAGGGGCACTGTGGTATGTTGGCGAAGGCTCATTGATATTTGGCTAGGTATATAAAGTGGGTGCCTGGCAATGTTGGAGAACTAATAATTGCAAGCTCTTCACGAACAACAGTATCAATTACTATTATTTATTTAAAAAAAAATATTATTAACATCATCAACATCATCAGCATCCTCATCAATATATTACTGTCATTCATTTTCGTGGTAGCTTTTTGTTTTCCTCATACTCTTTAGGGTGTTTTAATATTCTCAAAGCAACACTTGTAATTCATAATTATATTGAATTTACATTAAGCCTATATGTATAGAGTTCAAAGATAACGAAATCTTACAGATTGTAATGCATGATGTCTTTTGTATACAGAAATAAAACAAACAAACAAAGAGTTCAAGGATAACGATATCAAACAGATTGTTGACGACGTTCAAAGTCGAGAAATTTTATTCTGCTTTGCACAAATCAAGTTACTACGGACGGATGCATGTCCTGAGTTCACACACTATACTTTTATTCTGCAGCCTAACTCGTACTTCGTTCATGGTTTTCCCTTTGAAAACAAAAGGTGATTAAAAACAAATAAAGATGGCAGATTGTGACAGTACACCTGTAAGAATCATCGCGTATATCATGCCAAGGACAATCTCGTCTGCTTTGAGCAAATGTTTGAGTGGCGTGGACGGCATGGAGATTTGGTTTGAACGTTTCACACGCGCATTTTTTGTGAGGCAAGAGTACGAGCTACAGACTGGCGACGATATGCCGATGGAATATGAGGGTAATGAAGAGAAGGTACAAGAAGCTGCTAAACTCTTTCGACGCCTCGCGCACTTAGAGACCGAACTAGTTCCAGATAAATTGGTGTAAGTACAACACATATTTCAACCAGGACCCAATTTTACAAAACTTGTCATCAGTTACAAATGGCAGTTTTTTTGTTATAAGCTAGTGAAATCCTTGCTTCTGATTGGTTATCAGTAGATTGGTCATTAGTATTTGAAAAGAGGCTTTGTGAAACGGGTCCCTGGAATCTTTCACAGCTGATCCGACATTTTATCTGGCATCAATTTCTCCAGGCTTAATTATTTATACGGTGAGGTATAATGTTTGGTTTCAGGGTTCAAGTGAGTAATTCAATTAGTGTATGAAACTGACAAATATTAATGCTCCTCCAACCTGACAGCACATAATGTTTGCAATTCGCATTCTGACTATAACAATACAATTATTTGTAACAGGTGAATACAATAATTTGTAGAGAGACACTTAACAAAGATATGTGCTTTAAATTTGATTACATTACGAAAATTGCCTTTTGTCTCAGGAGCATATGTCGTACAATCCTTTCAAGGCACAGACAGACGGACAGATAGACACAAAAACACACACACACACACACACTTTTTTTAAAATATTTTTTAATAATTTGATTTATTTCTCCAAATGTGTAATACAAAGAATAACATACAATTGAATAAAATAAACGTTTTCAATATTGATTGTTTATACATACAAATAATTAAACAGAACCTTATTTAAAGTATATGTAAATTAGCAACAGAGTAAACATATAAGTACCTAAACATAATATATCTGTCAATTGTAAATGTTATTCACTTAAACAGTGCGTCCCAGAAAAAACGAAACCAAGAAGTATCGATGTTCTATCATAACTTAATCACAACTATAATTAATGAATGGTACATATTTGGAAAGCTTAGAGTCTCCTCTTTCATGTGATGCTACTCGGATGATGCATATTTCACGCATGAGTGATTAAAATCAATTTGAAGGAAGTAAACCAAAAAGACATTTGGCGGGCGGTATCTGAATTTCGAAGAAGAATTCACATTTCTAGAAAGTTGAGTTTCTGCCCTTTCATATGACACCTCAATCAGGAAAAATGAGCGAGGAATGACAAAGTTCTGTTTGTTTAAAGTAGTGCTTGCATTTCCATAATTTTATTAAACGAATTCGTTTTCACTGGCTGCCCGCCGTATCAATAAACGAAATTAACAAAAGACTTAATTCCGTTTCGTTGACAATCAGCCGTAGACGAGAGTCTTCATGCATGGCTGATTGTCAACGAAACGGAGTTAAGTCTTTTGTCAAATCTTCTACGGCAGGCACCCAGTGAAAACGAATTCGTTTAATAAAATTATGGAAATGCAAGCACTACTTTAAACAAACAGAACTTTGTCATTCCTCGCTCATTTTTCCTGATTGAGGTGTCATATGAAAGGGCAGAAACTCAACTTTCTAGAAATGTGAATTTTTCTTCGAAATTCAGATATCGCCCGCCAAATGTCTTTTTGGTTTCCTTCCTTCAAATTGCTTTTAATCTCTCATGCGTGAAATATGCATCATCTGAGTAGCATCAATTTTGAAAGAAGAGACTCTAAGCTTTCCAAATATGTATCATTCATTAATTATGGTTGTGATTAAGTTATGATAAAACATCGATACTTCTCGGTTTCGTTTTTTTCTGGGATGCACTGTATATATATATTAAAAAAAACTTAAACAAATCTGGAGGTAATTTGACTGGAACAATTTTGCCCCCTCCCTGCCCCCGCCATCACACAAACACACTCACCCACACACACACATACTCACCCACCCACCCCCCACACACACACTACTCACTCAGTGGATGTCTGCTAACATTCTCAACTCAAGAAAAATATACTAAATAAGTTATCCAGGCCGCAAAATAGAGTTCCCCTTTTAACAGGCTCACGGTGGAGAAGAAAAAAAAACAATCTTAATTAATCTTAAGCTGCTCCCACTTTAAGAAATGTGATCCCAGCTTTCCCATTTTAATTGCTATTTTCTTTTCCTCATCCCTATACTTAATTTTTTTTTTTCATCCTTTCTAAAGTTGGTACTCGCCCCCCGGATCTTGACATAAATGTAACATACTTCACCATGAAAATTATAGTATTACACATTTTTTTTATTCTTTATGAACTACCTGCCAACCCAACAAATATATTTCGCCGTTCTAAATCTTTAATTTCATCTCAATCAAAAAGTTGTACTAAAGACTGCCATTTCCTTTGGACGCTCCCGCAAGATAAAAATAAATATTTGTATGTTTCTATTTCCTGCTTACAAAACGAACATAACTTATCACCAACAAAACCAAATCTATGAAGATGCTCGTTATTATATATGGCTCCATGCAATGATTTAAATTGGAATTCTCGTTGTCTCTAATGAGTATAGTAATTCTTGGTCTAAGAAATATATTTTTTAATTCTTTATCAATTAAATCATAATCATTTTGCCTATCCCTTACCTGCAAATCATACGTTTGCTGCATTATTTTTATAAATTAATAATAAATTGTTCTTGAACCCACATCCCAATTTTTTTTTTTTTTTTTTACCTGAGATATGGAAATAAGTATTAAAGCTTATAACGTCAACCTCGAGGTATTATATTAACCCTGAATCATCCTTCCATAACCTGGGTATCGCATCATAAATATCAATAATCATAAGAAAATTATTACCTTTCATACCGAGGTTCATAAAATGTTAAACAGACTTAACATGACCTTTCTCAATCAAGTGATTCAATTGAACAATACCCTTTTCAAACAAGTATCTATCAAATATAGTTTTTCCATTTATACACACAAATGCACACACACGCACGCACACCTACACTATAAAGCGAATCCTTCATAGGCACAACAGCCACAACTAGAAGAAGGAGAAAGAGAAGATAAAGAAATAAAGATGAAGAACTACGTACTGTGTTTGTGTTTATACGATATTACATAAAGTCAAAGACAAGAATCGCATTAACCGATATCTCATTGAATTTACTGCAGATACGGTACCGTGAAAAAGGAACTTCAAGCATCCACAAGCAAGTATATCTTTGCTAAGGAGGGATACTTCGCTTTTCCCGATGAGAAAACCCGTCAATACATCCCAGGAGGATTCAAGCATGTATTTCTCATCCGGGATCCTTGTAGACTGTTCACATCCTACAGGAAAGCTATCTACCAACATCTGACGAACGTAGGTATCCGAACAGGCGATGCCATCGACGAGGAGGCCTTTGACATTGGACGCGACGACCCGTTCATGAACGCAAACGAATTCTACAAAGGAATCGTAGAACTCTGGAAGTACGTACGTGACAACGTTGATCCTGACCCTATCGTCATCAACACAGACGACCTGTTGGCCAACCCGGCAGAGATGCTGTCAAAGTTCTGCCATCTGACTGGTCTTCCATACAGTGATTCACTTCTTCAATGGGATGCTTCTCCAGATGTCACCAAGACCTGGAAAACAGGGATCGATGATATCATCGAGCTGTCCATCGCCTTCTTTGAAACAGCAGTCTACTCCAGCGGATTTCTCCCGCAGAAGCCAGCTGTCCCTCTAGAGAAGTTGGCACCAGATGTCAGAAGACTAGTCGAGGCGTCCATGCCATACTTCGAAGAAATCAACAAGTATAAAATATAAACAATATTTTTAATCTCGGTACAATTTTGAAAATAACAATAAGATTTCTTGTTTGAAATGGAGAACATCAAATTACGAACGGATGTAACCAAAGATGTAACCTGCCACAAATTACTTTATAGTACAACCTGTAGAGTGTACATTTGAGCATTTACAAAAAGGTTTCCTTGTCATATTCAAATTGGCCGAAATCGTGGGTGTAGAGTTGACTAGTGACCTCTGCAAAGGTCTATGAAGAGGTATTTAAAATTCCTATGTTTAGAATACCATATAAAAGACACTATTACATTGTCACTATGATAAATTGTCCATATCTTTCCTCGTTTGCGTTACTCGCTATGAAGGAATAAGCGTTGATGGTCGTCCAAGAGGGTTCAGCCCCTCCCTCCCTCACTCCCTGCGAAAATGTGGCCAACCATCTTTAGACTGTGTCAATGCAATGGTTGTGCGATATTTCAAATGGTGTTGGGGATAGAAGGCTAATGATGTTAATATTATATACTACTCATCAGCGAGGGCGTAATTAAGAATTACCTGGACACTCTCGGATATTTCCTAAAGGGTTTGGATTTAATTACCGAGGGCGGAATAATATGCTAATACTCGAACACCAAGATGATTGCTTCATAAATGGTGACAATGTTCACCCTCATCTAATATTTCATAGGTCAAGGGTCAACATACAAGCTTCCTCTTAGTTTAACAATTAAAAGACTTCTAGAAATTGCTAACCGGTTACTCGAACATAAAGCAACCTATATGCCTGATCGCATATTCGCAATTAACCAATCATTTGAATAGGATCTTCGTCATGATTTAATAACATTAGAAGAGTATCGTTACATACATGCACTCTGTAGTAAACTCTTGGATTTGTTCGGCTCACACATTCTTACAGATGTTCCCCTTTTTACGGATTATTTTTCTCATCACTACTATATAGCACTCGGTTTCGAGACTGTACTCTGTCCCGAGACTAATGGCAAAGAATAGAGATCGTCCCAGGGCGATACTCTGACCCTTTGTCCCTCGGTCGAAGCAATCAATATTTGTATGATATTGAAAGGTTAATTGCATCCGAGCTACAGATTTATACGTGACCTCTTTTCAAACTTTTCATTTTTCAAGTTATATTGTTTGGTTAGATATTATGCGTGACTGTACAAAGACGATCGAGATTCTCCTTATAATTCCTGTTTATTACTTGTGTATTTTTGTATTCTTATGTTATTATTTCCATGAGTGGAATATATGTTTGAACTTGAATTCGTACAGTTAACATTTTCTCCGATATTATAATGCAAATTACTGTAGCGGGCGCACTACGAATTCGGGGTCATACTGTGCATGATGAAATCTGCGTCATCTCAAACCTTCTGTTCTGCTGTGAAAAGGAATTAATTGTGAAAGAAGAACCCTTACACAAATGCATCTTACCGTTTTCTTCCCGACGAGGGTAAATATAATGCGTGAGTATTCATTAGCTCATCACTGAAAATGATGTGTCCATACTAATATAAACGAGGAACAGACAGAACCGCTTCTAAAAAGTAGGGGGGGGGGGCGTAGGGGTCCGAACCAAAGTTTCCGACGTTCCCTAACAAGATATCAGATATTAAATATTTTTTCAGTAACAGTAGAACGCCAGTAACAAGTTTTGATAGACATGAGGGCTATAACGAACCTCACTATTATTATTATTGTCTTTCAGTCCTTCTTTCTTTTTCCCTTTTCTTTCTTTTCTCTCGTTCGGCCATTTCCGGCTAATTTTAAAGCATCTGACTTGAGACTAATGACGCCATAATGCAGCTACATTTACGATCAGATTGGGAACTCCATCTGTGCGAGATATAGTGGTAGATGACAAATAATTATGCGTCATTAAGCACCTGAATTATGAAAGTGGGGGTCCCCAAAACCGTAGAAAAAGGAGGATGTGAAACGATAGCAGTTCCGTTTGTCCACAGAACACTTCCTGAGGTCATAAGGATCACCTGAATTGCATGGACATTGGGACACTGGGAATATCACCGTATCTCGCGATCCGGCCTAGTCGGGGAATTCCCAAACATCATGTCTATTTTTAGTCCATGATGCTCAATTGACCGACATCACTACGAGCAAGAAAACTGTAAGCAAATTTCTGAAAGAAGAATAAGCCAAACAAAAGAAGGATGGGGTGAAGAATAATAAGAGGAAGAAGATAGTTTCAATTCTGTTCAAGAATATGTTTAGAAATATGAAATTTTTTTTTTGTTTTTTAGTATTCAGTCTTTTCTGAAAAAAAGCAATGCTTGTTCTAGTTTTTGGAATGAAATAACTGTGTGGCACTATGAACATGACCGACAAAGAAAGCGCACAAAATATACAGTTCCTCAGGTAGACAAACTAAGGAACATCCCTTCACTGCTATTATGTAAAAATGTTTAGAACAGGTGTTACATAATAGCAGTGAAGGGATGTTCCTTTGTCTACCTGAGGAACTGTATATTTTGTCCGCTTTCTTTGTCGGTCATGTTCATAGTGTGGTGTGGTAATATCTTCTTTTTATCTGATTGTGACGTATTTTAGTCCTATACATTGTGAAATTATGAACAATTAATTATCGTTGTATTTGTGTTCGTTTATCAAATGATAAAAAGATTTGTTATACTTGTGTTGTAGATGTGTATAAACTATTATGTACAAGGCATCGCGGACGAGTGGATACGTCGCCAGACTCGGTTCGAATCCTGCCGCGGCACTAATGTCCTTTGGCAAGACATTGATCTACATTTGCCACACTCCACCCATGTGAAGTAAATGGGGACCGGTAGGAAGGAATTCCTTGCACCGAAATCGGTAGCCTAGCAATGCCGGGGTAATATTGGAGCGCTTTAAGCACCTTGTCGGGTGGATATGTGCGCTATATAAATATCCAATATTATTATTATTATTATGACAAAAAAGAATTGGAATTTTGAGAAAAAGAATCAATGAATAAACAAAAGAAATATTTTGCTTTTGACACTGAAGTGGCTACCCTTGGTAAATGAGGCTAAATTATATTGAATTATTTATTCATTTTACGCATATCAATTGATTTCTGCAGCATGAATTGCTATGAAAAGAAGACTACCATTAACGTACTTAGCTCTTGATACAAACTGGTATCAATGCCATTACTCATAAGTAAACTACTAGCGAGAAGAATCTGCTTGAAATATATTGACGTCACATTAACAAATAGATGCGTCACTATAAACAAACATGAACTGAAAGCTGGGTCATTTGTTTTGTGCACTGCGACTGGCAGACAGACAACGTTCGGGAATGCACGTTTGCATTCAAGATCATCACGCGATTTATACCAAATTCTAGTGCTCATGTTATCGTGGGAAAAAGCGCCTTTTTATGGCCGTCGTCATAAAATAACATTTTTTTTTTCAATTTAAGGGTGGGTTCAAAGATCATCGAGACGCACTGAACATTACACCGTTGCATTTCTTCTTCCGCAAAGTTGTTCTTTCAGAAAATGATAGACCTAACACTATCGCAAGGTCTTTCGAGAAATCAACCTAATAATATCAATAGCCTTGGCAATCATGATTTGAAATGTACGATCACTACAATGATATTACGTAATCCTTTTATGATCTTATATGGGATATGAGGTATTTTATTGAAATACATTTATTCGGGATAACAGAATCAAATATACATTGTAGATACAAAATCTGTGTTACATCATGGTCCTCAGCAACGCTCAAAATACACGAGGGCGGTGGGCGATTCGCCCCCGTGAGCTCCAAAATCGCCCCCGTCAGGTTGCTCACGGGGGCGATTGCAAAATTAAAAATCGCCCCCGTGGAAATTTAAAATAAAGATTATCTTTTCTGATATAACTTTAACACAATATTGAGTATCAATTTTCAAACCTTAAACCAATGAAAAGGAACTTAGATGGCTCTATCTCTCCCATCTCTATGAGTATTACCGATACAAACAACGGAAGCTCGCAGTGCAGCTAGTGCGGCCGTCAGCAATGACTATACTGCGCCGGTAGTACCGTTGTGCACGCTGACGCCAAATATCTGCTGGAGCTGGAGACGATCGCGCTAGGACTGAAACGTTGTGAAAAGTGTGAATCCTCTGAAATCTGGAGATTCTAAAAGACCAGCAAATAATGTACTTCAACCAGTAAATCAATACTGAGAAGAAGAAAAAGACCAAAAATGTTACAGGGGCGGATATAGGCGGTTTAGGGGGTCACAACTTAACCCCGCCCCCCCTCCCCCTCCCCCTTGGGCTGCCAAGTGAAAATGTCATGCGCATAAAAAAAATGCCATTATGTGTCCAGTCCTACAAAGAATTAGTAGATGTCAGTAGATTCCAGGAAAACATCACTTACGGAGGTTCAAAATAGCACCAAAAAATCGCTTTGCGGGTCGTGGACGATGCTCCGCATGTTGGTAGATGCCAGGAAAACATTACTTACGGGTGTTCAAAATAGCAAAAACAAATATCGCCTCGCCGCTACGCGTCTCGTGGACGACTGGTGGACGATGCTCCACTTGGTTCCCCCACCCTTAGCAAAAAGCTAGATCCGCCCCTGTGTTTTGGAAGGATATGGTAAAGAATAAAAGTTAAGAATTAATGTAAATAAGGTTGCTCCGAATAATGAGGAGGTAATTATTTGCAGAACGGGAAGAAATGGAGAGAATGTCATCACGGGGAAAAAAGTCAATATCAGCTATGTAACAAGTAAATTTCTAAGAGGGAAAATGCCGACTTAAATAAATGATAATGATAAATTAACAAGGAATTTAGGAGTTTCATGGGTTGCAATTCAATAGAAATTTGTATTAAAATAAGAGCCCCCGTCAGCACTAAAAGAGCCCCCGTGAGAAGGCTCACGGGGGCTCTTTTTTTTTGGAAGAGTCCCCGTGGACAAAAAATTAATTTGAGCCCTGGTCCTCAGGGTAGGGTATTGAAATTGCCGCTGAGTTGAATTTTTGGAA